CGGATCCAGATCCAGGTTGGAATCCAGTTCTGGGTTTTCCTAAATTTATCCCTTCCCTGTTCTCTTGGGTCCCTTTCTCAGTCTTCTTCCAAGTATGGAGGCACACCAGGGTGCAGTTCTAGGGAGAATCTGCTTTGGGTAGTCCTCCTCCTCCTATTGGTTCGTTGCTGCATTACTTTTCAATGTCCTCTTCAGAGCACTGGTATAAGACGGATCAAGATCCAGCTATGAATCCAGTTCTGGATTTTCCTAAATTTCTCCCTTCCTTGGTCTTTTGGCTTCCTTTCTCAGTCTTTTTGAATGTACAGAGGCGCACCAGGATGCAGATCCAGTCAGAATCCGCCTCAAGCAGTCCTCCATGTCTTGGTTTCAGTTGCTGGTTACTTGTCTAGATTCTCTTCAGAGCACAGTTTCTTCTTGGATCCCCATCCAGCTTGGAATTTGGCCCCAGGTTTTCCTAAATTTCTGACCTTCTTGGTTTCCTTTCTCTGACTTCATCAGTGTATGGAAGCACATCCAGATACAGATCCAGTCAGAATCCGCCTCAGGTCGTCCTCCCAGTCTTGCTCTTTGATGCTGGGGGCTTTAGCAAGGCCTCTTCACATCTATCTATCTATCTATCTATCTATCTATCTATCTATCTATCTATCAGCTCATATCCTGCCATTTTCCTACAAAGGGCTCAAGGCAGCTTACATCATTCTCCTCCTCCAGCTATCCCCACAACAACAACCCTGTGAGGTGGGTTGGGCTGAGAGTCTGTGACTGGCCCAAAGTCAGCCAGTTGGCTCCATGGCCGAGCGGGGACTCAAACCCAGATTGCCTGAGTCCCAGCCCCATGCTCTTAACCACGACACCACACTGGCTCTCATTTCAGTGACTCGCCAGATCCAGATCCGGGCCAAAATCCGGTCCTGGATTTTCTGACATTTCTGCCCTCTCTAGTTTCTGTGTTCTCTTTCTCAGTCTTCTTCAGTGTACAGAGGCACACCTGGGATCAGATCCATTGGGAACTGCCTCTGGTTGTCCTGCGTCCTCTCATGGTAGTATCTTTTTTTTTGGTCTCTCAGAGCCTCAGGTTCCCTCTCATAACCAGATATGCCCCTTTTATCTTAATATGTCCCCTTTGTTTAAAATCCCTGCTTTCTTTCCAGTATGATATTATATACTGAAAGTTAGATTTGGACTATGGAAGGCAAGGAATTAAATCCCCATTTAGTGCGTAATTAACAGAACAAATGTGAGACAGTCATACATCCACCGTCATCCCTGTCCTACCTCACAGGGTTTTTGTAAAGATTAAAATTGAATAACTCATATATCAAACTCCAATATTAATGCAACGAATAAGTCTCTTGCCTCCACTGTTCTACCATTCTGATTACTCCATTACCTCCAACACAGATAGCAAAAATATGACACGCTCATGCCTCCATTGCAAAAGAGCTGGAGAAGACAGGAGTGGCAAGGCAGCAGGGGGAGGCATTTGGTGGCCCTAGGCTGCCATGCATCAGGTACTGGGCCAACAACAGCTTGTGGTCAAAATCTCTGGGTTACTTCAAGCATGGCATTTTCCTACATACAGATAATCTGCTAGGACAAACCACATATGGATGAGGGTTCTCACACATTCTGTTGTACACTTGAAAATAAAAGGCAATTTGAAGCAGACGGCAGTCTTATTTTTTTGTAGCTGAATCAAGGCTTTCATAATAAGCTTATTGGGAACACATTCCCATGATATGAAAGGTCTCCTTACTCCACCAAGTGGCCCGAGAGCTCACTACAACTTTATTAATAATGAGACAAAATACAGCACCACAGATCCTAGGCTGTAAATTGGCAAACCACATATCTATCCAAGCACTGTTCTCTGTGGGCAATGACAGTTAAAAACAAACAAGCAAACATCAGGAGAGGACAAACTGCAGGTTTTGCAGGAACTTCTTCATTCTTTTACTAGAAACCTGAGATCTACCAGCCAAGCCCTAGAGCAAAAGATGTACACTTAAAACTAAAGAATTCTCAGCCCAGGAATGTATTTTTAGTACCAGTACTGAGCAGAGCTCCTATTCTGCCCAAACAGAAGTCTACCTCTTGGTTATCCTAAGCTACTGCTTTCCAGGAATCTAATTTGGAAGAGAGAGGTGGCATTTTGTTGTCAATGTTAAACCATCTTCTTCAATGGTCAAAAACAAATTTTATTAGATAAAACAGCAAACTAGTTTCTTCTAATGGTAGCAGCTGTGTTGAACCGGTGGTTGAAAACCACTGATCTACTATAATGAGGGCACAAGCCTATGCACATTTAGACTGAAAAACATTCTACTAGAACTTTTACCATTCCCCGACTACCCGTTGACCCATCCTGCTTGGGGAATGCTAGGTTTTCACAGCGTTTTTGCTCTTTCTAAACCTGCATAGGTGCCTTAAAGCACCTTTTCGGTACCTCCCCAAACTCTGCCCTTCCCCCACAAATATTAAGATAGGGACAAAAGAAATGTACCAAACTGATCGGTTTTTAAGGGAGCTACAATGGAATAACATACTTGCACGCTGGTGCAGCGGGCAAGTGAACACCCACCATACTCCCAGAATTGGTTTTTTGAGGTCCAGCATGGGCACACATATCTTGAAGGTGTCAAGCCTAACATCAAGTCAAAATGAATTTATGAGATAATAGCATTAGTATAGCCTTGCTGTATCTGATTTGAGAGTAGTAGTACAGAATATGAAGTTAATAGCTAGGACAATGCATATATTTTAACACTCATACCCCAGTTTTAAGCTCTTCACACAGATAATCCTTTCCAAGCCCTGACCCACGGGTGCGCGTCGCTGGCCAATTTTGGGCATCTCGGACTGATTTTGGGTGCCTTCCACAGACACCACTTCCAGCACACCATCGAATGCCTCAATGCAGCACAGATAACAGGGGCCATCTCCAAGCAAATGCTGCAAATTTGGAAGCATTCTGCTGACCTGCCCAAGCTAATACAATTTAGATTCTATTTAAATTGAGCATATTTGCATTATTTATTGTCTTCTCCAACAATTATTGGTTTTTGCTAATTATCAGGGAAGCTTTGCAGCTTAGTCTTTGCTACTTAATACCCTATTCTAATTGTTTGGATTCTCAAAACAAAATAAAAATTGAAGGCAGAATTTTTCAGAAGACTGACTGAGTCCTTAAGAGTCTGCTTCTATTACAAGTTGTGTCAGTGCTGCTGTGAATTTGGAGCATGTACAAAGTCCTAACTGAAGCTGGCTTTCATACTTCAACAAATAGGCAAGAAAGTCACTCCCATAACTTGTTGGGATATGGAGTGACTTTAACTTTCTTAAATTTTCCTCTCTTTCTCTTAGCTGCATTTCCACATAACATTAAATGAAGATGGTTTCTTACCTTGGGTCCTGGGTTCAAAGAAATGCATGGTTTCCATACTTCTCCATCTTTTCTCCTAATGGTAGCTGGTATCCCATAAGCCCACATGGTTGAAAATCAATCCCAGGATACACTGCTCTTGTCTGCTTCTCCCTCATTGATCCAAGTACTCTGCTGGGCATGGCCTCAGCCAACTGCTCCTGAAGTTTTTATTGTTTTTCACTGCTCAGAAGCAGCAACTGATTACTCATTAGAGTAAGACTGTTGCTCTAGAACAGCCTTCTCCAGACAGGTTTGGACTACAACACCCAAAATTCCCATTCAATGGCCTTGCTGGGAATCCTGGGAGTTGCAGTCCAAATGCCTCTGAAGGCCACGAGGTTGGTGAAGGCTGCTCTAGAATAGCGCTCCCCGCTGCTGCCACACTTCAGGCCAATGTGGAAGCATACCAGTCCATGACCCCACCTCCCCCTGGGCATCGGATTCACACAGGTTGGAAGGTCCACCTCTTCCTGCAGCCAAGCCCATGGAGAGCATCAGCACAGTCAGCCATACCAGGTACAGAGGCAGCATGTCTCACTGGGAAGTTTCCGAGGGGGTGCATGTGTACGTTTGCCTGAGCAAGTATCCTTGCTGGCTGCAGGGAAGCTGTTTGTCCTGCAGTGGTGGTGGGGGCCAGCAGGACTTGTTGACAGTCCTGAGAAGTGTCGGGGCCATGATAGGAGCATGATGGAGGGCAGGAACAGAGTGGGAGACAAGGGCTTTTCAGAGTGGGTGCCCTAGAGACATGCCTGCGCTCAGCCCGTGTTTTCACAAAAGGAGAACACCAACTCTAACAGCAACAGCCATGTCAATGCGTCTCTTGGGGAAACGGCAGCGACTAGACAGGAGTGCCAAGGATGGCCACCTGCAAGGTCAATGCTGCTGGAGGAGATGCGGTGCGATGCTCCAGCGCTGCCAAGGTTCCAAAGCTGCAGGTGCGCATCTGGAAGGCTATGTGCAGGCAGAGAAGAAAGGGAGGGCGCAGTGGCCAATCACAGTATGGATGCAGCTGCCTCAGCAGTTGCTAGGCAGACCTGAGCAGTAGAGCATACAGGCTGGAGCATCTGCGGCAACCATGACTAGTCTTGCTGCAAAACATGATGGTGGAAACGTAGAAACTTCATAGCAATTGGGTTCAGGTATGCAAAAAGCCATGGTGAAGTGTTGAAACCATATAACAATCCATTGTTTCTCTCCATGGTTCCACAGAGACCAGCCTTACCACCTTTCACCACCTTTGCTGGGTTCACATATAACAAGCTATGCCACTGTGGTGGGTTTGTCATTACATGTGTTCCCAGCCATTGAATATATATGCATTGCTAATACTAAAAAAAAAAAAAAAACCCATTATAGAGCCTATGTTTATAAAAACAAGTATGAATTTGTTCTTTTAATGTAATTGTTGTGTCTTTTTAACTTTTAATTTTGTTAACTACCCAGAGAGTCAACAATATATACATGGATTAAATAAATACATAAATGAACATTCAAATTTTTATGTATTGTTTTACTGCTGCTAGGATTTTACTATTACTCAGAGTTATGAGAAAGTCATTCATTAAATACATGCTGAAAGAAGCAATTTAAATTTTATTGACAAGACATAGCAGTTTATTTTTAAAAAGACACAGTGCTTTCCCTGGAAAGCTTATTTGTCCAGAGAACATCATTTGAACCTGCAAAACTAATATATTAGTCTCCTGACTAGAGAAAATGGAACAGCCAAGGGAAGATGCTGCTGAGTGAGGTATCCGTGTATCTTCTGAGACTTCTTGCAAGACAATTCCCTTCATCTTTCCGTTTCATTTCATGGAGCCGGAGGTTTCTCCATTCCTTAGTTAGAGATCCACATATGTTCTGGCACTTTGTTTTATACATGATGGGATTGTAAACAGTGAATATGAAACTAGACTGAAAGACTGCACAAAACAGTAAGCACAGGAAATAATTTATGACCAAACTCAACATGTTAGTTGCCACTATCTGAATCAACTCCAGTGTTCTCCCCAGACTGGACTTTTGAGGCACATGCTTCCATAGCAGTGACTCTGCATATGCTTGGCACGAAGAAAAACCTAGCAACTTCAGTACCAAACAGCTTTTGGCAGCCCCATTTAAAAGGATCAAGCAGCAGGGCAATATGGAAAGCTTCTCTCTGCCTGAGATCCTGGAGAAAACAGCTGCCAGTCAGAGCAAACAATGTTGGGCTAGAGCAGGGTACAGAATTTCTTTGAACTCAAGATTCAAATTCCATGTCAGAGAAGTTCTCAGGGCTTGCATTCCAGGGGTGGTACTAAAAAATACTAAGATATTTTAGCTTAAAGCTTTTACTGTGAGTAACTCAAGACTTAGGAGAGACATTTAAACTTTTTAGAATCTAGTAAAAACTTCACAAAGAGGGAAACCACCAAACCATCAATAACTAGAGGAAAGGACATAGGTCTAGGGAAAGGGGACACAGCTGTCTGGAGGATGCAGAAGCCTCAACTGGGACCCCAGGAGGAGTGGATGTGGCCTGCAAGTCTGAGATTCCTTATTCCTGGCTAGACAGGACAAATAGATTAGGCTACTGTAAGGCTGCCTCCTGTGTTTTTTTGAAGGTCACCATCATCCCTGTAAGCAAGTGTGTAGCTGTAGAACATCAAACAGCAACTGGCTGGTATCTTACAGCAGATGTCCTGTTAGAAAGCAGCCTTATTCTTCTTGACAAGGCTGAGCTCTTTCATCTCTGACCGTTCTTCCACACCCTCAGGTTGCTTTTTCTCTGCAAGGGAAGAACACTGTACACCTGTAACTTCCTGCACCCCAGGTAAAAGAGCACGGGGGCTGGTAAAATTGAAGTGGAAAAATAGCTAGAAATGAGAATTAAAGCAACATCTTTCCCTGTTCAGTCCCTGCAGGTCCATTCTGTTTAAGATTGCAACTTCCTTGGTTACTTTTGGTTAAAAAACTCACACGTGCATCCAAAGAAAATCCCATTGAGAAAAACATAGAGGCAACCAAATACATGGATGGTTTGGACCGAGTGTGATCGCAACAGGCCTGTGTCTTCAAGTGGGGCTCTATCCAAATTACAACAAAAGTGATGGATTAGGCTTGGTGAGCAAACTTGTTGCTTGTTGCTTATTTGATTTATATCCAGCCTTTCATTTTTTTGAAAGAACTCAAAGCAGCTTACATCATTCTCCTCTTCCTGCTCTCAGATTGATCCCCACAACAACCCTGTGAGGTAGATTGGGCTGAAAGTTGGTGCTGGCCCAAAGTCACCCAGTTGGCTCCATGGCTGAGCAGGGACTAGAACCCAGGTTTCCTGAGTCCCAGTTCAGTGCTCTTAACCATTATACCACACTGGCTCTAATTTCATCCACTGTTGTTCTCCCAGTTGAAGTCACATACCTGAAGCCACTGGAAAAGCTCCTTCTGCACTTTTAGTTGTGCCCCCCATTGGATTGGATATGACCATGATCCTTAGCACACGTTCTGGGAAATAAGCTCCATCAATCTCACTGAGACTTGGCCTAAAGCACATATGCCAATCAAAAAGTTGCGGAAAGAAGCATGGGAGCCTCACAGTTTGATCCATAGCAAAGCCCATTCAGGCTCATTATCTGTGCATTCATAAGATCATTTGTCTAAGTGCGTAGAAAAGACTTGGTATCTTTAAAAGTTACCTAAAACCCGTAACAACTCAAAATGTAGATTAATTTTGGAAATGAGAATCAATCCAGCATTTGTCTCTTGAGCTTCTTAAGCTTAGGAGCATCTTTGGAGCCCAAACATAAGATGACCAAGAGTTCTTCTCATGTTATGGAAGGGGTTGCAGAGCAAAAAGCAAGCCTTCAGTGACTTCCATATCACACTGAAGGTTGGTGGGGAAAATCAAGGGCAGGAAGTCATAACTTTATAAGCATCAAGGCAGCGTCAGCATCTCCTTAAAATTCCTCACGCACTGTCTGACAGCAGAAAGGTACAGCTGCGATTGTTCCTCCTGGAGGTTGAAGTGCGGTGGAAAACCCAGCAGCATGCTGCCCACTCAAGGGAAGCCAGTCCAGCTGGCTACCACTCTGTTAGTGGTCTTGGCGTGTCACCATCCTGACCATCTTCAGTGCCATATCACCTTGGTCAGCTGGCACCTGATGTGGGGAGAACAACTCAGTATTAGCAACTGCAGATAATTGGCCAGCAAGCCACAACAAATTAGCTCTCGTTCTTCAAAGAAGGAGGCATTGGGAAGATTCACAGGGGCAGGATTCTCTGTCCCCCTTTTTGTGAGAGAGAGCTTTGGCTATGGGCAATATAGAAACAAAACTGATGATGATGACGACATCATCATCCATGCCATCTAAGGACAGCAAGTTGGAAATACGCATGTAAAACTCCCCCACTCAGTATTTGGGCCAGGAGAAGAGGAAGGGGAATGAAAATAGAGATTTGAGGCCTACTAGCTTCAAGCATAAACCAGGAGGATCTAGAGCTGTTCTCTTCATATCAATTGTGCTTGCTCCCTGAAAAATCAGAGTAGCTGGTAGAGGCCTTTCCTGCGGCCTTATGGGGACCAGATATTGCACTATACCATGCGAGGAGATACTCCATGCAATGCTCTGCTCTTGCTCTTTCTAATACTGTGGCACAGACTTATAGTACATTTTGTACTGCTCATGTCAATCTGCACAGCTTATTAAGATTGCAATCACCAGATTCAATTGAAGCAAGGCAAGCAATCAGGCCCATTATGATATTCTAGTTTACCTTCCAAGGATATAAAAGGGACTTACCATATGTCCTGCTTTTAGAATCCAGAAAAAGTCTAAGTTATCATAGGACTTATGGAAGGCTGCTGTTTCTTTGGATTCTGGGCCTGCATATAAAGCCTGCCATTTTTGTTTACTGAACTGTTTCAGCTTGGGCCATTTCAGCTTCCTGAGCCATGCTTCTTGACCTGGACATAGAAAACAACAGAGTTTATTCATCTTATGAGAGAAATGCTGTGCAAGAAACTGGTGTCCCATTTTGACAGACATCAGACTCTACTGTTCAATAAAGGAAAAAAAGAACATGCTGGAATCAGAATAAGGAGGTCATTAAAGCACGGCTCCTTCTCACATTATCTCCTCAGGCTTGTACCCCAAAAGGACAAAGTAATCTATCTAATCCCACTCCCATATTGGGTGGGTTCACACAATTACACATCCTAGTTGAAGGCACCTTATTAGCATAATTACCCTTGCTGGGCATGGATTGTCATGACATCCAAACTTGGTGAAGGTGGTTAGCTGGGGTAGTTTATAAACCGTGGCTTATTCTAGGGTTGATGGGTGGTTTGTAACCCATTCCAGCTCCCCATACTTGCTGAGCTCAAATATCAGAATAATCGGCACCTAGCAAGAGTAATTATTTATATTAAAAAACATTTATATTTTTGATTTATATTATAATTATTTTAGCTTAGTGTTGTAAGCCGCCCCGAGGCTTCGGCGAATGGGGCGGCATAAAAATGTTTTAATAAATAAATAAATAAATAAATATGCTAATCAGGCAGCTCTCCCCTGCCTGATTAGCATAGGGAAGAAATAAGCCACTTGCTTTCCTCATGCAATTATGCAGATACAATGAGCATGCAGGCACAGGTCGGATCACGTCACCACAGCATGGACGCTGACTGTGCCACTGATGAAGGTGACTGATTCTGAACACTGCTATGGCTTAAAACGCTGACCACACACGTTCAAAATATGATCTCCGTCTGAACTGTCCCCACATGCCTCATTTCATCATCTACTTTAGAGGATAGTTGTTCAGGCAAAGGACCATTAAATCCCATGGCAGGTCCCCTTACAGAACAACCACTGCTACCTGTGCGGTCTAAATAATAGCTGGGGCTGAATTGTGTTAGTCGTGATGGGTGCTGTATGTCGATTGCCAAGCGCTGACTATCGCTATATGTCAGCTATTCAAATGTTGTCTGTTAGAGTCATTTAACAGCACACATTAAATGGGAAATTTAATCAGGCACTGCTTGGGTGGTATTCCCAGGAGGTGGAAGGATGGGGGTGAGAATCTGAGCTGCGCTGGTGGCCAGAACAAGATCAACCACCGCTGCATCTGCAGGGTGAGTCCCAGGCCCTGCTGGAGCTCCCAGTCTACTGATAAGCACAAACTGAGAGTCCCGGAGAAAGTGCTCTATCAGAGCAAGCTCTTCCCTCCAGACCTGGCTTCAGCAATGCAGGTCCTCCTCCTGGTTCCAGCTATGCCTCCTGCCTTACCATGTTGGCTCAGCAGCACAGGTCCTCCTGTTTGCTATAGTGCCTGCCCCTTGCCTGACTATGCCTGCCCCTGGGCCCTGCCTTGCCATGTTGCCCTGCTGTTGTGCCTGCCTCTTGCCTGATCTACAGCCTGCCTTGCCCATGTAACCTGCCTTGCCATGTTGCCTCAGGTTCCTGCCAGCTTTGGTTCATCTCCTGCCCCTTGCTGCATCTGGTTCCTATTGTCTCATGTATCCTCCCTTGCCATGTATCCTGCCGTGCTGTGTCTCCTGCTCTGCTTTCCTGTCCAAGGTACCTGCACCTCTGTTTGTCTTCCTGGTTCTCGGCCCTTGGCTTGTTCCTGATTACATCCTTGTTCACTGTGACTATCAAAAGGGACCCAAAGATCCAAAGGAAGAGGTTATTTATAATATAATAAAGTTATTGGCCTGATGCATAAACAACACTAAAGTTTACAGTTGGGGCTTTTTGGCCAGACATTGCTTATTTTGGCACACTTGGAAGTAACTGAGCCTGCTTTTCTGGGTTGCTTAGCAAAACAGAAGCTGACAAGTGGTCAAAACCATGCTCGCTTGCTCCCATGTGGTCACAAACCATGGGTTGTTCTTTCAGGCACTGAGGCCTTGATCGCTTTCTAGCCATGCTTTGAAATCCTGGCTTGTTCCATGCATTGAAAACAGAAGTAAAGAGCTCTAACCTCCTCAATGACATACTGAAGGAGGATTGGGTAGAACTCGAGCTGCATGCATGTACAAACAGTATTTTGTGCTACATCCAGTCCTGATCTGTGGAATGGAGCAGGCAAACAAAAATGAAGGACTCCACTGATGACAGAAGAGATGAGTCCTGGGCTACTCAAAAGGGGGTTGCCATTGCTACAGTCATTCCCATTAGACAACTGGTGAGTCCTTTGAGACACCTCTGTGCAACTGATATATACATGCAATCAAGCAGAACAAGTATATGAATTTATGGCTGCAGACTCTTGTCACCACCCTGTCTTTTCTGGCAATTACTAGTATTGCACACAGGACCGCATTTAACATCATGATTAAATGGCTGTGGTGCCATCTATGGCCTCTAGAACGACACAGTGCTTGACCCTTAAATAGTCCCTGACCCAGCACCCCGCTCCCAAGCCAGGCCTCCAAAGGGGTGAAGGATACGAGTATGAACATAGTACTTGAGCATAGGTTTTATCTGTATTAAAGAAGTAGTTGGGTACTTCAGTCCTATTACCCTCCTAGAAGTAGGAGGGTAATAGGACTGCCCTGTAGCCAAGGAGGCCATTTGAGCAGGGCTTCAGCAACCTGATTTTCCCAAGGCAGCCCACAACACTGTCCATCATCTTTCTTTCCGATCAGACCTTTCCAAGAGCCAACTGGGTTGTGCCCATTATGAACAGCACATCACCAGAAGCCCTAGTCTAGAGGGCTTCCTGGCACTGGGTGCGGTAAGCAGCACTGTGGTTTCTATCACATGAGCTGATACAGTTGCAAATTTACAGTTGTGAAAGGGGCTACAAATTTTTAGTGTTTGTGAATATGAATTTGAGAACACAAATAATGGCTGGTAAAATTTCAAAATAGTCTGAACGGGGATTTGGTGTGCTTTGGAAGCAAGTCTAATACTTGGCTCTGGCCATTCTAAAGACCAGCAAGACCCTCCTCTAATAACAATTTGCACAGGAATGGGTGACATGGAAATAGCCAGGACAAGCAGCTAGACTCAATATGGTTGTTAATATAACTCCCCTTCCAGTCTCCTGGGCAGACTCCATAGCATGACTGTTCCACCCTACACACACAGGATAGCCTCTCTGATTCTTAAGCTGTTGAGATTTTTCCCCTCCATATATCACTCAATGGGACCCATCCCTCCCTTAGGATGCCTCCTGTTTCTTCTTTTCATCTAGCTACCCTTTCCTCAAGCAATTGCTTAACTTGCTTATTTCTCTCTACTGCTCGACAGTCTGTTTACTTCCCAACCTTATGGGGTTCTGGCTTTGCTACCTTTGCCTTGTCCCTAAGGACAACACAGTAAGTTAAGGCCAATTGTCAGCTTTTCCATTCCTTGCACTTGCCAATAGCATTGCCTCCTAAATGATTAAAAGGAACTTTCTGTGCCACCATACCTACTCAGGCAACTAACATTACAGGCTTCACCACCGCAAGTGCAATCCACCATAGATTAGGACTTGCACAACAAAATGTATTTTTAGCCTCCCAAAGTATTATAAGGAAGTAAGACTATCTGGGGTAATTATGGGGTAAATACCCATGAAGACTTGTGGAATACAAGGTAGTAAACAACTCAGCACAAATCATGCATTCAATTATCTCAGGACAAACAAGTTAAATCCTGGTTTCTAATGAAAGCACAACCCACGCAGATGTGGTATAGCCATGGCACAGTTGTGCGAATGGGTTTTGCCTCCTTAACAACCTGGGTACCAGGTAGCAGGTAACTACCCAGATATCATGCACACACTCTGGAGAGTCCCCACCTTGTGGCATAGTAACATCTAGCAATCCAGCTTGTGCCATTTCACCCGCAGGAGAAAATCTCCTTACCTATGGTAGAAACGATGAGGTCCAACTGCCCATTGTAAACAGTAACATTGACGCTGGCTTCCAGCAGATCTTCCACAATGTCTATTGCATGCTTCATGAAGTCTTCAGCCATATTCATGAACACATCTTGGGACTGGCCTGGAGGGCGATGGCGAAAATGCCAGGGGTCAGGGAAGGGGAAGAAAGAACGGATCATTTATAACGTTCTGAAGCACAGGCCATACCACTTCACAACTCTTTGCTCCAGGCCACAAGTATCCCTCAAAAGTACCTGCCTGTCAGAACAGCCAGTAGCATCCATCTTCTTTCTTTTAAGAGTCTCAGAAGTATTCAGGAAAGAAGCCAGTCTGTCTCCCTTTTTTGTGTCAGCAGAATTGTACACCCACTTTGATACCGAATTTGGATGAAGTATCTTAATTATATATGAATGCAAGTGTCCTGCCTTCCTGGAAGCATGTTCTGAAACCAGTCCATGGGCTCCAACTGACACCCCCAAATTGTTTGCAAAATGTATGAAGCTGTTTGGCCCCATTCCTGCCTCCACTGCTGGGACGAGAAGTTGCTGATTCAATTCAATGCTTTTTCCAGCCAGTGTCATCCTATCAGCTTATGCTGATGTTTGAGTGACCATTACAGGAACCTGATTAGACAATCTTTGGCATGATTAGAGATGCGATGCCACCCCACAGAGATGGGATGCCAATGAAAACCTGCCATCCCACAGAGGTTTTACCAGACTTGAATAGGCCTTACCACATGTGGGCATTTTAGACTGTAAGCCGCTTGGAGCAAGGGCATGATCTTTTGTACTTCCTAATGCAGTGTGTGCACACCAAGTGCTGTATAAATAAGAATGCTCATGTAACTCTTTAAAAAGGGGAAAGGGGGCTTGATCGAACCTATCCTATTCCTGTTATTTTGTTCTTTGGGGCTGCCATCCTAAACATTCTTATATGGGATTAAACTCTACTAAAATCAGGGGGACTCACTCCTGAGTTCAGGAAAGTGGAGAAATGTGGTCCTAAAAATAAATATGCATTCCCACCACTGCATCTCAGAAGTCTGAATGGACAAAAAGATTTTTCTTGCCCAGCAAGGTTAGCTCCTCACCTGGCACAAAATACTGGAGTGCCAATGTTATTTTGCCATATTCATACCATTTCTTATCAAATGAACTTGGGCAGGTAGAACTCTTACTCCCATCCCGATTGAGGTTCCTGTGGGCCAACATATGAATGGAGTGCTGGATCAGATGGACCATTTCTCTAACCCAGGATGGCTTTTCTTACATTCTGATACCCACTTGGAGCATCTCAATACCCATCTTGAAAAAAGTGTCCTGAGAACGTCTTATGTGCATACAAAGGGTAGCAGAGTTCAGTCTCCACAGACGAAGCAAAGTAATTTTAGGTACCTTCTTTGGCAAATTGCTTAATGCTTGTGAAGGAGAACGTTTTGGCTCTTAATTTTCACTACTTTGCAAAGAACATAAAAATCTGCTCCATCTTCCACCTGCACCCCAATAGCTTTTAAAAAACAGATTAGTTAGTACAAACTCTGGATAAAGGCTACTCCAATTAGGAAGACAGACATTAACAATTTAACAATGGCCACACCCGGGACTTCAGCATCTGTGCTGCAAACCTTACTTCCACTAGAGCTGGCAACTCAGGTTGAGTCCTTCCACAGCGACACTCCTTTCAAGTGGGCTGTCTACCTTTTCATAGGTGCTTTCTAAAAATTGGCATATGCACCCTTGGGGTTTGTACATGAACTCATTAACCTTCTTAAAATATGAAGATATGAACATTTCAAAAGCCATTGCAATTAATTATTTTCTGGAAACGTGTGTGGAGGATGTATGTGCCTATGTATATATGCATGCATAAATAGTGGGAACAGTATATTTCAAAAGTGCTGATCAAGCAGCAGTGTCCACCGTTTCCCAGTTCTAACTGAAAACACTCAGAAGAGCAGCAAAGTTCAGAGCTTGTATCTACAAAGAAAAAGACTGTCTAGATCAAGGATTCCACTGCACATTTTCTTAAAACCACCCCCACAGAGAACATAGACTTCTCCAACTAAGGACAAGAAGTGCTATCATCTGAAAATGTTATTTTGCCTTGGAAAAAAGCAGAAGAGCTATGGAGAAAGACCAGGATATGTACACCCCAAAAGGCTAATTTCCCATTTTCCAGCAGACTAGCGAATACAAGATCCTGTTTGCGTTAATTGATGGATATCAGATTCAGTCCAAAAGATAATGCATTACCTCCCCACTGCACATTGTCTGGAATTATTTTCAGCTTCTTTCTGATGGGCCCGTTCATTAAGTCGCTCAGCTTGTCTTTACTTTGATATTGTACGTGACGCTGGAAGAGTTTTACTGGAGAGAGAGAGAGAATGGTTTTTATTGCAAATTGCATCCGGCAGTTTATCTGGAGAGAGGACAGCTTGTATTTATTTTCTCATTAAACCCTGGTGTCTATCTTTTGAGAACTGCCAACACTGACAACACAACAAGTTACCAAAGACATAAAACAATCAGGCAGCAGGACATTAATAAAATATTCCCTGTGCACCACAGCAGAAATGAAACTAAAAAGCAATAAAAGTGGGCCATAAGCAGCACTAGCAAGGAAGAGGATTCAGTGCCAGGTGCCGATCCCCAGAGTACATTCCTCTTCCCTGGTTGCCACCCATCGAATCACATGACCCAGAATCACTTCTAAGGCCTTAAGCTAGAAGCTGTACAGAAAATGAGGGATTCCCAAGCCCATGTGCCCCACTGGCATAAAGGTGGGAGGAAATCTGCAGAGACAGCATTTCATTTGCCCACCCGTCTCCCCCGGCAACCTTTCTTCCATAGCTGCCTTTCTCCAAGACCTGCGAGCAAACCAGCAAGAGACAGCCTTGGTGGTGGAGGTGAAGCAAGAAACACCCACTCTGCCCACCACCTCTCCCAACAAGTGTTCTCCTTCAGGACAGACTGCAACATCTACCAGTCATCAGAGCCTTCTCTGGCTTGATAAACTGGTTGAAAGAGTGGTACTCTGCCTTTCACCAAAAAAAAAAAAAACTCGGGGCAGTTTGCGACAAGTAAAAACCAACATAAAAAAAGCAATCTGTCATGGTCTGTTCTGTACAGGTTGACATAAAAGTAAGAAAGTAAAAAGTATTTCAGCCCTGTTTGTGCCTAGTCATTTTTCTAAAATTAGGACCAAAGAAGATTTTTGGCAACAGATCCTAAGGGACTGCGAGGGTTCATTAGCAAAGAGCTGCAGTGCAGGTGAGGAGAGGGTCTCTTCTGCAATGGAGAAAGGGGTGGGGGGTAAAGTTGTTTATATGTTATCCCCAGGCCCACATTCTGCATCACAAAGAAAGCCCAGCTTCCTGAACCTAAGCATTGCTTTACTTCCATTCTCTGCTTTACATGAGTTCAAGTTAACCCCTCCACTACATCCATTTCTCTTCCCTGACAAGGAGGCAAAAATGCCATTAGAATGCCCCACTCCCAACACAAACAGGTTTTGTTTGTTTACTCACAAAATTGTGCCTGACCTATCACAACCTCATGGACAACATTCCTCCAGGCTCTCCTGTCCTCCACCATCCCCCAGAGTCCACCCAAGCCCACACCCACTGCCCCAGTGACTCCCTCTAGCCACCACATCCTCTGCCGCCCCCTTCTCCTTTTGCCATCACAAACAGGGCCACCAGCCAAATCCCACAAAAGGTCATCAGCTAATGTCCGGCACACCAACTTTACATGTCACGGGCTTTTTTTTTTTTTTTTGGTGGAAGTTGTGCAGCAGGTGTGCAGACCCCTGGCAGCTGCAAAAGGCACCATGTGAAAGAGGATGCCGCCTGCAGGACTCCCTCTCAACTTACAGAAGAGTGCTGTTTCACTTTCACCAGAGGCAAGAGCCGTTTTTGAAGGTGTGTCTTGAGTCAGAATATTATAGAAATTTACACCATTCGTGTACTAGAAGAGAAGAGAGAATCCAGTGAAGAGAAAGGCATTCCAGGACCTCTATCAGAGAAGAGTTTGCATTCTTACTAAACTTATGTTTTCTGCCTTACATGGAAAAAAGATTGGAAAACCCAATATAAAGTCTGTTCTCCTCCCTCTTCTACATTCATGTCCACCAAACATAGGCTCTTGTCCGTAAAACTTCATATTTTTAAGTCTATAATTTGCCCTAAATTACTCCAGATTTCTATCCAGTATCAGGATTACAAGATTCCTATATCATTACTGGTTGCGCAGAAGATGCCATTTGGGTCAGTGTCAGTTGTCTCAGCCCCACACGAAAGGCCAAACATTCACCTTCTGCACAAGTATTCGAAGCGAAAGAGTCTCGTCCCCTTTACATCCAAGCACCGCACTGCCTGTGCTGCTAGCTATTTTCCAACAGATAAAACTATTTCTTCTCAACCATCCCCAGCATGTAAAAGCATGATAAATACCCCCATACAATGGTCAAGCTAGGCTCAGCCTTTTTCACATTGTGGAGATCTCACTGAGCAGCCATTTTACCTCTTCTATGATATCCTCCGCCCGACTCCAAAGCAATGTGGCCAGTTTGAATTCTCTTTTATTCATAGCATCTAGAATCTTTTTAGCAGCAGTAGTCACTTCCTTCAAACCTTTATCGTCAAGGAGAGACTGTGGAGCAAAAGCGGGAAAACAAAAACCAAAGGAAGAATTAATTGAGCATATTGCGGTACATTTACTTGCAGACGAGTACAAGGTTGTATCTTAACCAACGAGCATTATTTGCGTTATCTGTGCCAGTATTTTTAATATCAGTGGATTGTAAAGTGATTCATTAGTTTGAGGAAAGAAAAGGAAATCTTTGGAAATTACCATTATGGACTATTTTAGTTGCTCTGAGCATTCTAGAGGAGCACCGGGACGCTTAAGGTACAATCCTATAACTTCAAAGTGTCAGCCAACTAAGTCTTTGCAGGGCAGAAGAAGTATAGAGGTGACCTCCAAGTCTGGAGGGTTGTGGGCAGCCTCACTGGTTGACCACTGTTTATGTTTAATTTCCATATGTTTCAGATGTTTTCTTTATTTGTGTTATATGAAAAGACCTAAGGTTACAAGCAATACAAATTTACTGGATCAAATATCAAACTTTTTGATTAGAATTCTACTGGATGCTCAAGTTGAAAAAGTGGGAACAGTGTTTAAGCTTCACAAATGTACCAAAGTGGGTGGCTTTGGGCAACAAAGACCTGAAGTCTATGAATCTTTGGTCTGCTCCACTGTGACAATTCTCATGAAAAGTGAAAGCGCAGAGTAGACAACTAAAGACTAAAAAGCCACCAATAGCATTGATGAATTAAATACTTACAGTGCTGTAAAGGTAAGGCCCCCAGGAAAGCACAGAATCTAAACGGTAGAAAAATTAAGAGTTTTCATGATGCAATAAACTTTATTAATGGCAAGGTAGAAAAGTAGACATCATCACTAGGAGTTTTTCCTGTACATGTAGCATTTTAAAAATTAGTATTTTAAATAGCTTTTAGTAGTCGCTTTTGATTTGTTTGATTTGATTTATTTTTACTGATTATTTATTGTATTATATATTGTTCATTGATTGTTTTTATTGAGTTTTGTATTATTTTATTGTTATTTATATTGATATTTTTGTAAGCTTACAATAAAATAATAAATATGCAATGCAAGCTATGCAAGGCCACACCTGCTTTGCACCTAGACTGCTTTTTTGAAAACTAAAAATTATACATTGCACATGAAGACCTAAGTTTTTCTCAGTCATCTCAGATGCAGACTTGTTTTTTCATAGTCCCCACCAAGTCTCAAGTAACACATCCACTGGAAGGAAACACTGTAAGAAATTATTGCAGGGCTCCACCTCTTCTGGTGAATACAAAAGAAAGGAAGTTTCATTCTTAAGCCTTCATGAAAAGGGCTCGGTATCAAGGCTAACAGTTAAATCACAAAATGCCAACAATACCCAACATTCCCAGCTGTATGGCTGGCTGAGGAATGCTGGGAGATCTGGGACTTTTTTTCTGCCTGAACAAGGGTAGGATAATACCTTAAGTGGCATTTAGGGATTCTCTTGCTATTTATATTAATCTGCTCTGCCAATTTAAAATGTTCAAAGAACTATTTTAGAACATCTGAAATTTGCACCTGAAACACAAAATTATTTTTACCAAGGAAAGAGATATCCTTGAACATCTGTGAAATGGGAGCAAGAGCTATTTCCTGCACTCTCCCTCTGTCTCACCTGCACACCCACACACAAGTCAGCCTAAGAACTATGCCAGAAAGGCTCACCTTAACATACCTAAAGGAGAAATCCAGGAATCACCAAGAGCCACTCCAAGAAAATTGCACTTTATTGTCTTAGCTTGAATTGCCTATAAGAAAAAGAGCTTGTGTAAACTGAGATTTTCACCAATGAGTTACACAACATTTTCATTGCGGCCAAGGCAATCTGATAGTACTTCAATTGCCTTCATGTACAAATATTGTACTTTTTTAAAATTTTTGCCAAATGCCAAGAAGATCTCACAGATTTTTTTATCAGATTGAACTGAGAGTGCTGAACAGATGCTGAAGACCGTTTGCTTGAGCAGGGATGGCTTTGCTTTACCTTATGAAGCTCCAAAGCAATGGCAGCCGCCATTTTTCCTCCATAAGATTCAGAAAAGATGTAGAAAGGAATTGTCTGCAAGGGAAGCAACACACAAACAGTGAAGGTGTTAAAGCATTGTACATCTTCCAGTAGACACACACACAACTCAAACCGTAGTGCACAACAGAAAAAAAACAAGGTTGCTGGGCAGTGTACTGAACTGAACTGGGAGAATTACCTAAGAAAACTCACTCAGTCTTTTGTTGGTGCTGAAACCCTTGCTGGGGACTGCTCTTTTTCGAATGGTAATGGGGGCTAGAAGCTTAGAACAAGCAGCGATTCTCAGGCAGGAGCACTTCCCCACTTCGTTTTTCCAATGCTTGCAGGGGCAAGGAAAGTCTCAACACAATGGCATCATGTCACCCACTTCACTTCATGCAACATCATGAGGAGATTACAAGCAACAGCAACCATGGCCTTAGAATGACAAGTGCTGGGTATTTCATTCATTTCGATTTATATCCTGCCTTTTTCCTACAAAGGGCTCAAGGCAGCTTACATCATTCTACTCCTCCATCTTATCCCCACAACAACAACCCTGTGAGGTAGGGCTGGGCTGAGAGTCTGTGGCTGGCCCAAAGTCACCCAGTTGGCTCCATGGCTGAGCAGGGACTAGAACCCAGATTGTCTGAGTCCCAGTCCCATGCTCTTAACCGCTACATTCTGAGCTGATGGGACGACTTGGAGGACTATCTCCAATGCTAGTTATAGCAATGGCACTCTCCTGGGCATGGCTAAAGGTCTTCTTTTCTGTCTGATCGGGGGAAGTGAGCCACCAGCAGGACTTGCCTGGAATTCTGCCTTAGACTTGAAGAACTCTCCGAGAACCACCATCATGTCCGAAGTGACAGTGCAGAGGTCTGTGGCGTATGCGAGGGTGTCGTTCACGTAACTGTACCCCGTGCCAACGGGGTTATCAACAAACAGCACGCTTGCTACCTGCAGCTGCACCACCAAAAGAAAGGAAGAGGCGCCTTTATTCACATCGGCACCACGTACAGAAACACACACAGGACAGCAGTGTGGTTGTGTGTTGTCCTGGCAATAGCGCAAAACATGGCTACATTCAGTATAAATACATAAATAAAGCCTGGCAGAATGTTCCGCATTTCCCTTTAGTTTCACCTTTCGATCTTGCAATGGACAGATTCGGCCCCTGCATAGTTCTAACAAGAAAGGAGTTTTGCTAGTTCATGGCTTGACTGTTCTGAGCAATCACTTTTCATCAACAACATTTTAATGTTTCGAGGTGATGTGTAAATATAAATATAAATATCACACGAAATCCTCTTAATACACATGTTTTTATTTGCATGATTATACAGCACCCCAAGGTCCTCTGCTGGTGGTATAGCAAGCACATTACAATAAATATATCTGCTGCAGTTTAGCTTTCAGTATATTCAAAGATATACTTTGGACTTGTCAGTTACAAAACAGATGCACAGAATAATCTTGTGGCACCCATGATCTTCACCACAGCTATATCACAAGTTGATTTATTTATTATTATTTATTACATACATTTATACCCGTCCTATTGCTTCAAGCACTCAGGACGGCTTACGAGATATAAAAATACAATAAATGTAAAACATTAATTATTAAAACAATATAAAGCAATTAAAAAGCTTTTCCTGGCATGGCAGTAAGCAGTGGGAAAAGTTTCACCTTGTTAGTCCATAAAAGACATAGGAGGGTTTAAGAAGTGGTCACTTTGGTGGTATATATTGGCTGTTAGGGGAAAAAACACAGGAAGGATCCTGAATCTCATCAACTAAACAAAACAAGCATATATAGAAGTATTGCAATAGTAACACAACTAACCGCAACATTTAGGGATTGTGACCTGGAAGAGCCCTTCAGCTTAAATAGTAGGGAACACTTCATACTTTAAGCATGTGTTTATATGAATGATCAGTTCCTTGCCAGCAGGAAAATGCTGTATCTTCTATTCATAAGCCATGATACCTACCCAAGTTGTCCTTCGTGGTTTTAGATCAACATCCAAAGGGCCAATCTCTTCAAAGTTCCCATATCCACAACCTGAAGCCCCTGGGCCTCCCTAAAAAAAAAAAAACACAGATCGGAAAGGAAGCAGATGAGAATTGAAGCAGAAACATTTGATATAGTCTTTTGCTTGTTTATCTCCAAAAACACCCTATGATGTAGGCAGACCTTTTACCTAGTTTGCCTATCCATAGCTAAACAAGGATTTGCTTTGCTCAGAAATCACAACAACATTTGAAGCTTGACTTGCACAATGACCAAAAAATTGGGGCTGCCAATCCCCCACCCACCAACCCGGCTGAAAGGGAGTCTTTGCCTTTAGCAAGCAGCATTTCAACAGCTGCAGCTTTACACAGCCTGAGCAAGCAGTAATGGGGAAAGGCACACCAACTGAACTTCTGCTTCTCATAGACCTCCTCAGCAGAAAGGCCCCCTGCCCAACACATGAAAGGCCAAACAAGCCAGGCGGATGCTTTTGCCATGGTTTCTCTCTTTCCTTCACTGTTCCTGCACCTTGACTTGCTGCTGATCCTCCACCTACAGTACACACACCAGTGCTTCTGATCCTCCTTGTATAGGCTCCCTAGGCTTTTGCCAGAGAAAATCTTAGCCAAGGGATGCAAGCGCCGTGCCCCTGAGGATTCACTCAGCACAGTAGGAGAGAGGACAGCATGCATTTCTCTAACACATATGAGCAGAGCTGCCAATTTTTCAATCAGTCCTCCCTGATGAACCTTCCGCATAAGGAGGGCAATTTCCAAGCTACGAAAACAAACAAATCTGGAGTGCCACAAGTTCCATCATGCATAGCCAATAGTAAAGGATGATGAGAGGTATAAGCCAAAACATGCAGAAGCCCCTGCTTTAACTGGTTGATTGCAGCAATTAGCAGCTGATGGATGTCATTACCTATTATCACAGATAAAGCCATTAAAAGCTCAGGAGTAGAGGCTGAGTAAAAAGTTGGCAATTCTATATGTGACTTATGATAGAGTTGGAAGGGGCTGAGAAGGCCATCAGGTTCAACCCGCCGCCGCCGCTGCTGGACACCAATTTATACTATTCCACTATGAAGTATCTAACAGGGTCGCAGTATGTACAGGAGAAGAAAATACAGGGCAGGATTAAGAAGGAGTAAGAGTGAAAAAAAGTTGACTGAGAACAAGTCCTATCTTCCACTCATAACATTCTAATGTTTTTCTACCACATCCTTCATCTTTCTCCTCACTGCGAAGGTAGGAAACGCAGAATTGCTGCATAATGCTGTTGGACTGTCAACACCAGGACCACGCCACCTGAAAGCACCCTAGCCTGTGGGAAAGCAAAGCAAGCAAACTGCTTTCACAAATCACACCCCACACCCTGCTCCAACTTACCTGAAGCCACATGATCAGAGGAAGCTCTGTGAAATTCCGGGAAGGGTTGTCTGCATAGTACAGCCACCAAAACATGCTCGCATTGCTTCTGACGGGAGTGTACCCCCATGCCTGCTTTGGCTCTTTAGGTTCCTTTATCAAAAAACCTGAAAGGGAAAGCCCCAGAAATCATGAAGGCATGGCATGCATTTACCATGGTAAATAGGAACAGAACACCTGACTACAGAAGACACATGTTTATCGTATTCTCAAGATATACAGCAGAGCCATCTTTTCCTTCAACACCAATGCATCATTCTTGCAACTGATAATTTATTTCTCTTATATTCTGCACTAATTTGTTCAAAGGTCTCTCTAAGCAGATTACTGGAAAATAAAAACAGTAAAAAATATAAATAAACAATAGCAACAATAAAACAAAAATACATGCATAGCAATATACCATAACGATGCACAATAAAATCATATAGTACCATATACAATAACAAGATACAATAAAATATGCAACATGCAGCAGAGAGATTAGGGGTGAATAGGTTAAAATAGTATGTTAAAACTATGGAACAATGAAAAACTATATACCCTAAAATGGAATATTGTAAAATCAGTTATTAAAATGTCTGGACAATCTTCTTGGACAATTAGATTTGCCAACTTTATGTGGTCCACTGAAATACACTAAAGTATTTGCATGCTGGTTTCTTGCTAGAAAAATGGGTACTGCCTTGCAAAGGCTAAGGCAAGCTTGGATAAAACTGTACTTCACCCCTGCTCAATTGTAAAAGTTCAGGTAGCACTTGAGAGGTCCAAAGGCCTGCTCCAGGGTATGTTCAAGGTCAAATTTTGGAAATGATATTTGCCGCTTTTTTAAAAGCCCTATGTCTTCAATGTCCCATTGAAGTCCGGGCCCAATTCAAGGTGTTGGTGATGACCTATAAAGCCCTATACGGCTTGGGTCCTGGTTACCTGAAGGAGCGCTTACATCCATATACGCCTGGCCGCCCCTTGAGATCTGCGGGAGAGGCCCTTCTCCGGGAACCCTCCGTGAAAGAAAGTAGGAGGGTAGGTACTCGGAGGAGGGCTTTCTCTGCGGTGGCGCCCAATCTATGGAGTGCGCTCCCCAGAGAGGTCCGCCTGGCGCCGTCGTTATTTGCTTTTCGGCGCCAGGCGAAGACCTTTTTATTTAAGCGTCATTTTAATTGTTAATATTATTTGCTTATTTTATCTGGCCAGGGCGACTTATTTTATATTGTTATTTTTTGTATTTTAACTTTATGTTGTGAGCCGCCCCGAGGCTTCGGCGAATGGGGCGGCATAGAAATGTTTTAAATAAATAAATAAATAAATAAATATGTAATAACTATTGTTGTCACGCCAGGACACACCACCAAATTAGTACTTTTTTCTGATTCAAAAGAATTTGTGCTTGCTAGCAAGCATACCATTAAACTGCAGACAGCAACTGACATGGAGTGTGGAACTACTGAGTGAGCTGAAAATGTAAGTGCTTTTGAGGAATAACATGCAATATGAGAGGCCATAATTCCTCTTCTCCCGCACCGTCTGCAAATACTGTTACAACATAATTCCGTCCTTTTAGTGGCCTCACAAAGGCAGAAGAATCCTGCACCGGTCAGCAATGTTAATAGCAAAGCAAATATAAGAAAGGAAGACTCTTATGTGCCCTCCATCCCAGAGCTATGTAAGTTCATTTGGATTTAGTCTTACATCAGAATTTCTCCCAGTATCACTTGGAGGGTGTTTTGCCTACACCCAGGAAGTTGCATACCATCTTCTGGCATCCCGATCCTTGGCACTGTTACTCTACAATAAGCCCCACTCATATCAACAGGAGTCACCCACACACATCCTGTCACTAGAGATGGTGTAGGATGTGGAGAGACAATGGCCTGGCCTGTACATGCCACAGACTAAGCTGGTCCTACCTTTTCAGTCTCCATTTTTAAAAATTCTCTTCCCCTTCCTAAGAATCTCCTCTGAGGGCAAATCTAACAGATGGAATAGAAAAACTCTATTTTTGTGCTTATTTTCTGCTTGCAACGATTAAATCGCACACGCAAAGGAGAACCCAGTCTTGGCCTACAGTCCCATGGCACGGGACTTGGCTTCCCTGAGCACAGACTGAGCCTTGTATGCATCATGGCAAGACAGGCAGACCATCTGCATTGTCAGCTACGTGCAGAGAAGGAAACTTCAGCAAATGCATGAGATATGTCAGACTCCTCCTTCTGCACAACTGGGAAAGGTTTCGTCCTCCTCTTGCGCATAACCACCTCTGCCGTGGCCGTTTGTAGGCCTGATATGAGTCATATGCAGAATGGCTGACAGCTGCGAGTTGGCATCCCATGACTAAAGCCTCTTAAGGCAGGCACTCAGGAATGTCCAAAAAAGAGGAAATGTATCTCCAAAACGACAGGACTTGGATGTTCATAAATATCTGCACAATTGCATTCATCTAAATAGAAATGCAATCTCTCTCACCCTAATGCTGCAGACTGCAATCAGGTGACTTGTATGTGGGTCTACCTGTACAGGTACACGTTGATGATGCACAACAAGTCTCAAGGTTCATGATCTTTAAATCAGAATGTGACTGGAAAGCCCCATGAAATGAGGATGCCTTCAAATACAGGATGCACCCCTAGTAGTCCTTCTGTAGAAGAGACGTCGTATCTGCTATACCTGGTGCCAGTGACCCAGAAATCCCTGTCTTTAAGACCTTCTGCTCCACCCTACTTACTCCAGTAGGTAGAAGCAGAGACTTCTGTTGTCATCACTACTGGGGTTGTTTTTTATCATCATCATTAAAAAGATGCAAACAGCCTGTTTGCCTTTCCTTTCCAGTGGGGAGAAGTGACGGCAACACAACAGGAATGGCTCCAGCAACATCACTATTGATTGCTGGAGAGCTGTTAAGCAATCGGGAAGTCTCTCCAGGTTTCACTCTGGCAACACACACCACAGCCCCAAGAACTAGGAAGCAGAGGTGGGCACAGAAACCAATTCCTATGCAAAACCTTAATCTGTTCTGTAAGTTTCCAATACACTCTCCTATATCTTGCATCACCTGCCACTAACAGGAAGTAGTTCTCCAGCAACTTACCCCACAGTAGCCCTGCTGACACCAATTCTACTCCTCCAGGAGACAGCAGTTTCTCCACCCATCCGTAGGTGTAAAACTAGCCTTGCAATAACCTACTCCCAGAAAAATATTGCCACCTTTCCTCCCCCTGGCTGTTCTAGATGCCTTGAGCAGAATTCAACACATGGTCCTGCACTACTGCATCTCTATACTGGGAATGGTTTCCCCTGTTGAATTTCTGCTTGCTATGCAGTTAATTGTTAAGCAAGAAGAGAACAGGAGGAAAAAAAGGTGGTAATCAATCATATTCCAGAGGTGACTTCCTGCCTAGACTTCTGTAACGCGCTTTACGTGGGGCTTCCCCTGAAGACAGTCCGAACACTTCAATTGGTGCAAAATAGAGCTGCCAGGTTGCTGACGGGGACGGGGCGTTATGCTCACATGACTCCAGTCCTCCACCAGCTTCACTGGCTTCCCATTGAAGCCCGGGCCCAATTCAAGGTGTTGATTATGACCTACAAAACCCTAAACGGCTTGGGTCCTGGCTACCTGAACGAGCGCTTACGTCCGTATATGCCCGACCGCCCTTTGAGATCTGCGGGAGAGTCCCTTCTCCGGGAACCCTCCATGAAAGAAATTAGGAGAGTAAGTACCCGGAGGAGTGCTTTCTCTGCGGTGGCACCCAACCTATGGAATTCACTCCCCAAAGAGGTCCGCCTGGCACCGTCGTTACTGGTTTTTCGGCGCCAGGTAAAGACCTTTTTATTTAAACATCATTTCAATTGTTAAAACATATGATCTGGCCTGGGCAACTTCTTCTTCCTTCTCTTTCTCCTCCTATATTTTTATTTTATACTGATAATTTTAATTTTGTATTTGTAAATCAATGTATTTTTTGTATTTTTATATTTAATGGTAATTTATTATGTACTATTGTATTTCAATGTATTTTATCATGTTGTAAGCCGCCCCGAGGTTTCGGCAAGGGGCGGCATAGAAATGTTATAATAATAATAATAATAATGTATGATTCTGTGCATGCTTACTCAGAAATCAGTTTCCTCATACTCAGTAGGATTAACACACACAAGTGTGCATAGGGTTGTACTTTAGACATACAAATTGTTACTATTGCTAATGTAAGTTATATTTCACTAGCATAAATGGCCTCTAGCATTTGCTGGCACAGCAGGTTTTCCAGCTAAACCCATTGTACCACTAAATTCTACTGCTGTTTCACCAGAAATCACTTATGCTAAGTAAAATCAGCCCAGACACAGTGCATACACCATTTCCTGCAAGCATACAGAACTTCAGCACCTCAGGTTCACTCTTCAGTCCAATTCAGTGCTCAGGGTTCCTCAGAACTGAGGAAGCTCCCTTTCTGTAATTAGAAGAACTCTCCTTTTATATTAAATATCAAAGAAATACACTTCCAGTCATCATTAACTGGGGGTGGGGGGGTGTTAAGCAGGGTGAAAAGCCCAAGGGGTGACTTATTTTATGCATTTATTTATTTACAATATATTCATTAAAAAATCTCAAGAGGTTTTAGATTTAAAAAGACCTCTTCTAACAAGCATAACTTATGATGTTTAAGTCACATGTTTATCTTAAAAATACTTCTTGGTGATCATCATACACATCCATACTACACCTAGCACACTGAACCAAAACAGTTCTACCAGGTATTGGTACAATTAGATGTGATCAGGAGACAGTAGAAGAGAAAGTCGGGGACTGCAAGAGAGAGCAATAGCTCTCAGGGTTTCTTGTAAATCAGTTGTTAATGTTCATGCACTCAATTTTCTGATGTTTAATACATCTGACATGGAAGTATTACTTGACGTTCTTGTGTCTCATCTGCGGTGACCATATCCTACCCTTCTGTTATTCTACATACATTTATGATGTGCCTTTCTATTTCACCAGCTACTAAAATTGTCCCTGAATCTAAAAGTCACCACCATACACAATTCTGTGGAGCACCATTCTGACACCTCACTGGAATCAGACAACAAATACCTGCTGAAACTAAGATTTAAGCAAGTTTTCTCACCACTGATTTGAATAGGACTGGTGCAATCTGATCCTAAACAGACTGATTTAGAAGTATCCTAGATTTTAGTTGAATCTCTCTCTTAGGGCTGCCACCTGATTAAAGATCTCAAACAGAAATTTACTCAGAAGTCAGTTCATTGTTAAGAGGGCTGTGCAGGATCAGACCAAAGGCCTATTCGATCCAGCATTCTGCCTCCAGATGTCTGTGGAAGGTCACAAGCGAGGCCTAACACTATCTCCCTCTGCAACTCATGTTCCCCCGTAACTGGTACAGAGCGGTGTACAGCTTACTTGAGGCAGGTAATTGTGGGAAGAATTCCCATTAAACTCAGGGGTCTTACTTTTGAGTTGACATGCACAGGATGCTTATGAAGTAAAACCGCTCATGCTGAAGCAAAATCCATGCATTTTTTCACTGCTTCAGTTAGTACCTGCTGCAACACACCCACATGTCCGTTTTAAGATGGCTCTTACCATCTGCAAGCTTGGCAACTTTATATTTAAAATATTATTTTAAAAAATCATATTCTGCCTGATTAACATGAAGTACATTTTCAGTCAACTAAAAACCAGGAACCAGTGAAGAGGTGAAACATTTCAGCCTGTGATTCTCAACATACATGCTCAGAATTCTCGGTTCCACACACAAAATCAGTCATTTCTTTAGCAGGCTGCTATCTTAAGTCAAGGCCTGTAAAATATTTTCCAGAAGAATGTCTAGAAGGCAGGGATAGAGTGCAAAGGAAGACAACCCTCATGAACATTGCAAGAGAATTTTAGCAGGTGTATGAGACAGGTCTGGATCTACTAATATTCCTTTTTTTCTGCCTAGTTATTATGGGTTAAAAGAGCTCCTTCCTCATTTTCCCTGCATTTAACCAGAGATGAGGGTGGCTGAAATGAACAGAAGAGGAACCAATTTCAGCTACTCATTTAAATGGCACCCTGCAGTCCAGGACTTGCAGAGAACACCATTTTGCAGATAATCTAGAAAGTGTAGCAGACACTCTAAAAAGCCACATGCGTTAATCGGCTCCTCGTGGCAGTGAGCTCTGCATGTTCTCCTAAGGAGCCATCACTTCAGCCTATTCAGGGAGTGACAACTGTTAAAGTAAACTTGCCATCATTGTCTGTACTTTGCATTTCACTTCCCTCTCAAAATAGTTTACATTCTCTTCCATCCCGTGCAGCCCGGAAGTGTACATAAATCTGCCAAACTGAGGTTAAAACTTCAGGCATTTAACGAAGCAAGCAGGGTACACAAATGTTTGTGCCAGCATAGATTAGTCTAGCAGAGTCTCTTGGTTGCTACTTCGTGCAAGCAAGTAGAACAGCTACCACTCCACAATTCCAAAAAGTCTCTCGAAAAGCAGTCTAAGCAACTTGACTTGATAGATTTTACATATATCCGTGCATTCTATGACTAACCTACATGTACTAAGCCTAGAGGCACCATCAAATTACACCTACATTCTCCAATTTAACTGGGGTATGAATCATGCAGTTACCTCTCCTAAGAGCTTTTAATACAATAATATAAAAATATATCTATATTATACACAGAGAAAGGTTCATTCCCTTTAAGTCTTACCGAAGCTCACAGTTATCAGACAGAACAGTAGAATATAATTCTGTTTCAGCAACATCTTAGCAACAATAGGGCGATTTCCTGGGTAGAAATCATATGACTCCAGTTCCTTGTCAGCTGCTTCTGAGAATAGGAAAATCACGAGCTCCGCTCCCTTTATAAAGGGAACTGGTACGGCCTGCACCAGGGCGCCCCCTTTCCGTTAATCCTGAGAAGTGCAGCCAATATTTTCACGGCCAGTTCCCGAAAATTTCGCATCTAAAAATTTAGAAGGGGGAAAGCATTTTACACTCCGTGAGCTCAACCAGTGGTAATGTTGAGTGCCCACAAGTTTGGACGGAGGGTGTTGAAAACGCAGCTATTCATGAAACTAGCAGCCGTCTAGGTGTGCAAATCGGAGAGCATTTCACAACAATATTGAAGCATTTCTTGCATGCAGTATTGTAATACCAACGTCCTTCTTGTTGGAGCCAATTTGCCTCACCTGTTTCACTCAGTTATGCTGCGCTGCGATCCCCATATTCAGATAGATATATTGGGATTTTAAACGGATTAGGCATTGCTGGCCAGCCTTCCTTGGTCCAAAGTGGCACAAGTCTGAAGTACGAGGAAGGGCCATCTCTGTGCACACAACACTGCCCTGTGCCTTGGAGTGTGTCCTATGCTCTAGCACACACACTAGTGACGAGAATATAATTCTCCCTCCTCCATCAGCACTTCCTGAAACTGAGTCCCCCAGACACAGAGGCACTCCTAAGTCCACATGAACTCCTTTGGGCAAGACAAGGGGTCTGCCTGCCCAAAAGCAACACTGCAGCTGAGTGATCTCAGTGCAGAAACAGAAGCCACTAGCAAGTAGACCGGCATGAGCACAGGACCAGGGCAAAGGGACCACACACGGAGAGACGGAAAAGGACTGCCCGCAACAGCCACAGCACAATGGCGTGGCTGATGCTCAGCCAACGGAGGCTGACTCCCCATTGATGGTGGTGTCCCATAAACACCCCAGGAGCTCCCTGACTGGGCAGGCTGCAGCACCCTAGAGCACGGCCTGGAGGAAAATGATGCTGCCACCTTGGTGAAGCTTGGAGAGTCTACGCCGGACGGGGGACCACAGGGGGGCCTCCGCGTACGCTGCGCTAACGTTGGAGACAGATTAATGCCATAAGCTGGTGTTATAGGCAGCTCTCCAAAGTACAGGGGTGGGAGCATGGCCTTCCTGGGCTGTGTGCGCCCCGAAAACCACTTGTAAGGAGCACCGCTTCTGGAGCAGATACACAGATTCTGTCCCTGCTGCTCAAACCTATCTACAACGTATATTGTTCACTTGATGTCCTCTTCCACCAAGAACAGAGCTGCACGTGTATTGATTTATTTATTTTAAGGTTTTTATAACTTGTTCAATTAGCTGGATTGGCTCTCAGAATGGTTTACAAATCAGCAATTTACAAATTATTTCATTTCATTGCATTTCATTTTAATTTATTTCCTTTATTTATTAACTGTTTATTTACTCTTATCTATTGTTCTCTTACTATTAGTTGTATTGCAATTGCTGGGTTTTTTTGTACTGTCATAGTGATTATATTGTAAGCCTCCCAGAGAGCTGTATGGCTAAACAGGCAGCATATACATCAAATAAATAAATAATATTAAATAAATAATAAATACTCTAAAACAGAACATATAAAATATATTACAAAAAATCACAACCAATTGCAGTATAACAGAGGGCAGTTACAAAGGCTACCACAAGAACAATAAATATAGTAAGATATGCTAAAACCAAATCACACCATGCTGATGACAAGTAAGAGAAAAACTAATACATAATCCATGAATTTAAGAATTAACTAATAGTACATTAACAATTAAAATGCTGGAAAAACAAAAAGGTTTTAACTCCGTGCTGAAATAGGTACAATGTTGGCACCAACTGAACCTCTCTAAAAAGCCCTTTCCATAAGGGCGCCGCAACTGAGAAGCCCTTACCCTTGTGGCTCCTTTTAGATATCCAGGCCCTAAACTGTTTAGAGCTTCACAGGTTAATGTAAGCACCTTGAAGTGGGTCCAGACTTCAACTGGTAACCAGTGCAATAGACAGAGAGCAGGACTTACCTGTTTGTTCCTGCCTGTCTGGCTGTCCTATTTTGTACCTATTTGCATCTCCAGACCATTTTCAAAGGCAACCCCACAGTAGCCTAACTACGAGGTTACCAGAGTGTGGATTACCATTGCTAGGTTCTGCCCATCCAGATAGGGGTGTAGTTGGTATTTCGACAGAAGTTGATAGAAGGTGCTCCTAACCACTGATTGCACCTGAAACTCCAGGGAGTTCAGGAGCACCCCAAACTCTGCACTCTGTCCTTTAGGGGAAGTGCAACCCCGTTCAGGACAGGATGGATATCTTCCCTCTGGACTAAGGTTCCACCTATCAATAGTACTTCTGTCTTGTGTGGATTAAATTTCAATTTGTTGGCCCTCATCCAGTCCATCGCCCTAGCCAGACACTGCTTCAGAACTGTCACTACCTCACCTGGATCCGATGCAAATGGAAGGTAGAGCTGGGTATCATCAGCATGCTGTTGATACTGCAGCCCTAACCTCCTGATGACCTCTCCCATCTGTTTCATGTAGATGTTGATGTTTGGTGTCTCTTGGATGAAAGAGGATACAGGATGCTTCTGGTGTCTTTGCAATATGTGTTTCTTCTATAGTAATAATAGATGGTATCTGTCTCCCTGTTGATGGCAGGACTGTGAAACTTAGAAACTGAAACTTGGCATGCCTGCTAAGGGAATCCTAGGGCTGAGCACCTCTGGGGTATTTAATTTTACAACACATTAATCTTAATTAATGTGTCTCCATGGTTAAAGGTTTCAGTGGTATCTTCAGCTGCTAGGGGCAAACTTCACTTACTAGCAGATTGCTTTTCAGCCTGTAGAATTTGAGACCAGGGAAATTAGTCAACCAGCGTTATATACCTGCCCCTTCCCACTGCTCTGGGGTAGCGCCATCCTCAGGGTAATGGAGTGGACAGACCCCTCCATCAGGGGTCTCTAAGAGTGTATTATGGCAGGGGACATACCTGGAGGTACTAGCAGCCGTGGGTTCATGTAAGATGGGGTGACCCTGGTGTGTCCAACTTGACAGCTTTGTATGCTTGCTTTGAAGGATCTGCAGTATCAAAGTGCAGGCTGTACCAATCTGCGAAGCTAAGCCCATGCACTGCTTACAAATATAGGCAGGGCACTTTGGAATCAACCAGAGTCTCTAAAGCAGAGCACAAGTTTTAATCATTCACTGAATACCAAACATAACAACATTACTCCAAAGTGAGTTATCTCCTGCCAACTCATCATGTTCCTGGTGTACTGTATTATTCTTTCCAGTCTAGATTATTATTTCTATACAGCATTTTCTCCCTGCTCTTCCCAGGGAAAAAGGCTCCCAGACTGGTTAACAAAGATTTTTTAAAAAATCCGATCCCTGCCTTCAGGCTAACCATCTCTCCCTCTCTCCCTCTCCCTCTCCCTCTCCCTCTCTCTCTCTCTCTCACACACACACACACACACACACACACAACAAAAACAAAACAAAAAGGGATTGGGCAACAGGGTACCCCTGAACCTCAGCTCTTCTTTGTTGGGCTCCAAGTGAAATATGAAATACTTCACCATACCAAATAAGCCAAGCATAAAAATCCCTGCACATAGAAATGCAACAGCTGTCAAGAAGGAGCTTTGCCTAGCCTTTGCCCTGACACACTAGTTTTCCATGTGCAGATGTTTCTCCTATTATGGAAAGAGTGTTCAATCCTGTGAGCACCCAATTGTGCTTTCACGTGGCACAACCCACACAGAGTGTCTGCCTCACTGAGAATGAGGTTTCTTTCTCTGGCCACATTAAAAAAACTAGCCATCTCTCTGCCCTTCCCCTACATTACATACTAAAAGCTCAAATGATTAAAGACATCCATCCCTTGCCTTACGATACAATCATCCATCATGTTTACCAGGCAAAGCTGCGGCAACAGACACATTCTTGTATGTGAATCGAGGTAGCCAATCTCAGCACTGTGCAAATAAAAGTGACAACAAGAACAACCTCACTTTTGAAAATGCCTTTCGTATTGGAAAAGCCTGAGTGCGTATGGCTGAAAAAGCATCTATGACTAGTGAAGGTGCTCATGGCCAAGGGATGGTGATCCAGCACAGCAGTGAGCTGTGGTGCAGCTGTGAGAAATGAAAAATTGCCGTTACTAAGTGGTAAGGTGAAAACCAAAGAAAGGGTGAAATACAGGGCTAGGACAGGATCATTGAAGTCCCTTAAGGCCAAAGGGCCTGAGGATATAGATAGTTGTAATAAAAGTGATAGAGCTTCTTACATCAAAGTCCTGAAGAACACTAGGGGGTGAAATTGGGGGACAGTGGTAAAACTGTCACCTTCAGTGGAAGAGAGCAGGAAATTGATTGTCTTTTACAGCTGGCCGTAATGAGCCTGGAGGAAGGCCTGTTTGTCCGATCTCATCCTCCCACAAGATTTAGGAAACAAGTTGGTATCAAGCGAGAGGCTCCAACGCCAAGCCGACCTGTTGAACTCTCAGAAGGTAGTGCGCATGCTTAGTAGGGTCATGAATAGTAACTGACACACCTCTCATAGGTAATGGGCTCATTAGCATGAACATGGGAGGTATGAATGGGAGGGGGAACCTATCGAGGGGTAGTATGATGTAGGCGGACAGAGAAGATTGTGACTTCTTAGTAACCCAGTCAATGGGAGAAAAGAGGTAGGGTCTGCGAGCTGGGAAAAGGGAATAAAAAGCAATGTCTTGTGTGAAAGCGGTGCGCTGCCTGTGTGGTGGGCGCCCGCTCTTGCAAGAATGTATTAAACTATTACTGCTTTGTACTTTGCCTCCGTATCAACACTACTGGGATTTCATTTCCTACACACCTAGGTAATTTCAGACCCCAGACAAAATGGTCTTACAACAGCCCGAATTGCTTCCTGAGCTGTATGGAACAACAATATATTTATATATTGCTGTCTGACACTAACCCAGCAATAACATATAGTGTCGCCAAATTCCTTGCCTTGATGGGTGTCCGAAGACAGATCCTGGGGGATGGCGGCTCTACCTTGTTGGAAAAGGACAAAGTCTGGGATTGTCACCAATTTAAGATGACTGATATTGTGTTGAAACATTTGTTAATCCGAGTGGGGTTTTAATATAATGTTTTATGTATTTCCTTTTTTAATCTATGTATTTATTGAACGGAGCTGGTCTTTGACCAAAATAAAATTTATCTACAACAACCCTCTCTAGATGGCCATATACATTACTTCAGCATATGCCATGCATTGCTCTTCCTCCTGCCGCTCCATGCTTTGAAATCTCCTGCATTCCTTTTCTGTTAGAACAAGGCCATTAGCCAAGACTGGTTTTATAAAGAACACTCTAAGCATGCACAGGCTGGCATTTTAAATTCACTTAAATGTTACAATTTCAGGGACTACAAGAATAGAGGTCTGTTTCTGCACCCGTCACTTATGGGGTGGTCATTTGAAGGCCACCCCATGGGTTGCAGAGTTCTGGACATCAACCCCAGGTCCAGCACTTGCCACACTAATGAAGGAAAGTGGTGGGGAAAGAGTTTACCGCCTGATCCTATGCAGAGTTAAGCCCGGTTGCTCTAATGGTGCCGTCCTATGCATGTTTAGACACAAAAAGTCCTACAACTCTCAGCATTCCTCGACTACCATAGGACTGCACCCCAAAAGTGCCTAACTTGGCATGAGATAGGGCTGTTAATGTCTAGCTTTCAGAGTGCTCCTAAAGACTCTGGAATAAGGCCAGGAAGACAGAGATAATAGTAGGCATGACATCAGCTTGGAAAAGAAAATTAAGAAAAAAAAAAAGAAAGAATGAGAAAAGAGAGCCTGCATCTCCACCAAGGAGAATTTTGTTTGCACATTTTCATGGAGCCACGAGATCTCACATTGTTTAAACATCCTATAGACAGTCCAAACAAGCAACTTGCTGTCTCTAGTTTTAATCTTTGTATATACAGTGGGTCAGTATGCTCCTGTGGTGGATGGCATGCTGACCTTGGCAATGTGAGGAGATCTCAGTTTAAATCCAGTAATTCTAGGCCTGCCAAATCTTTTTTCCTCTTTATCTATGCTTTTAACAGCAGCTAAATGGAAAGGCATTAGCAGATACGGAGCAAATCTCTATGCCATGAAAGACTTGACTTGCTGGTTTCAGCACATCAAGGCATTGTTAACGGCACAAGAGCAAGCCAGTTTTTTTCTTCTGGTCAGCTGGCAATCAGTTGCCACAAATCCTTCTGCAGTACTGAGTATCCAAGCAGGTCTTACCACCACAGGGTGAAGCAGAAGTCACTAGGCATCAAATTCTTTCCTCCGAATTGCACAATGGGAGTGCCTTGCCTGAACCACAGCTCTTTCTTTGCAAAAAGATTTGAGTCAGAAATCAAAACTGCTGAAAACTGTAGAAAAGTTCAGATGCAAGGATTTGATTCTTACAATTCAAACTCCGCATTGCTTCTCAATCCTGGACAAATGAAGAGGAAAAATTACAATTCAGCTGCAGTGGCCTGTTTCCAGAGAAACAAGGCATGGATATGGAAGATTTCTAATGTCATTAGGTGATGCTATAAATCATATAAATTATGCAGAGAGGCAAGGGTGCATAACAGCCAGACTTATACTGTATAACTTTAACAGCTCTTGCATCTCTGACTTTCTGTTTCTTGTTTGGTAAGAAATTCCCTAATTCCAACCACTGACAGAACACTTTTGTTCCTAGTTTGGTTCCTTTTTTTGAATAAAATTATCTCTATTATCATCAGGGGGTTTTTTTGGAGGGGTGAAGCAAAGTGAAGCCTTTGATATGCTTGTCCTGACTTTTGCCATTTTATTGCCATTATTGAAATAAACCCAGGGCACAATTCGATGTTTCAAATTTAAGTGTTAGCATTGTTCTTGTATCTATTTTCAAACAAGGGGAGGAAAGTGGGAATTGCAATATGAGAGAACTGGACACGGAACCACTGATAGTTCATTTCCAATGTTAGCCAGTGGGCAATCTGCTAAACAAGCATGAACACAATCTCCTGCCGGCCACTTTTAAAATCTGTCAGTCTAGAAGTCTCTTTAACAGCTGTGCAAAGGGCAGAAATAAATAAATGTCGGCTTCCGCCTATATCTGCATCTGCCTTTCTGTTTTTAATTCAATGGTTCTAAGTATAACGATTCTAACGTTGGCAAATAAATTTTTGTTGAATAGCTTTCCACCACCGGAGCTATTCAGACCTTTCCCGAAAGGTGGCGCTAGCGGGTTGAAAGGGGTTGAAAGGGGAAGCTTCGCTCGCTTCCCCTTTCTCCCTTTTTGTCCCATGCGGTGCGCCGTAACAGCCGCCTCTTGGCAAGATGGCGGCGGCCGCTGGTATTGGCGAAGCCCCTCTGCGGCTTCGGCTGCTGTTCGACTACCCGCCGCCGGGAAGTCCGGCCTGCGGGCTCTGCTGGCTGCTGCTGGAGCCCAGTCAGGTGCGCCTCGTCACCGATATCATCAGCCTCATCCGCCATAAATTCGGCTTCAGTCGCCACAGCCAGCTCAGCCTCTTTCTTGATGGCGCGCTGCTGCCGCCCACCGAGAGCGCGCGGCTCGTGCGGGATAACGACTCCCTCCGGTAGGAGCCCTGCGGCCCCCTCAGGCGTGGTGCAGAGAGGGGCGGCCGGTCGGCCGGGATGCTTTGGTTCTCGCCTTCCCTAGCCTGATGACCGCCAGTTGGGTTTTAATTATTTAGATTTAATTTGTGACATGTAGGCCCTACCTTGCCATCGTGCAGCCGAAAGTAGTGTACGGGATCCTCTTTCTCCCCCCCCCCCCGTTGTTCTCACAACAGCCCAGTGAGGTAGGTTAGGTTGGGGGCCAGGCGCTGTTCCAGAATCACGCAGTAAGCTTCATGGGCAAAAAGGGATTAGAACCTGGGTCCCCCAGATCAAATCCTTAAGCCTCACACCAGCTCTCATAACTGGCTGAACGTTGCTAGGAGATGTTGTCCAAGACACTTAGAGAATCTGAAGTTGGGATAAGGTTCCACTATATCTAGTCATTGCATCAAAGGTGTGACAGCAGGCCTGACTCTTTCCCTGTTCCTAGCTGATAGTTGATACAGGAACTGAGGCAGGAACTTACAGGTTGATGTTGAAGGTCCAACTAAATAGTTCTTTTTTCCCACTTTCTGTAAAATAGCGGTATCCACCATGCATGTTAAGCATTTATTTGGAGGGGCCTCATTTGGCAAAATGTATCTCCCACTGTTATTGGGGTAAATGAGCCGCCCATTATCGCCACATCACACTTCCTTGGAATATTGGTAATTTGCTTTAAAAAATTACTACCTCATCTTCTCCTTGATTGGGTGGTCAGTAGTAGTCTGCGACTATACTGTTCCTTGGGAGCAAGTTGCAGTGGCGTAAAGTGTGTGCACAATTGCAACTCTACTTGAAAATAAGGTAAAGTCAACATAATAAACATACATAACTTGGGAATAAGCATGCATACATTAGGGTTTATAGCTTTCAGTGTAGCAATGCTTAGTTCTTTAAGGCTGAAATTCTACACACATTTACTTGGGAGTAAGACCTCTTGAAACCAGTGGGACTTACTTCTGAGTAGAAACATGTGCAGGATTTCAGTGTACAGTTGCAATCATAATCACACTGGGGAAGAAGCCCTGAACACAATGAAATTTACTTTCAAGTGCATGTAGACATATCTTATTAGTCTCACTTTATTTATTTCCTTATACTTTGTAGTATTAAAGTTCTGATCAGGTGATATATTTTGTTTTTAGAATAATAATTTATAAATCAGAATGGCATTAGTGTTTCTCTTGCATTTTGACAGAGTCAAACTGGAAGAAGTTGTCAGAGAAGACAATTACAATGAATTCACCAATGGTTTCAGTAACCTTTCAAAAAAGCAAAGGAAACGACACTGGCAAACTTTGGAAGCAAAGGAATCTGAAAGTGAAGATGGAAAATACCAAAAAAGGAAGAGAAAACAGAATGCTGAGCATCTTTCCAGTCAAGCAGAGAGCTGTACAAATATTGAAGATTCTGCAACACTTAGGAAAAGAAAAAAAGTAGTGACTACAGGTAGTAAGACTGATAACACTTCTAATTCCAAAAAGCTTAAGAAACAAGCTAACAAGGAAAAAAAACAGAAAGCAGAAAGAGACAAAAGGAAGACAAAAACAAGGGTACTTAAAACAAAGGGCACTTCACAGAAGACCAAGACTTTTATTTTGAGTCCAAGACACAAAAGCACAACAGAAAACACAAAAGCAAACTCCAGCACAAAGAAAGATGGAACCTCAAGTGACTCCTCAACATCCTCATCTGACAGTGACCATAGTAATACAGGTGCAAAACAAAAGCCCACGCCTAAAACTAAAGTGGCATCTGAACCCATAGACAAATCACAGCTGGCTTCTGTAAAATCTATTTGTGCTGATAAACCTGCTGCTAAATGTCAAAACACAAATTCTCTTAATAAAACCCAAAGTAAAATGGTGAAGAGCCAGTCATCTAGTTCAGATTCTGATTCTAGTTCAGGGGAATTGGGGGAGCAGCAGAACAGTAACTTGAAAAATAAACTACCACATAATAGACAAGGAACTGTGACAGCTCTGACTTCAAAGACCAAACCTAAAACCTCTTCAGATTCAGATAGTTCAGAATCAGAGACTTGCATTAAGAAGCCCAAGACAAATGCCATAGTTAGTCCATCCTTTGCAGAGAACAGTGGCAAACAACTGCCAGCAGGCATTTATGGACCAACTACAAATTTGAGTAACAGTCAAAGGGGACGTGGGAGAGGAGAAAATCCCTTTTGGAGAGGACCTAGGATTCGTGGATGTCGTGGGATGATCAGGGGTCGGGGAAGAGGCAGAGGAGAAAATGCTAACTACTTCTATAATTACAACAGTGAACACCAAAAGCAACAACAGCTGAATGAAACAGCAACAAACACTTCTGTTATTATCCAGGTGAGTCTGGAGACTGCTTTTGTCCCATGATGCATAACTCATAAAATTACATGATAGCAGCTGGTACAAAGTATATAGCTGTGGTGCTTGTATTCTAGATTACCTGAAAAAATAGCTTTTCAGTTTGGCATTCTGTTTCCAGCATCTTCAGATATTTGGAGAAGTGGTGACAGTGGAATGCAGAGATGGTGTTAAGGCAGGGCTAGTTATTGAGGCTTACCCAATCCCAAAATACATATCTTCCTACCCTTTGGGTCTACAAGATGGCCTAAAAGGGTATTAATTGAAATTGTCTCTGGTAGACTTACAGTTTTGTCCTTCCAAATAGATGTGTCTAGGATATTGTATTCTTAATACATCAAAAGGTTTCACAGGAAAGACATGAGGTATTTTAAGTCTGCTATGGGTATCATTTATCCTGGCAGTTGTACATGTACTCCTGAAGGGAAAAAAACCGGGCCAGGTGGGAGGAGTTTGGCATTGCAGTACAACTTTTTAATTATAACAATTGTAATCTTTGTTCATAGAATCCATTGGAAGCTCCAAAGAAGGACTACAGCATCCTGCCTCTCTTGGCTGCCCCTCCACAAGTTGGAGAGAAAATTGCCTTTAAGGTTTGAATTCTTAAAAATACTCTTGTACCACATCTTATCAGCTGGAAGTATTACCAGGAATTTAATGGATGGAGTTAAAACTATGGGGTGGGGGACATGGATTGTGTTACCATCGGGATTGGGACAAAAACCCTTTTGGATGCCATCCCTCCAGAATCCATGGATTTCCTCATGTACTCGGCCTGGTCCTGCAAAATAAGCCTCTCCAAGAGGAAGTTCACTCAGACCCCTAGCTGCACAACTGGCCATTCCTGGCAAGCACCCTTTCCTGGCATTCCCTGCCATTCCTGGCAACTACCCTTTTCTGCTTGCTGCTGTTAGCATCCGTGGTGAACATGGAAAAATAGTGCTGCTTGCACAGTGTGTGGGGTTTGAGTCTTGCAAGCTCTGTACAAACCCTGGGCACACTTTCCAGGAAGTCAGATGCTAGGCCATGGTAAAGCAGGCTCAATCTAGGAAACTGAAACCAGGGAGCCTAGTGGATTTTCTGTTCAAAATGGATTCCTCACACATCCCTAGTTACCAGTGGGGTGTAGTGGTTAAGAGCATGTCACTGGGACTCTGGAGATCTGGGTTCTAGTCCCCAACCAGCCATGGAGCTCACTGGGTGAATTTGGGCCAGTCACAGTCAGCCCGCCCTACCTCACAGGGTAGTTGTTGTAAGGATAAGATTGAGAGGAGGATGAGAATTATGTAAGCTACCTTGAGTTCCTTCCATGGAAAAAGGTGGAGTATATATAATACATATTTTGTCAAGTGAAATATATTAATTTTCTTAGTTCTAATGTGAAGTCTCCAAGCTGCCAAGTCTGTGTTGCTTATAAGCAAGGTAACTATTATTTGATAGATTTCTACCCTGCCTTTCTGAGTGTCTTTCCTCATAAGGTGGCTCACAGTATGATCAGTTATGAATAACAATATCGAACGTTACAGATTATGAAAAGAATAAAACAGCAATAGGGGATTAATTAGCATCAGCAGTTAAACAAGTAAAAAAAATATGGCAGAAATGTGGCTAGAGCAAGATGTTCTTTAAGACTTGCTAACTTGATCCCTTGGGTGGATTGCCTTGCCTCTTGCAATCTGTTTAGGCTTGTTGAGGATGGAAAAGAACATAGTCATAGGCTATATAATAATTTGAAAGAAACTGTAAGGAAAAAGCTGCCTTTACCAATATTCAGGTAGATAACTTAAAGAATACATATTAAACTGGAAAAACAACATTACAAAATGCCGAGTGGCTAAAAGGAAGCTGAAATACATTTTCTAAAATCCAGAACAAGTAAAAAACAGAAGCCAATATAGAGGAAGCTGACCTGTCAGTGCTGGTTTTTTTTTTTTTTTTTTTTTGCTGATCCAAACTCAGACTAAACATGCATAAATAGATTGGGATAGGTATTAGTACTAATCCAGTGAAGGAGTTTCCTGGAAAGGGAGGGGCCGATTGAGACACCACCCTCATGTGCAAACAGCTGTATTCTAAGCAAAAGCCAACAGCACCTGAAGATTAGCAGCTGTTATATGGATTCACCCACCTATCCCTGATTATATTGTTTGATTGTCTTCTGGGTCTCAGACATAAAGTTTCCCTTGTCTTGCCTGCTGAGATGCTTAGCATAATATGCTGGGATTGACCCTGGAACCCTATTGCACGCAAAACCAAACCAGAGCTCCTGTTCTGCTAACATCTTGATCAGTGGATACCCTGCTTTTAGAAGAAGAAAGGTGTGTGTGCAATCTGTCCCTCACTGCCACCCCAATTTATATTTTGGAATTCCTTATTCTTTCACTTCACATTTTCAGGGGCTATTGATCTGTTCAATTCAATTGCACCTAGTAGCATGTTATCAAGCCTGACACTCTTAGGTGGGGTGGGGAGGGGAGGGGAAGCCCTGCGGATTTTACTCTGCTAGCCAAAATGGGGATGGCATTCATCTCCATTTCAAAAACCATGAGTCAGCACTATCCAAAGATGTTCCCATGGTCATGTGGCCAGCATGATGTCATGGGGTGCTGTTTCCTCCCCACTGAAGTGGTACCTATTTATCAACTCACATTACATGCTTCTGAATTGCTAGGTTGGCAAGAGCTAGGGACAAGGCAGTGGGGGGCTCTCCCCGTTGTGCAGCTTCAAACTCCCAACCTTTTTATCAGCAACCCAGCGGCTCAGTGGTTTAACTTGCTGCACCACTCCATCCCCTTTAGGTCAAGTGGAGTTTAAAGAAAAACAATTCACTGAATACTGTCAAAGTCACTTGGAGAATAGTTGGATTTAAGAGCTGGCTGCCAAAACCTTTGGTTGCTGACCTTGCATTTATGGAGTGAAGAAGAAGGTCTTTGTTGAATGATGTACTCTTTTGAGATTGCTCCTATCCCTAATGCTTAACAGATACTTTCCTCCTCTTTTAACAGCTGCTGGAACTGACTGAAAACTATACTCCTGAAGTATCTGATTATAAGGTATTGTAGTTTACTTCTTGATAAACTACATTTATGGTAGTTCCTTATTGCTTTCATACTAGTATGTTAATGCTGTGATTCCTCAGTACTTACTTTAATACTGGTTAAGAAATAAGACAAAAGGCAGGTGGTCTCCAGTTTAAGTCTTAAATTCACTGGGGAAGCCACTGCTTCTTGTCAACCCTCACCACTTGCTCTGTTTGGTAGTATAGTAATGGTAATGGTGGTGTGCTTTACAGCGTTGTTGGAAAGATTATTGAGACAATTTGCACAGCAAGTAACTTTTTTAGTCTGTTATATGGTCCAAACCCCATCACAGTATATCGGCATGGTATGTTTGGTTTTGGGAAAGCAAGTACAAAAACTATGGTCCATTCTATGGTTTCCCAGAACCTTAACTGCTTCCTGTGTTGTCCACACTGGAAAACACAACTCAGAATGGTAGTACCAAGGTCAGAGCCATAGAACTGCTTAGCAAGAATGCCCATTGATGTTCTTGCCCAGTGGCTAACCAGAGAGCACCACTGACAGCTGCCTTTTGCTGCAATGGCGGGAGGGGTCCCCGTTCCACCTGCCCTCACAGTGGCCTTTGGGGCAGGAGTGGGCAATCAGCTGGTTGGTGCTGGGAGAAGAGCAGTGCTGCTCAGCCGATTCCCCCACTGCTGCTGCTATACAAGCAGGTGTGGTGGTGCCCTGCTGGGGGCTGCTGTGTGAACAGCAGGTGAAGAAGCCGCTGGGTGGCGGCAGCAGTGGTGCCTGGCTGGGGGATGCAGTGCATGCGCCCATGCCACCCTCGTGTGTGAGCGCAGGGCAAAAAGCAGCTGGGTGGTGGCTGAGGGCTGCACACAGCAGCACATCCCCCTGTGCCGCCCTCGTTCTCACTCTGGCTTGCCGAAGTGACGTTTCCAAGCCAAAGAAAGCATTGCCACATTAATCAGTATTGCATAGGTGCCATCTTAATAAGCACTTACAGTGGATGCCATTGGAACTGAACATCCATAACAGGTGGGTATCCTCTTTTAACCCAAGGGCCAATTCATTTCCATAGATGATTTCAGGGGAGTTCATTTCAGTCCTGGATGGGGCTGAAAAGAAGAGGGGCAAAGGCAAAAGAGGAGGGGTCACACTTCCAAAAAATACATGCTGTAGTTTAAAGGTTTCATTGCCAGCAACCAAGCTTTAAGAGAGTCAGTTCAGCTTTCTAGAATTGAAGGGTGTGGAACTGCATAAAAGCAGGGTTGATAAAAACATTTTGTGTTCATGTGAGGGCCCAGAAGGGCCACCCAGGCACCCCAGGCCTGAGGTTTCCCACCCAAGATCAGATGATCAAGCCCTGGTTTCCAGCGCTAGCTTTTTGTGAGAGGCAGGCCAGAGCTCTCGGTTCAGATGACATGCTAAACAGCACAGGAACTGAGCAGCCCAGGACTGTTTAGCTGGTCCTACTAGCCGCAGGAGCCAAGCAGAAGTGCTTGTGCTGTGTGAACTAGGAAACTAGCTATCTCATGGTAGAGCAGGGTTTTTTGTTTGTAAGGTGGGTATTTAAATTTATGAAATCAGTCTTGACATGTAATTTCACTCCTTACTCCTCCTCCCACTCTTGTTTTTAAGGAAGGGAAAATTGTCAGCTGGAACCCTGCTAACAAACAACTGGAACTTGAAATACTTTCCTTTTCATCAGGCAAGTGTTACGCAGCTTCAGAGTTCAACATGAAAATATTTTTTTGCTCTTGTGATCATGAGCAGCACATCACCCCCTTTCAGTGTTAATTTTGCTTACATCATTCTGGCTTTAGATAGATGTTAGTTATATTGTGCAGCTTTCCCCAGCCTAGTGTTTTTCATATGATTTGGACTCCAACTCCTACCTGCCTGAGCCAGTATGGCCAATGGTCAAAATGCTGAGAGTTGTAGTTTAAAACTTCTCGGAGGCACCAGGTTGGGGAAAACTAATATGGGGCAAAATGCATTGTCATGCTTGCACAGGGGCTCCCAAAGGCTGATGGGCACATGTGGAATTTTGAGAGTGCCATCGGTGCACTCATAAAACAGGTGCTGAGGCCAGTCACAAAATGCACCCAAAAGGCAAGGTAGAAAGAAAGTTATTGCCCAAGACCAAGGCAGAGGTGTGGCCTGAACTGTAGAAACCACCTAAAACCACTGTTTTCTGCTCTAACACCCACTTTACAGAAGAGAAACTGAGGAGGTCAGAAACAAACTTGACTGAGAAATGTGTGTGTGACACAGGTTCAGTCAGGGACCCAAACATAAGGTGGGTGGGAATCATTTGTCTGTCATACAACTGATGAAAGCCACTCTGTCAATAGGGCAGGCTAACTGGGTAGCACCCATAGATGAGTCCTGGAACTCACAATGTAGTCTGAAGAACCCCAAAACTAATGTTGCTTTGTTGTGGGATTTTAGTGACAAAAGAACCAGGAAAGTTTGATCTGGTTTACCAGTCTGCAGATGGAGCTGAAACAATAGAATATGCAGTATCTCAAGACAGAAAGGTAAGGTAGCACTTTCTTGAAATGGTTTTGCAGTAGAAGACACTTTAAACAGCCTTCTGGTAGGTTTTTATTACTGACTTTTTCATAGGATGTGATCTCGGTGCATGGAGGATTTCTACCCCTTATTGTAGAAGCTACTTGCCCCATACTATCAAAACAGACTAGTTGAAGGATGGGAGACCTTGAGACTGAGAACTAGATTCCCTTGTGGGGAACCTTTCAAGGGTCATGTGCCATCAGCGGGTAGAGCAATAGTCCCAGGTGGACATGGTCAGGGAGACACCACACTCTTAACTGACTGACCACTTCTCACACATAATTTCAATCTCCTGTTTACACACCATCCCCTGAACTTCCTTTCCCTCCCTCACTTTCCTGTTTCTTCCTCCATCTCTCTCTACCTTCCCTTTACCCCGGGCAGAGCAGTTAGAATTAAAACCTGTCCACTGTTGACAGAGGGAGGCTTTTTAACAAGCTGAATTGCAGTGCAGCCCATGGGGAAGGGAGCGTTAATTACCTCTCTTTCTACAACGCCCTCACCTCTGGTCACATGGATAATTATGCTTAAAGAGCTCTCTGGGGGCTCCGGTGAAGGCTTTAAAAAAGCCAATTTGCAGCTTGGTGGTGGTGGTAACAGCCTGTGGGGGGGAGGCTTAACCCTTTCATTCCTATTTGGTATCCCTCCAAAAATACTGCAAGCAGCCATTAGGCTTCTTAAAAGCCTTCACTGGTACCAGAGAGGGGGAGAGACTGCTTTCCAGAAGTTTTGCATCCCTTGGTGAGAAGGTGAGAGAGGAGGTGGCTCAAACCACCTATTCCCTGCAGTGGCATTCACTCGTTTCATGGCATATTCATGTGCCAAATTGTATGTGACAGGCAGGAGGAGCAGCAGGGCTTCATGGATCCTTGTGGGACTTCGCTGGGTCTGAGGGCTTGCACCCCCATTACGAGTGGATTGTCTTCATAGGATGTTTTAGAACATAAGGCATGCCATTATAAATTCTTCACTTACTTGCCTACTTAATAACATTGTAGAAAGGTGCACCATTTCATATATTGTACATGTACAAAATACCGCTTAAGTATAGGCATTTCCCCCGAGCATCTCCAACTTAAGACAGTAGTGGCTGGGATCAGACTGCACAGGAACCTACACTCAAGGATTGAATATAGACTGTTGTTGAATAATTCTGTGAACCCATCTGCAATAATAAACCATGGTCGGTTGACCGCAAACAACCCATGAAGGGAACCCTTGAGTTATGAGCAGCTGCTGTCTGCTTTTCTGTGATTCCAAAAGAATTGACATTTGAAAGAAAAATTGCAGACTTTAGAGATGTTTTCTGGTGTCTTTTTTTCATGATTTCCAGAAGAAGGGCAAAAGAACACCACCCTGTTGCTGAGAAATCAGGGAGCAGACCATAGCATCTGATGTAATTGCAGGAGTAACTGTTTTAAGAGCAAGCTGCAAAAGAGGGGTGGAGTTAAGCTCTCAACTTTCTTGACTAGCTGGAGATTTGGAGAAGTGTTGAAAAAGTAGAGGACTCTTGAAAATTTCAGTTCAGCCCTTGAAGACAGAGGATGACATAGCCAAGAGAAAGGGAGTTTTCTCCCTTCTGTTGGAGTACTTACTCAGTTTGCACTTTTCCTCTATTTTCAGTACTTCTGAATGGGTCCCTCTTTTCTCATATATTTTACCCCTGTCCTTTGCAACATAGCCTATGTGCAGCCTTTTCTTAGGTTTCCTTGTATGTTACCTACTTCATTTTGGTGCTCTCATTGACCACTAAAGCAAACAAGGCAAGACTACATGTATCAGATAGCTGTAAATGTACTTGTGAAGGATGGGATAACATAAAACAAATGATAACAGAAATACGCATTGTTATGTTTGTGCTCCAGAAGCACCAAAACGTGGCAAGCAAAAACTGGTAGTTATTGAAGTGAGAAGGCCAAAGCAAGGAGACCAAACAGATTCTGCTGCAAAGGCATGTGGGATGTGTGTCAGAGCCAGCTGGAGGACCGAGAAGAAGGAGAACAAGCTGAGCAAACCAATTCTCTGTTGGCTGCTCTGTGGCCACTGGCCATTCACTGAACAAACCACCTATCATGGCTTATTTGCAAGTTGGCATAGCCTGATGTTCAAACCCATCCTTTGACTGGGCTCGCATGACATGGCATGACCTATTGTGGCTAGTTGGTTGTCATGTCCTGTCAGTTCAGACAGCTTCTTGCAGGGTGGATTATTTGGGGGCAACAAGCCACCTGGACAACCCCACCGCTTTTTGTAGAGGTTTTTGACCACATGATGGATTATGTTATCTGAACCCAGGAGACCAGTCCCATCATGGATCTAGGGAAGTGGTGAGTAAGCCTCTTGATAAGAATGTTTGAACCACCTTGCTGCTCTTGCAAGTTTGCCTGTGTTTGTATCAGCCACTCCACTAGCACCCAAGCAGTGCTGAGGAGTGACTCACTGGTTTCCTTCCTCCACTCTGATCATGACCCTTTTTGAGTGGTGCTGCTACTTTTCTTTCTTTCAGAGCCTTTTTGCAAGGTCTGCCATTGAGCAACTGTCACTTGTTTGCCACCTTTTAAAATTATTTTTAGGTGCCAGAAATCTGCATAAATGTTCTTGTAATACTTTATTTTTGGATCAGTATTTTGGAGGTGCACCACTGATTAGTCAGTGTGTCTTGTAAAGAGCAGGAGGCGACTTCCAAGGAAATTGACAAAGGAAGACTGCAAAAAGGTCATGTTACTATGGTTCTCACTCGGCCACTCACAATTTGACCATTGTCAAGAGAAAAGTAAAGCTGCAAGGGGATCTGTGTTGTTAAAGCAGGTGGTGACTACTTCTCCCTTCTTCTGATATAGTCCTCTAGTTATGTAGTGTAACCTGGACTGTTCAGTCCCCTCCATCTTTCACACTTCCTTCAGCTTCTAAGTACTCTGAAAAGATCTACAGCTGTCAAAAGAAAGGGGTTTTTTGTTTAAGCAGGGTTTCTAAAAGAGCCAAACAGGGTTGTTTTTGATGGCTTTTATGGCTGCATATGAACTAAGAGGCAAAGAATTGGGGGACAACCCTTTGAACTTAAACATCCATTGGGCATACTATGGGTTATTCCACAAAGAACCCACGCTGCATAGCTTATCCTCAAGGTAAGCTGTCATACCATGCAAACTCACTCATTATCTATTTTTGGTTTTCAGTTTACACATGCTTTCCTTTCCTCTTAATCACAGATAATAAGAGAGAATGACCAAGCAACCATACAAACATTTGTAGTTTACACTAGTTTTGTTCAGTTAGGCTTTCTTGGCTGAATGCAAGTTTTGAGAAAGGCTTTTGACATAGAATAGGGTTTTAATGCTGTTGAAACTGTTTGTACTCACTGTGTCCATGTTAAGTCTGACATGTATGTTTCATCTTTCAGATAACTCAAAGCTGGGATGCATTGATTGAGCCAAGGCTAATAGTTGAACCTCCTAATAGTCAACCAAGTCCTAAAAATGGGAATCCCTCAGATGTGACCTTGTGTGTCCCATGTGTAAATAGCTTGTAAATTGTTTTCCCTCTGTTTCTAAAGAGGATGTATGCACATCACTGTTTTTGTAATAAAGGATTTCTAAGTTGATATGAGGCCTAAGAAACATAAGCAGTTTGATCATTAATACTTTCTCAAAATTTTTGCCTCTCCTCCTTGGCTTTGTAAGAGCCTACGGCTGCAATCCTGTACATGCTTTCCTGGAAGAATATCCTAATGAATGCAGTGGGACTTACTTCTGACTAGACATGTGAAAGATCTTTGGCTGCCTAGTCTCACTTACATCAATAGCTGAAATGCATTGAAAACAGTGGAAGATGGATTATTCCCTTGGAACTGGTAACAAAGTTGGTAAAACAAGAGCCCAGTCACTGTTTAACATCCCCAGTTACTTGGTTGTTGCAAACCTATGTTAATGGCTTGGCCTAAATTTCCTTTGACCAGTTTGTTAAACATTTTCATCTGGACTTCAGAGTTTTATAGAGGTTATGCTGCTGTTGTCTCTAGTGAGATGGGAATAGTTTCTCTTTGTGGCAGCAGCGGTGACACTTATGTGCTAACCTCCACAGAATGGCTAACACCCCCAAGCCACTCCTGCACATATGGGCCATGTAATGTACACGAACACTGTCTCATTTTAGTCACTGGAGTCATATGTTTACTTCACACCAGTCCCACTGTGGGGACCATTAAGCATGTGAAGTCACCAGGCAACCCAACTGCTGTAGAGCTTGCTTGGAGCACCCCTGCATCCCCACTGCCAGGCATGACAGCTGGCCATGTGAGAGAAATCTAACTTGCAGAGGTAAGTTAGACAAGAATCATGACAAGGCTAACAGCGCACGCTCACTCAGAAGTAAATTGTAGGGGACTAACATAACAAAGAGAACCAAAATGACTAAGAAATAAGTGTTTCAGAAAATCAGTTACATCAGGAATATATACCAATCCATGTATCTGATATTTTTCCCCCAAGGGAGAATCTTCTGTTTACTTCTAAAATCAACTAAGAACAGCTTCATAACTGTTAACAGCCATCTCATCATTATTAATTTTATTTCTGTACTGCCCAATAGCCAAAGCTCTCTGGGTGGTTTACAATAACATATAAAATGCAGAGAACAATGAACAATACAAAAAGTTACTATACAAAATTTTGGCTGGCATGTGGCTTGCCTCAACTTTTAAAAGTAGGGCCTATCTGTGATTTGCTTCATCTGTGTATAGGTGGCCATTGGGTTGAGGCTCATGCCTTAATAAGCAGCTTTGGAAGCTTGTGCAGTTTTACATTGCTGCATCAACACTAAATCAAAATGCAAATCTTCCATTTCACTTGTTAACCTTAAAACTCCTAGTGTTCCCTTTTTATATTACCGGAAAATCCTGCAGAGGTCTGTAAATGTAGTCTAGCATGCTGTGCTGCAAGGAATCCGCTCTGTTGTTCTGTGACTTAGGAAGGTGATCTGTGCCACACACAGCTCTATTTTTAAAAGGCTGATTGGTGCATTTCAGCAGAAACGCTCTTAGTGTTTAAACTGGCTTTACATGAATGGACTTCTCTTAAATTGAATAGGGAGGTAACTTAGAGCCCTAGAATAGCTGAATCCATTGGACTCTCTCTGATGGATAATATAAAACAAGGGGAAAACAATCTCCCCAAGCTTAGATAATGCTAAGTTGTACTATTAACATGCACTCAAGGTTATTAGACCAGAAGTTTCATCCTGGGGTCAGTATTGCATCCTAGTAGATTCAGCTGGGGTTTCCAGTCTGGAATATTTTAAGAATAATTGGGGGGCCTCCAAAGCATGCCTTCTTGCCCTGCCTGTTTGGAGAGGGAAATCCCTCTGGCATTTTCATGGTGCAAAGAGGAGGCACTGGTGAATGAAAGGGAGGACAGGGAATAAAAGTATAAGAATGTCATAAATGGGGAAGGGGATTCCTCCTAGATTAGCCAAGCTAGAGATATTTGCAGTTTTACCACTTTTGCAGGGGTCCTGCACCCCTAACCCCTACAATAATGGAGGGCCAACTCCTGTTGCAAAGAGATTCTAGAATAACAGATATTTTAGGGGGATGAACTGAATGGATCCATCGTTCTGTTAATGTATTAGTAGTGGCCAAAGTTGACTATGCTAAATATTGAAAAATTACAGTATCCAAGAGAAAAGAATTATTTTAGAAGATTTTAGAATTCTTACCAAGTGCCAGAAACGAATAAACATCAAATGAGCCCAGGAAAAATGGAATGGTGATTAACATGGCTTTTTTGTAGTCTGGATACTTTGAGGTACTACAGAAGCTTTCCTCAACCAGGTACCCTCTAGATTTCAACTTCAATTCCATTCAGCCTCAGATAATATGTCCCATGGTCAAGATTCTGGGGAGTTCGAAAAGTTGTCCAAAACCAGGAGGGCACCAGCTTGGGAAAGGCTTATCAGAATATGAGCCATAGTAGCCATTCTGTAGCAGAATATATACTTATTTTTTAATATTTATCTCCTTTTTTGTATGCTCTATTTGTATGGTAACAGCAGTAGGTGAAAAACTTTATGAAAAATAATGTAAAGAAGTAGAAAGTGTGCAGTTACTGCTTGCTCAGGCTGTAAAATAAAACTGTAGACTGTTGCCACATTCCGTCTAATGAAAACTCTTAATATTTGCCTAATGTCATTTCTCCTGCTTGATTTTTACTGTATGATGAAATTAACTGCAGTGGTCATCATCCAGAGCACATGCCACATTTTCCTCTTGAGTACGGGCTCCCAAAGCTCTTCAGGCTTACCCATGTTTGAAAAGCAGTTTGTTGATTTAGTCCCAGAATTTTAAAAAGATGGAAACAAAGACCTCCTTCAAAAAACTCTTACAACAAACATCCCCACTAGTTTTTAGACTGGGGGTGCTTTGGAGAACAGTTTGCGAGTATCTTCAGAAGGAAAAGAGGTATTGCATCATACTCTAAATTCCTCCAGTTAGCAAACTCTCTCTGTCTTGTGGACTTCTGATTGGAATCTGGTTTGTCACTGTGGGAGCAAAATGCTGGACTAGGCCTTTGGTCAGATCCAACAGGGCCCTTTTTGTGCCTTAGTCCCAAGGTCTAAACTTCCCTGTTTAAAAGATGTGATAAAGGGGAACAAGCAACATATATGTACATACTTACTCAGTAAACACTTATGCATGTTATCTCAATTTAATGGACCTAGTTCTTATCTTGCTCTTTGCACATACCAAAGTTTAATACTAATTACTTTGCTCCCTTAAACACTGTCCTTGTAGTCCAATGACAGTTGTAAACAAAGGTTTTAAGATGCACAAATGCAAACAGCCTCATGATGAGAATATTCAAAGGAGGTGTGCTTTATTGTGGCTCTGACAGTGTTGCTCTAAAGAGTAATGGCGACATAAAGGCAGTGTAAGGGTTGGCTTTATACCACAAGATTCTTGCTTTTAATGTTCCACTGGTCATCTTGTTTTTGCGGCAATTGTTTTAAGTATCGGTGCTGCTCTGAAATACTCAGCCCTACTTAAATTAGACAAAAGAGTGATTCTAGTTCTAGTTACAAAACTGTACCTTTGCCAAACTTCAGTGTATCTTCATGTAAGGAAATGAGCACTAGCAGCACCAAATTTGGACCCTGTATCATCATGCATGAGCCATAAACAAATAACCAATGTCTGTATGCACAGAACGGCAACCAGGTCCTGGGTGCCACCACTGCTACAACTGTTGAGTCCTTTATTAAATCTGTGCTGGCCCTCCTCTTGAGTGACCAGTCTCTCCCTTGCCCTAGGGCAGGGCTTTGGAACCTCTAGCCCAGGGGTGGGCAATTAATTTTCCTATGGGGCCACATGAGAAACTTTGACAGTTGTTAAGGGCCGGACCAATACACTTACAGCTCTGCTCAGTACATATCTCTATAAAAACAGTAAATGAAACATTACAATGATACAATGAAAACTGGAGCACAGAACAACACTATTAATTTAGCAGATCCTTCAAAATAAAAGCAGTGCAGTTGTATTGCTTGCATCTATATTATGACGATATATATTTGCATTGACTTTTAATTTGCCAGTGACCTCATGCGGGCCAGTCAGGGTTGGTCATTGGGCCAGATGTGGCCTGCAGGCCCTACAATGCCCAGGTCTGCTCTAGCCACCAGAAGTTGTCGAGCTCCATTCCCATCAGCCCCAGCCAATGATGGGCATGATAATGGTTTGTGACAATAGGAGTTACAGTGCAACAGCATTTGGGGTGCCACAGGTTCCACACCTCTGCCCTAGAATTTGCTCATATGCAGGGACGGTATCTTACCAATTGGTTTGAAATTTTATACTCGTATCAGTGATAGACAAATTAACTGTAAACATGGATTCACTGTGGCATTTGAAATAATTAGACATGCTTCAAAAATATTTAGCGAAATTACCTTTCTTCATTTGTGATTCATGGAATACATGTCTGTGAAAACCCAGCTGTTCCCAGTGGGTCTAAGAAGCTACACCATACAGTGAACAACATTTCAGAGATGTAAAATGTACACCTTGCATAACAGGACACGTAAGCACAAATACGGAACTCGTTGGAGGAATTGTGTGGGTGTGGCTGCAACTGAGCACTTGACTAAATTCAGTTTGTCTTTATAATGATACTGTCATATCAGTATTACTCACTGTTTGCAAGTGCAAAGGTTGCAAGCACATAGTTGCTCTTGTCACCGACCAGTGCAAACCAGCTGTGAGATCAAGGTTCTTGATTCCATATGCTGAGCCACAAGAATGTTTTGCATGTGGCAGCCCTAGCTCTGAGCTAGGACTTAATCAGTGTTAAGTCCAAGAGCAATGCCAGATGCCATGAGAGGTCATCATAAAAATGCCCCTGTACACCTGTAATAAGCCCACACATTGCTCACCACTGACTCACATGAAGTGACAATTTGTGCTTTCTCTCCTAGGTTTTTGTACATTTTTATGTGCATCTGTGTAAGCCTTATGTGTGAATGTGTGCCTGGTCTTGAAAGATGCCTATGCATAAGAACCCTAAAGCACAAATAAGAGCACTAACAATGTTTTAATAGTGTCCTCAACCCTTAGTAGGGGTGCTTGTGTGTGTGTGTGTGTTGGGGCGGGGGGGTCCTGCAGCCATGCCTTGCTGCACAACATAGGCTGTTAAGGGATGAAGCTGTGCAAGTTAATCTCTCCCTGCTCATCCCCCAGCACTGTTCTGTTGTTCTTTTCCGACCCAGGATGTGTCATGGCTCTTGGAGACTTCCCACCGTGCTCACTCCTCCTTTGGCTCTTTGTCCTCACCTTGAAAAGTTTGTTGTGCTCCATCATGTTTCCACCTCTATCTTCCTTCTCAGTATCTCCAGACTCAGATCGTGTGAGTGCTACTGCCAGAGTGGGCCATGAAGAGAGGGATTCAGAGGTGACCCATCAATGGTACATCTAGAAAAATAAACTCAGGTGACCATGCAGTGGTGTATGCATTGAACTCCTGAGCTAGGCACTGGCTCATCAACATGTAAATAGAGCCATCTGAGTGATAGCCCCCTCCTGCTCATACTTGCCCCCAGTGGGTATTTAGAAGTGATGCTGTCTTTTATATACTAGAGGTAGTGTATATCCAGCATGGCTTGTATGTCATTTTTTTTTCGCTCTTGATCCGCCTGTATATTCATGGGCTGTCCGCAGAATGGGCCTGCACGAACTTGATCCCACTGAGAATCACTGTCATGCCATCTGCAGAGCCCATTCACGCATGCTGCGTATCTCTGAGAAAGCTGTCTGTCATCGAGCAACCAATGTATGTGCAACTTGCAAAGTATATCTGGAACCCCACATATCTGTAGTGCCCCTAAAGCTGGGCAATTATAATCAAACATGATCAAAGCAGCCCTAATTTTTTGAGGAGACTCGCTCTGGGTTTAATGCATTTCAGTGGCCATTTGGAAAGGAATCGTTAATGGATCTATTTCAATGGCCAGTTCTCCATGCCTCGTTATAGGATGTCCCGAGCAAATCTGAATGTAGGAATACTAGCTAGGACCCGGCCCCGAGAACGCTCCTGAAACGTTGAACAGAGCTGTTCTGCGCGCCTTTCTCGGGGAGTAAGCCCTATTACAGACACTGCGATTCTATTTAAAGTAAGCACCCATAGGAAGTAGAGGTGGGGAACGTGCGCCCCTCACAGGTTGCAGGACTGCAACACCCATCCTCCTTCACTGTTGGCGAAGCTCTGATGGGAGTCCTAGTCAAACGACATCTTTAGGGCCGCATCTGTAAGCATCCCTGGTACACAAAATCGGGTGTCCCTAACAACGGAGCCGGCTCCGCTGAACTGAGTTAATCTGGAGTCTTTTCTTTCCCGGTGCGGGGCATGGGAGCACTTCCGTCGCACCTATGTGGGCATTAAAGGCACTGGGGGCCGAGCTTGGCGAGCTCCCAGCGGGGTGGGTCGCTTCCGGGCCGGCGGGAGAGGCTTTGCTTGCCCAGCGAAGGCTCCTCGGTCGCCCCGCCCCGCCCGGCTCACGTGATTTCCAGGAACTGCACGAGCCGCTAGGGCGCGTTGAGTTTCGCTTTCTCCGTGGGCTCGCGAGCAGCGGCGGGCGCCATTCCGGTCAGTCAATCAGCGATGTCGCAGCTGCTGAGAGCATCCTCCGTTCCGACCCTGGTCGGGCTGGAAGAGGAGTTGACTTGCGCCATCTGCCTCTGCGTCTTCGAGAGCCCGGTCACCACGCCATGCGGGCACAACTTCTGTTTGCCTTGCCTGGAGATGACGTGGGGCGACCTGGAGAAGAATTTTAGTTGCCCCCAGTGCAGGAGCTGCTTCGACAGCCGGCCGGAGCTGAAGAAGAACACGGTGCTGTGCCGGGTGGTGGAGGAGTTCCAGGGCACCCTGGGTGGCCCGCCCAAGAAGGATGAGAAAGCGAAGCAGAGGGCCAGCAGCAGTCCCCCCGCGGTGGCCTGCGATAGTTGCCTGCAGGCGGCTGCGACCAAGACTTGCTTCACCTGCATGGCCTCATTCTGCCAGGAGCACCTGAAACCTCACCTGGAGAGCCCGGCCTTCAAGAGCCACCAGTTGGCTTCGCCTGTGGCGGACCTCCAGCAGCGGAAGTGCCAGGCCCACAGTAAACTGCTGGAGTTCTACTGCAAGGAGCACGGCAGCTGCATCTGCTGCTTCTGCCTGGTCACCCACAAGAAGTGTGTCACCGTCCCCTTGGAAGAGGCCAAGGAAGAGAAGGAGGTGAGAAGGCTCTGCCATGCACATGCATGCCTCTGAAAGGCGCACTCTCGAATCCCAGTATTGCCCAGCCTTTCCTAAGCTTGGGCTTAAGCAATCCCGGCCTGCTTCTGTGTCCCAGAGTCATTAGCACCCACTGGGGAGGTCTTTGGGTTCTGTGCTGGGCCATCCTCCATGTCCTCCGGCTCACTCACCCACAATGATTCCTTTTTTCTTGGCTTTGCCATGCAAGAGGCAATTTCCTGGGGTGGGGGGATATATCTGGATAGAGGAAGGATGGATCCTGCCCTTTCTCATGTGCTGCAACACCATACCCAAAACATCTCGCCTCCCTGCATGACAGCTACACAGAGAAAGTAATTACATGCAGATGAGCAAACGGACCTTGGAGGGAGAGACCTTGCTGCTATATAAATTGCAGCAAGAACAGTCAGAGGCTTTGGGCAACTTTAGATGACAGCAAAACTGTATAATGCTTTCCTAAATAAATGGTGCAATGGCCTGTGCTTTCATGGCCTAAAAACTTGGGTAGATCTTAAATGTTACAAGGAAGGTTGGTCTGTTGGAAAGAGGGCAGGGATTTGTGGGTTAGTTTGCAGAAGAGGAGATTCTGATAGGTGTCGCTTGTTGGTGCAGACAAGAAAAACTGTGCTTGCTGAAACTTAGTATACTGCTATTGAAAATATGGGGGCCCTGTCTTACTTGGCCTTGGGTGCCAGAACCTTTGAGGAGTATGTATCTGACCCCACACAAACAAAATCCAACTCAAAGCAAGCATATCCAGGAGGAAACCCACCTGGGACCCTCTGCAGACCATCGTCACACATTCAGTGAATGCGTGCTGGGGAACTGTAATGAGAAATTCTGACCTTAACATGAGATAGGTTTCAGAAGAGCTTAATATATGCAGCTGTACCTGTATTCTTGGCACAAACCTCAAAAGCCTCTGGCTATGCAAAGATAGTCCTCTTCAATGTACAGTTTGCAGGCGTTAAAATGAATTTATATAGCTTGGGGATAGTGTCTACTGTTGCCCCCACCTCCAGGGCTCCTTGAATGTTTCCTAAGCATGTCTCCCACGGGTTCTCATTCCCTGCATGTAAGGATTTGAAGTGACCCCACATTTTTGAAGAAAAGAATATTATGTGCTGGCAAGGGTGATGCATGCCTTTTAGTGGATGGGAATGGTTGCCCTGTTCTCTGAAGTATACCCTCTTCTGTTCTCCTACAGTCCCAGCTGAAGCAAAGGCTGACTGAACTCTATGCTCTGAACGAGAAGGCTGACCAGTCCTTGAACCAAGTGCGGATGCAGCAGAAACAAATCAGTGTAAGAGAAGATTTTAAAAAGATGATGGCGACAGCTCAGGGGAAAGTGCATTGCTGTAGTGCACGCAGCCTAGGTTGAAGAGGAAACCAAGACAAGGTGTTCCCTGCCCCTCTGTTTGTAGTTCATGTTGTGCCAGCCAGACCCACTGCCAGGTAACACTAGATCATCAAGCCGGAGACCTGCAGAGAGCCCTTCTGAGAGCTCCACTGACCTGTTCTGCAAGGAAGCCTTTCCAGTTGCTTTTTAGGGAGCACAAGCTTCCTGTTGCTCTGGCCGTGGGTTTTTCATGTGCCTGGGCAGCACTAGACACTGGCCCACTGTTAACGGGTTGCCACTCATTCATGACACCAAAGAGTCATATTCTGTGAAGTCTGTTCCAAAACGGCCTGGGACGAGGCATCTGACACAGGAAACTGCCTTGGGCTGAGTCAGATCCTCAAGTCCAGCATTGTGAATGCTGATTGGCAGGGGCTGACCACAGTTTCAGGTAAGATCCTGCCCTGCAGAAGAATTGGGAGGTACCAGGGGTTGAAGCAGCGACCTTTGGTATGCAAAGCACATGCCATACCACTGAGCTACAGCCCCTCCCTCTTCTGTGCCACAAGCTGGTCCATTCTGCCACCTGAAGGCGGCAAAGACCTTTTAATTTGATCTGGTCAGAATGACTTGTAGGTGATGCTTTATCTGTTCTTTTCTTTTAACTGTCTTTTGTTGTTTGGAGTATGTGTGTATGTTGTTTAGTCGCAAAGTCGTGTCCAGCTCTTCATGACCCCATAGACAGCATTCCTCCAGGTTCTCCTGTCCTCCACCATCTGCTGGAGTCCACCCAGCCCCACACCCTCTCCCCCAGTGACCCCATCCAGCCACCTCTGCCATCCCCTTCTCCTTTTGCCGTCAGTTGTTCCCAGCGTCAGAGTCTTTTTCAGTGAGTCCTTCTCATTAGGTGGCCAAAGTATTTGAGCTTCAGCTTCAGTATCTGTCCTCCGAAAGAGCAGTCAGGAGTATGTGTGTAGCAGTCTTTATTTCCATGTGTCTGCTCCTTTGATGTGAGCTGTCTTAGATGTCACACGGAAGGGTGTCATAAAAATTTTTGGTTGGACACTTAATCTGACACAAGCTGATGTGGATGAGTTTCCATATAGTAGAACATTTATGATGGATAAAAGTTGAAGTTGTTCAATTTCTCAGTTCCATATTTCTTAAATAAAATGAAAAGAGCTTTCCGAATGCCCACAGTTACTCCCAGTTAATGAATTCCTTTAATGACTTCACATTCCAGGATGTCTGGCTCGAGGTCAGTGACCACCCCATCGTGGTTATCAGGGACATTAAGCTCTTTCTTGTATAGTTCCTCTGTGTAATCTTGCCACCTCTTTTTAATTTCCTCTGCCTCTGTTAGGTCCCTGCCATATTGGTCCTTTATCATGCCCATCTTTGAGTTCTGCTTACACAGTGGAAATTGCCACTGGCTCCATTTGGTGCAGTGTTTGTTTAGAGAGTAAATGGTTCTCGCATAAGCTGTTTAACTTTGCTTTTTTAGGTTTCTCAAGAGAAAAAATTAAGAGGAAAAAAAAAAGAAAAAATTAAGAGAGATAAAAAGAGAAAAATACCTAAGGAATTGAAAACATACAGTGCAAAACAGCTAAAAACAACTGAAAGTAGCAAAGGCTTCATGACAACCAAAGGAGCAATCCTCAGAGGCTATAGAAAGTCTTGGAAAACCCCCTCCAAGGTCCAAGACAGTGCTCCAGTCTCACAGTATAGAATTGGCGAGCCATCCCCAGACTCTGCCTCCTCACAGCCAAGAACCACACCAGCTCCTTCTCTGAGGCTCTCAGTACAACCTTGAAGAAGGAAAGGAGCCCTCTGGTGGGTGGTGAGGAGAAGACATTGGAGAGGCTGGGCCATAAATTATTCTGAATTCCTTCCCTGCCCCTCTGAAGTGCCCTTGCTGTGTGGGTTGAAAAGCCTATCTTGTAAAAGTACAGGAAATTAGAAACCGGGAGGAGGTAACCGCCGCTGTTGCTCCTTTTGCTCTGCCGACTGCAGCCCAGGAGAGCATTGGCACCTTGGAGGCCCCCATGTGCCAGAGGTGCAGGCCATAGGATAGTGTGCTAAATCTAAGCGCTAGGCAAAGAGGAATGTCTTAACGGGTGCCTAAAATATGACAATGCTGGTGCCTGGCAGACCCCATTGGGGAGAGCATTCCCTATTCCACTTGGTTCATATGGGTTATTTGATGCAATATATTTCATGCAGTGTGACTGAAACAAAGCTTGGGCCATTCCAACAGAGGACATTTCCTTTGTGCCATGTGCCTTTTAATAACCACTTTAAAATAATGTTTCAACTGAAAGTAGATGTGAGCAATTAATCTGGAAAAAAATAAACTGAACTTCATCACCAGCTGTCTGTGTGGGACATAACATCGACCTGTAATGCCAGGGGTTGACTGCAATAGTAATAGTTGATTTGTTGCACCTGGCATTTTCTGTTATCCACTGAAAATTATGACTCACAAAAATGATGAAATATCAAGTCTTTCTATTAAAATCAGGTGTGCAACAAAATGTTGTGGTATGTTTGCACCCAGTAAGAGGAATGCTCCTTTCTAGGACATACACCATTCTGGAATAGGAACCTTGTAGTTCTGTTTAGGCTTAATAGGCAGACTCTAGAATTTCAGGTTCAGAGTAAAAGGGAAAGGATCCCTTTCACAGGCCTTTGCTTACCATACTGTGAAGTAATACGTTCAGAAGTAGGCTGCACGCTTTGAACCTAACCATTTTATTCCTATATAGTAGGTTGTTCATGAGCTGCTGGTTCTGGGGACTGGGAACGTGGAAAAATGTCTCTTTCCTTTCCTCATGAAATGACCCTGTGTAATGTGCATGTTCCCCCTCTCTAAGCACCCCCTGGTGATTTCTTACAACTTGTCAGCGGGTTCTGCGCTCCAGTTACAACTTTTCTCTGCACAGCCCCTTCAAGTTTTCTTTTCTCTTACTTCGTAGCTGACTTCTCAACATTTTGTATATCCTGAAGCCTGCAGATTAGCCCTATTCTATTTTTAAAACTTTTTTTCATTTTTAAATTTACCTAGAAAGCTTTCCTACCTTATTTTTGGGTGATCTCTTTCAGCTTTAATTTGAGAGTCACTTGACCCTCTGAGTTCTCTCTCTCTCTCTGTGTGTGAAGTACTGTGAATTGTGAAATTATTATTTCTGCCTCTATAAAACCCCTGAAGCATTTTGGATCTTATGAAAAAAAGCAGTTCAGAAAGCACTACTTGGAATTCATCTGAAACTCATTTTTATGCTCTCATTGTATAAAATTGCCCTCCATTGACTTCAGTACTGAGAAACTAGAGTAGCCCTTTGGGCTGGTTACCCAGATAACATTTTTGAAGGTTTCCAAATGGTTCTTGCCTCTTCAGGACACAGCTAGACGGAAGCTGGACTTGCTGAAGTCAGAATTCCTGGAAATGATTGCTTTAATTGAAGAAGAAGAAAAAGAATCTGTCAAGAAGGTCTTAGCAGAAGAGAAGAGAGTCCGAGATAAATATGATTTTGTATATAAAGTCCTTGGTAAGAAAAAAAATGAAATTCAAGGGGAAAGAGACCAAATCGAAATGGCCTTGACTGAAGTTGATGATATCGCATTTTTAAAGGTAATTCTCAGTTTGTTAAATTTCTGAGCAGGGCAGTTAAAGCGTTTCTCAACAGTTCCTTCTTTAGGGAAGTTGTTCCCTCTTTTTAAAATCAAGTCATTTCAGACCAGGAAGAAAGGCTAGAAATAGCTTTGGCTATCCAGTGTTGCTTCTTTTGTGGACAAAAAGATAATTATTCTCTGTTTGAATTGACAAGGAGAGCCAATTGGCACATTAGTGGGCTCACGTTGGAGTGATGTTCTCCGTTCTTCCCACCTCTCAGAAAAACCTCCTCAAGCTTGTTATTCATGGCATACATGATTCTGTGTAAAGATCATTCACTTTTCCTACACTGGGAAACAGTGCTTGGAAGTGAGGTCACAACAGCCATTTCAGAGCTCATCTTCTGAAAGAGGGAAGATGTGGTCTTTGCATGTGACAGTGTGTATCAGTCTTCATGAACTTTTCCTCTGGATGGGTATAAGTTCATCTATGGAAAATGTCATATGTAAAATGGCTCAGGTAGGCTGATCCTAAGCCTCTCGCTCAGAACGTCCAAGTTTGTCTGTTTAGGATCTCAGCCTTTGCTTGGCTTTCCTGGGGTCTGCGTAGAGCTCCACTTAGCTGAGGAAGGGTCTGGCTGGCCCTGAATGCCGCCTTTGCTTCCATAGTGGCAGGACAGTGGCATTCTGTGGCTGACAAACGAGAGATGGCTGGGCCCCTCTACTGGAGTGCAATGTAATGTGTGAAGCGGCCCTGCCCGCCAGGTGGGAGGTGGTTGCAGCCCTTGCTATGGAGCCTTTGAATCCTCACGAATCTTCCATTTTATTTCAGAAGTCAGCAAAACTGCGGCAGTTACCCTTCAAAGACGTATTCATTCCCAAAATAGATTTGGATCAAAAGTTGATACATGCCATTTATCAAAAGGCCTTTGGCCTCAAGGAAAGTGTGAAACAGTTTTTGACTCATCCTAAAGACAAGAATACAGAAGGTGCTTATTCTTCCCCCATCTCCTACTGGCATGTGTCATGTGTTAAAGTTTTAAAGACTACATTTGGTGGAAATTACAGGAATGGGTGTTCACAGGTTTAGGGTTTGTGCAACTATTGCTTGTAAAAGGAACCTGGTTTTTTGAGTTATAGAGGTGTCACAAAGTATTATTGTGAAAGTTGGGGCCAGCACATTGAGCTGGAACGTGTGAATCCTGGCTAGTAGATGACTCAGGGAGAGGGGATCTTGGTAGGAAGCTTTTGGTAAAGTGATAACACCAAGTCTCAGTCTTCCATCTATAATGTGGGCATATCAATGGTATGTGCACTCTGGTAATGAGGATGCCATTGCATGATATCTCAATATCATTTAGAATACAGAACTGGGGTGGGAAAATAACTTGAAGCCGCACATGCAGATGATGAGTCCCACCTGTTGGGAAAAATCTTATTTTCTTATGGTCTAGACTACAGCTTTATTCAGTATAGCACCTTTTCTCACAGGACAGCAAACATATGCTTTATTTAATTTGGACTTAATTTGGAGAACAGCATGAAGCAAAGATCAGATATTCGTTATATACAGAAATCCATTACTTGATTGGGTTGGTTCTAAAGTTGCATGGAGCAGATCTCTGTGAACTGGATGTCCTTGCCTCTGAACAGCATGGAAGGAGGAATTGTGGGAATGCTGTTCCTTTGCCTCCTTCCTCCTGCAAGGAGCCTTTCCTTGATGCTGGTGTCCTCCGCAAACAGAAGAAACTCTTCCATTTGTGGAGGATGGGATAGTCTCTATCCAACCGATTATGTTTATAATATCGCCATTCCACATCATCACCCAAACATACAAATCTGTTTTTTTTTTCAAGTGCCATAGGTCATTTGTTCTTTCATCTGTACATTCGTCCTTTCTTCTGTCCCTCGCCTCCCTTCTCCTTCCATGTTTCATAAATTGTAGAACTGCTGTCTTTTGATTCATAGGCAGCAGAATGCATAGTGTTTCATGTCTACAAGGGGAAGGTAAGTGTGGTAGGGAAACCTAGTGATTACAGTTCCAAACTTCTAAATTCAGCAGTCCTTGATGGCTTCCACTGACCTAAGTCAGTTTTAGTTTATGTTGAATTAAGACCATGCTGATAAAATCCAACTGTATACAAAAAGCAGATCCATAAATGCCATCATGGCATTTTGCCCTCCTCCCCATGTAATAATAGCTAAAATTAATGTCATTTATGTTGATACATGCCATATATTCTCCTTTCAGGAAGTACACAGTCAAACTTCAAACCACAGACCAATTTCTTGCAACCAGGAAAGAAAAAAAATGAATCAAGTGAGTAAATAAAAACTTCCACAACTGCCTAATCCTGCCTATTCTCAGAGGTTAAAAGAAGTCAGGCCTGGTTTGTATTTGGATGGGAGACTTGAGTCCTGACTTGAGCAGAGGGTAGGACCCGATGGCCTTCTAGGCCTCTTCCAGCTGTATGATTCTGTTCTGTTCTTGACAGCTGAATTCCTTTAATGACAGCAAATACGTTTGTTTCCAACTTGCTTAAACTGAGGCTGGCCATGGTTTGATAGAAGCATAGTGGTTTTGTAGTGTGAATGTGTGTTTCTTTAGTCATGCTGTCATTGGTCACATAGCTTTAACAGGTTTTTAAATGCTACAGAACTCTGCAAACCTGGATTTTGACCAGGTTTTTGACCAGAAATGTGCACATAACAGGAAATAATTTCTTCATAGCTTTTGGGAAGTGCATAGAAGATGGTATCTGTCTCCAATTATCTATCTTTTGGACTTTGGTCCTCACAATGAATGAATGTTAGGTTTACTGGGAATGGTATATGCTTGGAGAAAAGCACACTTTACAATCAGATGCAAGGTTAAAAAGTGGTTAATGGAATGCCAGCCTGCAGTAATTGCAAGTCATACTGGAAAAACGGTTTTGGAGTGATCTAAGTAGAGGGACAGAGAAAAGGGTTTCTACAGAAAAGATGTGGATATGGAGACTAGGTCCGCTTGTCCCAAATCAGAACTGGAAGAAGAGGCAGGGTCAGAATTCTTAGCTGAATAGCCAAGGCCAGCAGATCCAGAGATAAACCAAGAAGCTGGTAAGAACCAAACCCTGTCAAGTTTTGTGGGAAACTGTTTAACAGGCAAAGCTCGTTTGCGGAGGACTTAGCATTGTTGGTCTGTTTCTACAGCATTGGATCAAATGATTGCTGACTTTTGGGCCAGAAGCACTATGAACTACCCTGAAGGTAGAGCCAACCCCTTTTGGACACCACTTTGCATCATTAAAGGCATTTCCCTAATGGCCAGTGTTCCAACTTTGCTTGTGTCTTTGGTTACTGATTTCTCCAATACTTCTCTTTTGTATCCTAAAGCCACCCCAGTTGGTCTGTTTTAACTTAACAAAGAGTTTAATTAGAAACCTTTTTGTCCTGATTTGCTTGGAAGGGTAGCTTGGTAGAAGACCTGCCCATGAGATAGACATTTTTGGCATCTTACACTGCAAGGCACTCGGTATTGCACTACTCAGTGTGTATTTATTTGGTGATTGGTTAGTCGAACTATCTCATGACATCTAATAATTTTTAAATTGTTTTCTTAACATAAATACAATACAGAAAAAGAAGGATAGATGGATATATAAAAAGTAAAATACAATTGCCAAAGATTTTTGAACAAGTATAACCAATACATTCAAGCCCACAAATTTCAAAGAGACCAGAAATGTCTTTCTTTCTGTCTTTCAATATTCTATAGAAATTCAGAAAAAGGAGAATTATTGTTCTGCATACTGACAAATTTTCCAATCACTTCAAATTGATTATAAATCATCAACAACTTTTTAAAAAGTATGATAGAATTTTGATTTGTCATTAAATTCTTCATTTGATCTTGTTTACATAATTAGTTACTCTTGCCATCACTGCATACTCTGCTAACTTATTTTTCCAGTCTTCAGTTGTTGGGCATTCTGGTGTTTTCCATTTAAAAGCAATTAAAATTCTTGCTGCAGTTGTCATGCATTTAAATAACTGGCATATTCTTTGAAAAAGTCTCTGGCATTATGTTCTTAAGACTCATAGGAAACTTAGTTTTAAAAGTATTTTGTATTTCTGCATGTATCAATTTCCAGAATCTTTGACTTGTTTCAGGAGTCCACCACATGTGGTAGAAAGTCCCATCCACTCTGTTACATTTCCAGCATTTTCCATTGTAGTTCTTATCTATTTTTCCTATATCTTTTGGAGTAATATACCATTGAGAAATCATCTTATACGAATTTTCTCTTAGTGCTTGGCTGGTTGTGAATTTAATGGCTTTCTTCCATAAAGTTTCCCATTGATGAGGTGATACTTCTTCTCCGAGATTTTGCTTCCAAACTGTCATACATTTCTTGTCTTGCTGATTTTATTTATTTATTTGGAACATCTATATGCCAGTCCATTCGCAAAAAGCCTCAGGACGGCTTCCAAAACTTTTTTCAGTGTCATGCTGAAGTAACTGCTTATAAAGCCTTCCTAATAAATGATCATTTTGTTGTATAATCAACTTTTCAAGATCTATCAAATTTCTTACAATACCTTTCCCTGATTGTATTTCCCCTTTCAGTCTTGAAACCAATTGGTGGTAAACAAACCATTGTATATTTTTTTTCCTTCATCTTTTAGTTGTTGCTGAGATTTGACTCCTCCTCGTTGGCTGATCATATTCCCATAGGTTATGAAATCATCATTTTTCCTGGAGTATTTTCCACACACTTCTACCAGGGACATCAGAGAATAGATGGGAGGACTAATTCCCTTTTTCATGGAATACCAATTTTTTTTTATCAGGCCATCTCTTAATGCATGGTTATTATTTGATATCAAGGCCTTTTTAACTCTTTGACCCATAAAAAGTTGAGTATCCCATGTTCAGGATCTGGCATCAAATAGTTAATGGTGCCTCTTGTCTAGAATAGACCTTTACGAGACGAGAGTTCAGTCAGTGGCTATTGACTATGAAACTTAAATGGCACCTTCCACATTCAGATGGGCTGTGCCAAGTGATGCCACCATTTGTGTACTGAGTGGGGAGGATGAATAAATACAACTGCTCCCCCATCCTGATATTCAACTTCCAGCATTCCTAACCATCAGCCATGCTGGTTGGAGTTGATGGGAATACAATTGTGCCCAAAACATCCGGGTAACTGCAGGCTGGGAGAGGCTCTTCCAGAAGCAGCAAGGGCTGTGCATTGTACTTTGCATATTCATTTGCCGAATCTCACTTTGTATGCTCTCTCTCCTTTCCCCAAAGGGGCTGCAAAGGGAGATGATCAGCCACCAGATTCATCACAGGAGAAAGCCACGGAAGAGGCGACTGCTTCTGGTGCTCCAGAATCCAGTGAGTGTGGAGAGCTGATTGAAGTGATAAATAAATACCAGTTCTGTTTCTCTCATGGAGTAGTTGAGATAAAAGAAAGCAGGGGAATTCCCAGCAGATTGGCTTCATTTGCTTGGAGTAGTCCTGCAGGGGAGGTGGTAGGAAGGATCCAGCAGGGGAAGATCGTGCAAGGGCTAAACAGCCAAAAAGTGGGGGGGAGTTTAACCCTCACACAGCCTGACTTATGTGGCAGGCACAACAAGCCCAGTAATGCCAAAAATACTCAGATAGGCCATGGGCATGTACTACAGCCCACCATGGTTCATGGTGAACTGTTTGATCATCAGAATGGGCCCACTTGAGTTTGCTCTTTAGCTTCTGTAAGAATTTCTTCTGAGAAAAGTACAGCTCATTTGATCTTTGAAAGGGTAAATTTCTTACCTTTGGACAAAAATTTGTATTTGCCCTTGTGTCTCCCCTCCAACTCCACCCCAGTTCCCTTAAAAATTCAAGGAACATGAATCTGTAATATATGGTCCATACCTTATACCAGTCATGGCGAACCTATGGCACGCGTGCCACAAGGGGCATGCAGAACCCTCTCAGTTGGCACGCGAGCCAAGTCACCCCAGCATCGCCCCAGCAGCCAAGCATCAGATAACAGCCCACATAGGGGCCATGCGCATGCTTGGAAAGGAATAGTGGCTCCAGGCAATGTCGTCACAAACCCTGACTCATTAGCCGTGACTTGTCCAGGCTTTCGCATGGCCGGTCAGTGCGCTGTCAAGAATATATGTATGTGTGTGTGTGTGTATTGCTTGGCCTGGCTGTGAGTTGTTTTTTTCTAAACTAAAACCTCAGTTTTCAGGTTTTGTACAGTGTTGGCACTTTGCGATAAATAAGTGGGTTTTAGGTTGCAGTTGGGGCACTCGGTCTCTAAATGGTTCGCCATCACTGTCTTATACTGTCTAAGGTCAGCTTGCTCCTGGTTTGACTGCGAAATGGTCCCCAGCTTTGAGTAAACCTAGCTGGAAATCATAAAGTGCTCTCATTCAGGCAGCCCATCCTGTTTTCCATGTAGACCAAGCAGGAGCTGCCCCGATAGGTTACCATTGCAGACGGACAGTGCAGGGACTCTCACCTCTTTGCAGCTCTCCAACTTCTATTTTGCTCTGATCCACAGGCATCGGTTGTGAGACGTTTAATTCACTTGCACAGCTGAAAAGATGAGATTAGTTTCAGCCTTACTTTGGTCACATAGCCAGACCATGGTCCTGATCCTAGGTGTGGTTCCATGTATGATAGAATAAGCCAGTGCTATTTTTTCTGCTCCCGCTTGGCTTTCTCCTGGGTGGTGGCAGTGGAGGAGTTTTCTTGCCTTCCCTAAAGGCAGAGGGATGAGTCTCCAATCATCGCTTAGTGCTAGAGGTGCGGGTGTGCTGTGTCAGGCTCCGTTTCTCTCTCCTCTAGGCACTGCCAGTCAGTATTGCATTTGATACTTTAGTGGCCTGACTTAGTTTGAGGCTTTGTTGCTTTTATGTACTGTTCGACAGCCATACATAACCAAAAAAAGCCTTGCCGTGTTTTTAGTTGTCAAGCAAAAGGATTTCAAGGCCCATCCTCTTTGTCAGAGCCAAGAAAATACCTCCAAAAGGGTTTTGTTACTGGTGAGGGCTCCATCATCAGCCATTATAAGTGTCAATCCTTCATGCAGGGTAATCATGAGCATGTGCAGAGTGCATTTTCTTTCCCACAGAGTGTGTGCAACCCAGCCATATAAATCTAGGGTGTGGTGCAAAGAATCCCCACACCAATGGGTTTTCGTATGTTGCCTTTCAGATACCAACCCTGCTGCACCTGGTTGTCCAAAGGCACTTTGTTACTTAGAGCTGTTCTTTCAGCCCCAATAAATAAGGCTCAGTCAATCCTGTTTCCAGTTAGCCTCTCAGTATGAGTCATTGATGCCATGTTCTTTGCGTATGCTGAGGAGGCAATTAGGAAAAATAATCATCTTGTTCCCCAGTAACTTGATCTTTCCTTTCCTTTTCAGAGGCAAGAAGGCGACCTGCTAAACGGTGTAAGTAGCAATTCTCCCCTTGTGCCACCCATATATTACTCCATTTTAAAATTGGAGAACAGGTGGCCTGTGTTTAGAGCCTAGTTTCTGAGCACTTCAGAAGGAAGTTCAGCAAAATATACTTCTTTGTCCATAATGTGTATAGGATAACAGAATTGGTTCAGGAATGGTTTGGTTTGTGATTTGAGCCCCAGGTAGGTGTTATACTCCCTCACACAATGCAGAGTAATGTGAAGTGGATGGGAAGATATTCTAGCTATCTGTGTTTTAGGAGAAGCATCTGCAGTGGGTAACATCCTAGAGTTCTGATTGCTCAGGATTCTAAATCTCATGAGGAGCCTATGTTAGCACACCTGTCTCTGCTGCAGACCGCTTCCCTCCAACATGGGTGGGCACTGGGGCCACAAGAGAGTGGGTGGAGTTAGCTGATGCATCCCTACACTTTCTGCCTGCAAAGTTAATTGTGTAAGGAGATGAAAGAACCAGAGTGTGGCAGAGTGGTTGGGACTCAGGAGATCTGGGTTCTAGTCCCCATTCCACCATGAAGCTGACTGGGTGACATTAGCTCAGTCACTGATTCTCAGACTGACCTACCCCACAGGATTGTTGTGTGGATAAAAGGGAGAGGAGGAAGAGGAGGAGCATGTAAGCTGCCCTGGGTTCCTTGCAGGACAAAAGAGGGGTATAAATGTAATAAATAAATATGAATCTCTAATGTGCAGTGGAGTCCTTAGTCAAGATCTATTGACCCCCTCTTCTCCTCTGTAATACGGAGCTAACAGTGGCCTACATTGAAATCTCCTTGCAGAAATGAATGAAAAAAAAAACACTGAGAATGTTGTACAGTGAAAGTGCAGTATAAAGGTTACATGATAGATGCAAAGTGAAAGCTTTAGCAAAGACATTGTGCCGTTCCAGATACCTGCTACTTACCTCACCCCAACCTTTCATCCAACATTAGGAACACAGGTCATAATAAAGCATGTAGCAGGAATAAATTCTGAAGGCAACAGTCCATTTCCATTTGGTTGTGCCACAAATCAAATGTAAACCAGAGGTTTACAATTACTGAGCAGCACATTCATTCATAGGGTTACCATAAATTGAGAGGTCTTGATTGCATGTAGCAGCAACTACACAAAGCCACCAGAGGGAGCCCTGGGGCCTGATTGTGATCAGGTGAAGCAAAGATGGGTGCCTGGAGATGGGTGGATTTCTCATTATAAATACATGTTAGCAACCAATTATGCCACCTCCCTTGGGGCTAGGATTCATTTATTTATTCATTTATTTATATAAGTTCACAGAGTTGCTTGGATTGTAAAAATAAAATTCAAAAACACAAACTCATCACTTCAGCTCAGGCCTCCATTCACCTTCCTTGTAGGCTTCATGCAGCCATCCTGTTGGTGACCTGTAGCTCTTGGAACACCAGGAGGTTCTGGGAGATGGATAAAGGGGAAAACCTGTCTTACCACTTCCGCTGCTTAGGTTGCAGCAGCAGCAGGGGAGGGCGTTCCCTGCAAATGCGAGTGAGCATGAAGCCCAGGGAAAAGAAAATGTGTCTGTAAAGGGCCAGGACATTCCTCTGCTGGGCAGATGGGACTTGGTGGCTTCTGGCTCTGAAGATAGGCCAGATCAAAGTTTCTTTCTCCAGGAATGACGGTACAACTACAGGGAAAGTAAGCCCTGTTGAAATCAACCCAATGGACACAGTTGGGGTTAGGCTGCAAGATGCAGTAGTAGACCTACTGTGAGCCGCCCCGAGGCTTCGGCGAATGGGGCGGCATAGAAGTCCCCTAAATAAATAAACAAACTATATCAAATTATTCAGGAAATAGGGCTATCCTGCTTGACGTAAAAACTGGTTAGTTCTTTTAAAACACAATTACATTTTCCTCTCTTCATCCCTTAACTACAGCACAAAGTCCCAACCAGAGAGGAAGAAGCTCCAGCAGGACTCAGTTAACAACCCTTGAAAGCTTTTTAGCAAAGTCAAGAGAGGAACTTTTGGAATGTAAGTGAGTGACACGCTTCAGCCTGAACTTTATGAATCCAGTTCCAAGCATTTTGTTCCTCCCTCCCTGCTTTCTGTCCCATTCTACTTGCTTGGGAACCAAGCCAATGTAACACCAATTATTTAAAAAGGGGTGGTGTAGGCAAGTAGGAAAGTAAAGGCTTAAGGTTTGTTATATGTGAATTGGTAGATAAGAGTAATCTTATCAAACCTTTGGAAGAACAAGTCTTGCTAAAGAACAACTAATGTTGTTGCCTGCAAAGGTAAGGCCTGCCTCACATAACTTTTGCAAGTTTGTTTGTTTGTTTGTATTTAAGAAACATTTTTGGGCAGGGAAACTAAAGAGAAAGCCCCTAGTTTCACCCTAATTCCTCGGGCGAGTTGTAGTTGTTATATGGTCTTCAGCATCTTTTTTCAGGGCTTTTCTCCAGGAAGCTAGGATTTATGCCACCGTTGCTTAGAGTCAGATGATGTTGTTTGTGACAAATTGGTTTATGTCTGAGTTCCCTATTAGCATCATATAACCCAGAGCAAAATCATTCCATTGTCTTCCCTCCTCCCTTCCTCCCACTTTTTATTTTTGCTCTCTAAGCATGTGTCTTCTGAGTTTCCAGTGATATTTTTTCTTTATAGTTGCTTCACAATTCACTCTGGATTACAAAACTGCCCATCAGAAAGTGCTCTTATCAGAGAGGAACACCAAAGTATCTGTGGCAGATACCCCCCAGAACTACCAGTACCACCCCCAGCGCTTCAGCTACTGTTCCCAAGTGGTGGCTTTCCAGTGTTTCAAGAGGGGCATTCATTACTGGGAGGTGGAAGTGGAGAACAACTCTTTCTCTGGAGTCGGGGTCTGTTACGGGAGCATGGCAAGGCATGGGGTGGAAAGCCGCCTGGGGCGCAATGACTGCTCGTGGTGCATTGAGTGGTGCAATGGCAACCTCTCGGCCTGGCACAAGGATGTTGGAAAGAACCTGCCCCCCACCAAGGTGAAGAAGATTGGTGTCCTGTTGCACTACGAAGGCGGCTTTCTGATTTTCTTCGGCATCAGTACAAAAACCACCCTGCTCTACAAATTCCAAGCGCAGTTCACAGAGGCACTCTATCCTGCATTCTGGGTGTTCTCCAGCAAAGCGGCCATCTCGATCTGCCAACTGAAATGACGGGCTGGGCATGTCAGCACTTGCAGACTCACCCAAGCAAACCCATGCCAATACCCCCCCTTCTCCCCACACCCCAAGTTAGAAGCCAGTTTTGTGTGTAGCTTTCTTGTTGATTTCAAAATGAAGTTTCCTACTTGGATGCTCTTCACTTGCTTTGCAGGGCTGTTAGTGAGACCAAGAGTCTCTTGCCCAAGCCTCATTGAAATGTGCTTTGGGCAAGCAGCCCGTGCAGAACTTGGTGGACTGCAGTCATTGGGCAGGCTGAACTCTTCGCTTTCCCCAAGTCACTCTGCAGAAGTGGGAAGCAAGTGCATCTCTGTGCAGGAGGCTTCTTTGCTTCTTCTCCAGTGGATGCCTCAACATGCAGCCAGAAGTGCAGAGCACAAAGAGTATGGTGCTTTCTGTGCCCTTGTTGCTGCCGCTTCTGTGCAGATGACTCAGTTCAGAATTCTTCGCATCCGTGGTGTGGATATGGGCAAAGGGACCGAAGCCTCACAGTCCCACTTCCACTTTCTCTCTTGTAGTGATCAGCCTTCTAAGTAGGTTTTTAAGAACTTGTTTTGATGGTTGTGCCAGGAACTACAAGGGACTTGGGTTCTGATAAATGAGAACAGGCCTGGAGCTATGTAGAAGGTGGGAGGACTTTTCTTCTCTTGTATCAAACACTGCTGATGCTACTTTTGAAAAGCAGGGAAGGTACTACTTTGATAAAACTGCAAGTGGGAGGAAGGGCCCTTCTGAGAAGGTGGAACATTGAATTGTGGGGTTTCTTCTTGCTTTCAGTGTTCAAAAGGGCCCCTTCCTCTTCTTTCCTTCCAATGTTTTGAAGGCATCTTATTCTTCGTATGTGAAGATGTTGGGAAGTCCCTCTTGTGCCACTTGATAAGCCCCTCTTAGCCTGATTCAGTTATCAAAGCAATGCAGGCATAAGGAGCTGAAGCTGTAGAGGGCTTTCAGCAATACTCTGCCGGCAGAGACAGGAATGTCAGAAGGGGGATTGTCAGGCTGTGGTTGTGCTTCTCAGACCAGCCTTTGGTGGAAGTGGGGGAGATGACCCCCCCAATTATCTCAACTAATCCATTTTAAACACCTATGTGTGAGTGATTGCGTGACACAAAAAGTTCTCCTCTTGGTCTTTCAGTCTTTGCTGCAAGGGTTTGCCTCTTGGGAGGAAGGTTGGGGGGGTTGTTCAGAATGCTTCAGGCTAGGCTTGTAGCGTGAATCTTCCACTGGCCACCGTTGGGAGGAGTCCCTTATCCCTTTCGCTTGTCATACGTAGCCCTTCAGGTGCATTCATTGACAGTGTTTGTCTGTGGAGCAAATGCTCAAAGGATCACTTGTGTGATTTCAAGAAGGGTGAACAACCAGTGTATCAAATGTAATCACAAATCTTCCCACCTGCCATTTCAAACATATTCTATGAACTGTCTGTTTTTTCCTTTTTAAAAGCAGACAGTAAGTGGGAAAGAACCTGAGAAAGCTGGAGGACTTGGTCTCTTGGACAACCTATTTAGCCTTCCTGTGGCTTTGATGGTTCTTCAGAAGTTGATATATCCTGGTTCTAGCTGTTGTGCATCCTGGCCACCAAAGACAACTTAGTTGTTCCTCGTTTACCAGAAAAGAGTGACAAACTAGAGACCCTGCTAAGGGGTCTTAAGACCTTGTTTACTTCACACCAATGGTAACAAGAACTGTCTTTTCCTGGTACTGGAAAATACAGAATTGGAAAGAAGCTTGATCCAAATATTGTGGCTTAAGAAGTCCCACATTTTAGGAAGCACACATGCTATCAGGTGTAGAGAAGTACCTATATTCTGGCTGAAGTTAAATGAACTGAGGGAGTGTCAGTGCTTTCAGTATGAACCCAGATCTGTGGAGCAAGTTTGAGATGAACACAAAGTATGATTCCCACAAGCTGGCTCTTGTTTTTAAAGTAAGAAGTCATAAGTTTCTTGCTATAGTTATAGAGTCCAGTCAGAGAACACTGTTGGGAAGAAATGAAGGAGAAATGGGACAGCTAAAAACAGCAAGCTGTGGTGTTGACAGGAAGCAAAAGAACACTAAACCACTACTGGGGCCTTGGTTGGTCTCAGCAGAAAGAATGATTGGGATAAAGGTCTAATGTAGCCTCTTGCAATATACTGAAGCTCCGTAGTCTATGGGAACTCTAGGTGATATTTCTTCCACAATTAAGCCTTTGCACACTTGATCTGGGATGTGAGTACTTCTCATTTTATGAAGAAAGCTGTAGTTCTATTTCCTCACAAGGACTACTAGGAGGTCACTAGTAATGCTTTTGGGACTATGTTCCCCCAAATGAAGTTTTGTCTCTTACTTTAGGCTTTCTCATTACAAATGATAGTTGGGATTTTGATGCACTTTTCCATGTGCTTAAAAGAAATCCCACAAGATGGAAGGCACCTGGATCTAGTTTTCCTTACTCACATTTTGTGTGATCTGGGATATGTTCACTATGGTGACTTAACTAGTTTCTGTATTTCTTTGTGCTGGGGATATGATCACAACTGAAGTCTTTTCCAGATAATGAAGTCTTATGGCGATACTGGAATAGTTCTAAGGATTTTGAAATATCTTTGTGATTCACAGGGAATTCTGTGTTTATAGAGATCACTACTTTTACCTTAACAGAGTTTAGTCTTTAGCCTGGCATGATATTGTCCATTGGCTAAATATTGATCTTTTTGATTATTAATAGAAAGTTAGCCTGTTCTTACACTGTGGTTTACTCAGCTAAGAGTAGCTGAGCCTTACTTCTCAGCCTCACTTCTCAGCCAAGAGTAGCATTGCTGTAATCTCATGGCAAGATGGCTGGTGGCATAATACTGATGCATCTGTTGAGCTGGAGTTACGCATATTATACACCTTGCTGGCTTCAGGGTAAGGGGGTGAAGCCTCATGCTTTGCCTTTGAAACCAGTGGTTTCTTGGCTCAGTGAGGCCTGCTGTGTAATCTAGTTTTTTATGTGGAACCCTTCTCTGAGAAGCAATGCTTTCCTGATGGCTGCATTTGCATGGGATACATACTAAACTATTATGATGACCTAGCATGTAGATTAACATTTTCTGCCAAACCCTTTCAGCATAGGAAATGAAAGCCATCTGGGTTATAAGCACAGCTGTGAGGAAATGGTTTCAGCACACATGGGTGCTTATATCGAAACAGCAGAAAACAGAAATTCAAGCTGCTTCTCTGTAGAATCTTGCAAAATTATGTAATCAAAACATGTAGTGAAAGTTTCTGCTTCTTATGATGAGTAACATTGATCTGTGGGTTGCTTTAAGAAGTAGAGATTAAAAATAAATGTTGTCTCTTAAACACTGTTGTTAAGCTCCTAACCTTGCTTTTTCGGTTTGTAATCTGCCTGTTGCCATCTTGGACAGTCTCAATTGTAAAGCTGTGATATATCCAAGATTACCTAGCCTGTTCTTGTAGTGGATCAGACTTGTTACATGACAATTCAATAAATTTTGATTGTGATCATTTGCCATGGAGTTACATTTGCTGGGGACAGAGGTAAGCTTGTTGCTTCTGCGTGGAGCAGGGCTACAGGACTGAAATGGGTGACATGTTAATTCCTAAATAGGTTTACTTAGGGAAAAAGGTTAATTGAACCTTAGGGTGGGGCTTTCATCAAAATGAAAGTTTTGAGGTAGAGCAGGAACTAAGGCTACAATTGGAGAGTACTTAATTGGGAACAAATCTCATGAACTCAGTGAGAGTTACCTATGGATAAAGCATGCCAGGCATTGCCGTGTACAACTCAATGGTGAAACAGGAATCCTTTTGTTCAAGGCTCTTCAGTGCCATTACCTTGCCAGGATCTGGCATGGATGTCATCCTTGGGAAGCATGGTCTGAGCTTATGTGATGCTTCCCTTGGGCAGGGTCTTGCCATGTTTTTTTGGAGCTAACAATAGGTTTGACTGTCCTGATTTCAACACTGCCCATTAGTTTTTATGCAGAGGATTATCTTTTTAAGCTAAGCTTCATCTGGTTATCTCAGTTTTGAGCTGCAGGTAGAACAAGTGCTCCTGTTGAAAGCAGATAGTCCAGTGAGACTTGGCTGGAAACCACTCACTTTGGAGTCCATTTTTTAGGACTTTACACTACATTTGGGAAGAACGCTCGGCCTTAGAAATAGCATCGCTCCCCCACCCCAGTTGCTTCCGTTCCTGCCCTGGCTGTCTTTCACCTCCTCTGTCTTCAATTGAGTGGCTGCGACTTCTCAAATAATCAATATGTCAGTTAAAAACTTGTCACGGTGTGGTCATTGTACGGTTCCCATTCAAAGTCCATGTCATTTAGACTTTCATTGGCAGCTATTTTGTCCCATTAAAAAGTTCAAGACAGCAATTTGTGAATCCTGCTCAGCCAAGTAGAACTGTGAAAAAAGGAGTTATTTTAAAAGTCAATTAATTGTGGTCTATTGGAGCCCTCCCCATTCACTTTTTCAGGCCTCATCACCGGCCGCATCTGTCAGGCCTCTGTTTCCCAGGCTGCTATCAGAGGCTGTTACATTGTAAATAATGGGTTTATTCAGGCCCCTTATTGGACTTTGTGTGGTAGACACATTTGTATATCATTTTACGGTGTAACAATTCCATTTACATAAAATATAGGCAATTATGTGAGCAAGCTCCAAAAGCTGTGGGAGGGAGGGAGGATTCTCGATTAAAATAATAAAAGCTAATTGAAAAGAAGGAGATAATTTAGGAGAAAATGCCAGCACGGTTCCAAATGATTCAAGATAATTCACGAAGAGACCCTGTGTATGCACACATACAAGAACCTCAAAAAAGAAGCTAGCCAAAATATCCTGAAAGGATTTTGCTTCAAATAATACCACACTTATATTATACAGTGCTTTTCTTCCTCTATTAATACAGTTTTAGCTTCAAAAATAAAGATCACTATAATTTACCTTCTATTAAAAGCTAGATGGAGTATTAAAAATTCAGCAATTTTAATATGATTGGGTTACCCTTATTTTACTTAATACCTTGTAATTCTGCTTTGATGAGCTGCAGCCTAAGCGCTCAGTATCGGTTCATTAAAATGTTTAAACATTGTCACAATGTTGGCTTCCTATGCCATTTTGCATGTGAAGAGTTTTTGTTTTAAGCTGGTGCCTCTTGTCGCATTTTTCAAGTGCCTCAGCCTTGGTGCTTTGTTTGCACAAGCACTTGTGCAAAGGAAATATTCAGCAGACCTCCCTAGCACTAGCTGCATTTTACTATTGCTGGTTCTACCACTGTGAAGTGTCTAATTTATCTCCCTCCCTCATTTTACTTTGTGATGTGACTTTTCTTCATATAGGGCGTGGGAGAAGCATGCATAAAGCTGGTGCCAAGCTAATTTGTGTGCTAGATGAGAGACGCTGATGCAGACAGCAGTCTCTTTCCTGTGCTGTGCATACATGACACTTTGAACTCATGGGCACCTAGTGCATTCCCGCTCTGTCTTGCAGATACTTGCAGAGAATAAATGCTGTGTGGAGTGAATCCAAGAGGTGCTTCATGTGTTGATGGCTTTGCCTCTATCATTACACCGGGGATTCAGAGAATTTTCTGTAACACATGAAGACTGTTTCCATCTGATCGTGTATACACTTGGTGCTAGATTGGCACCCTTGGCCTCAGGAAGTTCCCATAATGGCTTTAGCCTGTTCTCTCATACTGTTCAAGTAATGCCAAAAAACAGTGAGCTGGATCTAGATTTAGTAATACATAGAAAAGTCCTGCTGAATCCCATGTGAGCTAAGTCATGACTAACCCAGTATGCTTAACCCATGATAGTAACAGAATGCTGCCCAGGGCAGCTCTTGAGATCAGTATTATTGGGAACTTCCCAAGGCTCCCACCTCATCAAGGGCCCCCGTGCCAGTGCTGGAGGCATCCTGGGGCTTCTCCTCCTGCCTCCAGGAATGGATTAAAGGAAAGCAGCTTCCACTGCCTAATTTACGATGCTGTTTACTCCATGCAAAATGGCAATGTTCCTGGAGTGGCACTGCTTTAAAAGCCGTTCACATCTATTTTAAATGACTGCATGTGAGTACATAAGAGGTCTGCAATGTGATGTGTACCCAAGGAGGTATTTAAAATTGCCGCACGAGCATAGAAAGAAGACAAATAATGCAAACCTGTGCATGAGTTTCGAGAAACATTTTCTACTGAGTTCAACGGGACTTGTGTTAAGCGTGTAAGATCACAACCTAAGGTCAAAAATCATTTTGCGGTCAGGAGCTAGGCTGTATAGTGTGCTGCCTGAAAAGAAAGTGAAAAAACTTGCCGGAGGGGGGACAGGGTGGGTAAAACTAAAAGAGTTGCATCCATCCTCAGAATGGACACATCAAGCTGTGTGTTTGCAATGACTGAGCAAATAATTCTGCTGGCTGCGTGAAAAATGAAGCTTGCATCCTGAAGGCTCTCACCTCAGTAAGAGCACTTTTATAGGACAAGAGTGGAATCCGACCGCATGTTCTTCTGCACACAAGTCTGCTCTTCATAGGGTTGGTCCTAGTCACTCAGAAACTCATGGATTCTCAAGGCTGTTTGGTCTTTCAGTGACTTCATGGCCAGAGAATGGGAGGAGGACCTCCTGCAACCATTGCTTGGTTTCAAAAATGCAGATGAAATGAGGAATTCGGGTGGCTATGTAGCCCCTGCAGAAAACAGCAAGCCTCCAGCTCCTCTTTTGATCTTGGAAAGAAAAATGGCAGCTGTGCCATCACTGTGTGGTGGGTGTTTTCGGCTATTTCTTGCACCAAGCAGGCAAGGAAGGGCAGAGGAAGAAGCTCCAGCACAAGGATGCTGAGTCTGTTCTTGGACTGCAGTCACCATTGGGAACTTTGGTTCAAGCCAAAGCTGTTACGTGTGTATAAAAATTGTGTCCCAACAACCACCTACACAAGGTTTTTGTATGCAGAAAGCGACACATAGAAGATGTTTGCTTTGTGGAAAAAAAAACACCTCAGTTTACTCAGGAGCTCTGCATCTACAGCCAGGAACATACAGTGGTACCTCAGCTCATGAACGCCTTGGTTCATGACCAAATTGGGTCGCAGACAAACATTTCATGAAAATTTTGACTTGGGTGGCTACCAAGATCGCAGCCATCTCCCTCCCGCCCCAAGTGGGGAGATGGCCACGATTGCAGTTGCATTCTTGCAGGGAAGACGTGCGTGATCACAGGCGTGCTCCTGCAGGAAAGACGGGCGCACTCTCGGCCATCTCCCCCCACCAAACCAGCATGATCGCAGCCATCTTCACCCCCCCCCCCCCCGCGTGGGGAGATGGCCACAATCATGCTGGGGGCAGGGAAGATGGCCGAGATTATGCCCATCTCTCCCTCCCCCAGCATGACCCGTTCGCACCCGTCTCTCCATCCCCCAGTGTGCCTGCGATCGCGCCCATCCCCCCCCCACCGCAGCGTGCCGGGATGATGGGCGTGATCTCAGTTGTGCAGGGATGACAGGCGCAATCTCAGTCATGCTAGGGGGGGTGGGGAGATGGTCGCGTTTGTGCTCGGGGGGGGAGGGGTAGATGGCCACGATCTTTGCTGTTGTCACTTTGCTTCACATTTTTCTGATTTAAAAAATGGTTACAGAATGGATTAACCTTATTTACACTGAACCTTATGGGGAAATTTAACTTGGCTCACGACCAATTTGGGTCATGACCAGAATCTTGGAATGGATTAAGTTCCTGAGCCAAGGTACCACTGTATTTGGGTATTTTGTTTATGTGGAAGGAAATACTTTTCATTTTAGCCAGGTGTGGACCATGTACAGCTTTCTAGATGGGTTTGTCTACAACTCCTATCAGCCCCAGCCAGTATGGCCAAGGCAGAGGGATGACGGAAGTTGAAACCATCCAGATGGTTTGGCCTACAAATTGCTAACCCCTACTTTTAAACCTTTACACACAATGTTCATCTTTATCCACTTCTTTTGTACACAGCGAGACCTCCTGACAACATTAAAATAGGATTTTATTGTATGAAAACAGGCAATTTTTACCTTAAAATTCAAAACACATGCTTCCACTTTTACAGGCATTGCAATTAGCACTCACCTTTTTATTTGCAAAGTGCTTAACTTCATAATTTGTCCTCACAACAACCCTGTGAGGTAGGTCACCACCTTTCCCATTTCAGAGATGGGGACTTGAGGTGTCAAGAACTTAATCTGCCCAAGAGCTCATAACTGAGTCCATGAAAGGTAAGATGTGGCATTTACACTTCCTGGTGCAAACTGCCTCTATTCATCAGAGCACACCGACTCTCTTCCCTAAAACGAACAAATCACTGTGCATACTTTTAATATTCCACCCTCTCCAACTGTGACAAGATCAGTGCCATTCTTCTGCATGTAAATCCTATACATAAAACCAGCCTGAAATTGGTTCTTTTGATCCTGGCAGAATAGTGGTGACACATCATTCAAATTGAAACTCACAGGGATTTGCCCCTCTCTCTCTCGCCGCTTGATAGACAGCGCTGAAGTCTTTAAATCTCGGGGCACAACCCAACCAGGCTTCACCGAAGTGCTCACTGCCCGTAAAGAGGAAGTCCCCTGGCCCTTTCTTCACCTTACACTGCAGCAAGGTTTTGATGGGCCCTTGCCACTCCCCCGTTGCTTCGTCTTGCTGAAAGACCCGGTTTTTCTGCCTGTAGACTCGCTGCACGCCAACGTCAACCTGTGACATGTGGTTCTCTGCATCATGGGTGACATTTTGGATCGATCCTCTCACCACTAGAGGTAAATGCAATACACAGAGAGGGCTGGGTGAACAATCTGCTGCACTGATTTGACTGCTATCTGTAATAGAGGGATGCTGGAGACTCCTGCGAGTCCCTTGGACCGCAAGGCGATCAAACCAGTCAGTCCTAGAGGAGATCAACCCTAACTGCTCTTTAGAAGGCCAGATAGTGAAGATGAAACTCAAATACTTTGGCCACCTAATGAGAAGGAAGGACTCCCTGGAGAAGAGCCTAATGCTGGGAACAACTGACGGTAAGAGAAGAAGGGGACTGCAGAGGATGAGGTGGCTAGACGGAGTCACTGAAGCAGTTGGTGTGAGCTTAAGTGGATTCTGGGGGATGGTGGAGGACAGGAAGGCCTAGAGGAGTGTTGTCCATGGGGTTGCGATGGGTTGGACACAACTTCGCAACTAACAACAACAACAACAGAGGGAAGCAGCTCTGGACTGAAAGTCCTGCCTAACGCAGTGCTCTCAAGACCTACCACACATGACCCTGGACTTCCAACATGGTTTTTCATCTTGAACAACCAGTCTATTGTCCTAACTGGAACTGCAGTTACTGCACCGTGGCTACTTCTCCAACTTAAACTGTTCTCCACACCGAACCACAATTTGGGGGCTTGTTATGTTTTCTTCTCAGTGGATAATAGCAGCTCTCCAGGGTAGAGGATTGGACTGGAGCATATGGCTTGGCCCCTATCTAAATTGAGCCCCCACAGCTGTTTCAAGAATATTATTATTATTATTATTATTATTATTATTATTATTATTATTATAACATTTCTATGCCGCCCCTTGCCGAAACCTCGGGGCGGCTTACAACACAATAAAATACATTGAAATACAACAGAACATAATAAATTACCATTAAATACAAAAAATACATTGAGTTACAAATATAAAATTAAAATTATCAGTTTAAAATAAGTAAATAAAAATATAGGAGGAGAAAAGAGAAGGAAGAAGAAGTTGCCCTGGCCAGATCATATGTTTTAACAATTAAAATGATGTTATATTAGGACTTAATCCTATGGCCTCCTGACATTGCGTGGGGGGGGGGTGGATAGGATTATTCAGAGCCCATGCTCAGAGGTCCTGTGACTGCAGTGATGAGTCTCCAACACCCACCTCACCTGCAGCCAGTGCAGAAAGACTCATGCTGGCTGCCTCTCCAAGGTTGGAAACGGACTTTGGAGAGAAGGAAACATGTAGCGGCAGAGAGAAAGAGGCTGGCACTGAAGGCTTGCGCTACATCCTACTGCCACTGTAGCCGCCTTCCTCTCCCTCTCCCTCCACTGTGCTTCATCCAGGTGGCCAGAAGCAGCCACCTCACTGAAATGTGAGGCATGAAGCACATGGTGGTGCAGGTGAACCCCTGCTTGGGATGCACATTTGGAGCCTTATGTGCAATGAACATGGAGCGCACTGGATTGTGCCCTTGGACTTCCCAGGCAAGGGACTCTAATGCAGCATTCCTCAACATGGAGCCCACCACTCCAATTCCCCCATTTCTATGCCGCCCCATTCGCCGAAGCCTCGGGGCGGCTCACAACATAAAATAAAATACAAAAGTAACAATATAAAAATAACAATATAAAATAAATAACAATATAAAAGAAGTCGCCCTGGCCAGATAAATAAGCAAATACTGTTAACAATTAAAATGACGCTTAAATAAAAAGGTCTTCGCCTGGCGCCGAAAAACAAATAACAACGGTGCCAGGCAAACTTCTCTGGGGAGCGCATTCCATAGATTGGGCGCCACCGCAGAGAACGCCCTCCTCCGAGTACCTACCCTCCTAATTTCTTTCACGGAGGGTTCCCGGAGAAGGGCCTCTCCCGCAGATCTCAAGGGGCGGCCAGGCATATATGGATGTAAGCGCTGCTTCAGGTAACCAGGACCCAAGCCGTTTAGGGCTTTATAGGTCATCACCAACACCTTGAATTGGGCCCGGACTTCAATGGGAAGCCAGTGAAGCTGACAGAGGACTGGAGTCATGTGAACATAACGCCCAGTCCCCGTCAGCAGCCTGGCAGCTCTATTTTGAACCAATTGAAGTATCCGGACCGTCTTCACGGGTAGCCCCACGTAAAGCACGTTACAGAAGTCCAGACGGGAAGTTACCAGCGCATGTGTCACTGTCGCCAGGCAGTCGTACTCCAGGTAGGGGCGCAGCTGATGGATCAGCTGAAGCTGAAGGAAAGCGCTCCTCGCCACCGCTGTCACCTGAGCTTCCAGTGAAAGCTCCGGGTTGAGGAGCACTCCCAAGCTGTGGACCTTGTCCCTAAGAGGGAGTGCAACCCCATTCAGGACTAGGTCAAATCCACCCTCTCCGAAGCCCGATCCGCCAACCAACAGGACCTCCGTCTTGTCTGGATTGAGCTTCAGTTTATTGGCCCTCATCCAGCCCATTACCTCGGCCAGGCACCGGTTCAGCACAGCCACTGCCTCACCTGGATTGGTGGAAAATGAGAGGTAGAGCTGGGTATCATCAGCGTACTGATGATTCCGCAGCCCACACCTCCTGATGACCTCTCCCAGCGGTTTCATGTAGATGTTAAACAGCAAAGGGGACAAAATGGACCCCTGCGGTACTCCATGGCATAGCTGCCATGGTGCAGAGCCATAGTCCCCCAGCACCACCTTCTGGAATCGGCCATTGAGATAGGAGCGGAACCACTGCAGAGCAGTGCCTCCGACCCCCAATCCCACTAGCCTATCCAGGAGGATACCATGGTCGATGGTATCGAAAGCTGCTGAGAGGTCCAGGAGAACCAACAGGGACGCACTCCCCCTGTCCTTCTCCCTGCACAGGTCATCGTACAAGGCGACCAAGGTAGATTCAGTACCGTACCCGGGTCTGAAGCCGGACTGCAATGGGTCCAGATAATCAGTTTCATCCAAGAGCGCTTGGAGTTGTCCCACCACCACCTGCTCTAACACCTTGCCCAGAAATGGGATGTTGGCCACTGGTCTATAGTTAGTGGCCATCTCTGAATCCAGTGACGCTTTCTTCAGGACCGGTCGGACTACCGCCTCCTTTAAAGGGGCAGGCACCCGACCCTCCCTCAGAGAAGCGTTAACCACTTCCAAGATCCAGACCCCAATCCCGTGCTTGGAATTATTTATTAACCAAGACGGGCAAGGGTCCAATAGGCAAGTGGTGGGACGTACTCGTCCAAGCACCTTGTCCACATCATTGGGCCGCAATAACTGAAATTCATCCAATAATACTGGACCAGACGGCAGCATTGGCGTCTCCCCAGAAACCTCTGATTCACTAGTGGTGTCCAGCTCGTGACGAATCTGAGCGATTTTCTCCCTGAAATGATGGTATTTTTACCATCTCATATGGAAAGTGGCCTTTAGAATGATCTGTCACATGCATCTGGCTTCCGTGATTTTTGCATTTTTGCTAAAACTGGTTTTGGACTATAACTCCCATCAGCCCTAGCTAGCATAGCCAGAAGTCAAGGATGATGGAAGTTGTAGCCCAAGCCATCTGGAAAGCACTGTTCCAAATTTTGATTCTAAATCGAAACCGTGTTTAGGTAACCACCACATCCTGCTCATTTTTGGTTCTACCTGGCAAGCACACCCTCTGGCTGAAGAAAATGACCCTAGTCCTGTCACAAATGGCACTATTATTTATTTTATTTCTATACTGCCCAGCAACTGAAGCCCTCTGAGTGGTTCAAAGGAGCACCCAAAACTCCAATAGGCAATTAGGGAATTCGTTCGAAGATCTTGCCCTTTGGGGATAGTTATCTTGCTCCTGTCACGGGCACAAAGAACTTACAAAGATTTCTGGACCCTTCTTGGCTAATCCAATTTTCTGGAGCTGCTAGCCTTGGAGCACCAGAGATGTCCCTCCACGGCCCCCTTCCCCCACCAAAGCCAAGCTAGCTTTGTATGGACATTTTTTACTCAGATGCCATCAAGTCTGTTGACCCGCTATAGCGCCCTTGTTCCTCCTGCTCCAGGTTGTTCCTGTGCAGCCTGTGGTCAGGTGACCAAAGATCTTCCACCTCAAAAACCAGGAAGCTCCAATTTGCTTGGAAGGTGAACAGGGTCACTCACAATTTCATTAGCAGCCATTTCCTTCATCCAAGAAAAACTTGATGCTCGGGATTGGTGAACTTAGGGCAGGGGTGTCGAGCCATAACTAGAGTCAATCCAAAGGACTATTTTTTCTGGTCTGCTCCTGCTGTACATTTAAGGGGCTGCTCCCTCCCCCCATGTGTCTTTCGGTGCCCCATCTGCCAGCCTTAGCGAGGCAGGGCCCCCAAGGAGTGTGCCTTGACCTGGTAACTTAATCGAGTGCAAACAGTGGGGCTGATTGCTTTGGCAAGCAAAAGAATGGAAACAAACAGCCAGCGTTAGCCGCATAATAAACACTGGCTTGGTTTACGGTCCAAGGCACTAGTGTCCGTATTTGGAACCACCGCAGCTCAGTGTCCATATTTGCCCATCTTGCTATTTATGCCGACCGGCAAGTCGCACTTCGGGGTCTGAGGCAGAAGCGAACGGACCATCCCAAGCCCTGCTGCCACATCTGTGTTTCTGCCTGAAGGTGCCTGGGACTGAACACAAGGGACTTTCTGCATGCTAACCTTGTGCTGAGCCACTGGCCAACTAACCTATATTTCAGACCCAGGATTTGCCTTTAGCCCCAACGTGCTACTTTTGATTTCTGTTGCACTGTCCATGCCCATAATTCTGTGCCTTTTCATCCTCATTTTCTTTAAAAGGCAACCCCTTAAAAACAGAAAGAAACCACTACCTGGTGAGGCCTTTATTGCACACTACCTTGGGTCCAGACGCACCTGCTGAAGTCCAGTGCCCCAGGACAGCATTCTTCTCCAGCACTGTGCCCTCCAGATGTTTACGATTCCCAGGATTTCTGACCAGTGGCAATGCTGGTTGGGACTGATGGGCATCAGGCTGGGGTAAGCTGCCACAGGAGCACTGCTGGAGTTCAACCAGTGTGGACTCGACCAGGGTGTGGCTGGGAGACTGCCTGGAGCCCTATCTAAGCAGCTCTGGTCTTCCCAAGGAATAAAATTAGTATAATTGCAATATAATCTTTTTAATCCACATGAAATTGAAGAACAATGACAACTACATTGTGGGATATAGTTGGAGAATAAGGGGGAAAAAATCAAAAATTCACCGGATCAGCAACATGCAGGGCAATGGCAGCATCAGTGCAGCTCTGTTTCTTTGTGGCTGAAAGCAAGTCTGACACTTTGATCCTAAATCGATGGAGCTCTCTGCACAACTCTGTACAACCCAGGGAAGACTGGCCGTGCACATGGCAGGCGGAGTGTGTCAGTGTGTATTAACCTGTCACCACGCTCCCACTCCCTACACTGCATTTACGAGTAAATCTCCAAGTGAGGTCCTTGCTCCAACATCATTGCCCTCAAAGGAGCTGTTCACGTATTCAAGCATCGTGAAGTTCCGCAGAGCTGACTTACCGAAATCACTGCTGCAAATTGCCATGAGAAGCTCCATATGGTCACAAGGGCGGCACATGGCTAGAGAACACAAGAGAGAGATCGGGTGGAAGAATAAAGGGCTTTGCTAGCCGACTCTTCAACAAGTCAAGGGCAGAGGGCCTTTTCCAGAGACCTCAAGAGAATCTGCAGGAAGCCCAGTATGAAGACATGCCTCTTCGAGCACAGCCATCCATCCAACACTTACCTTTCCATCAAGAACTATTCACAGGCAACAGGTGTAAAGAGCTGACCAATCCTTCCTTTACTGACCCTCGCAACAGAACTGGAAGACCAGCTGCTGCATGGCAGGGAGGGTTTGACTTCCCAGGAGTCCTCATCAAATGGAAACATGGCATTTCTGTTCATTCAGCACCAACTCATTTGTTCTTGAGCAGCCTTCCCCAACCCGGTGGCCTTCAGAGGCATTCAGACCACAACTCCCAGAATTCCCATCCAGCAGGGTCATTGAGTGGGAATTCTGGATGTTGTAGTCCAAACATGCCTGGAAGGCACACGGTTGGCAAGGCTGATCTAGAGTGCTCCAGACTCAGGCAGGAAAACTGCTGGCATTTTCAATGATCTGTAGGAATGACAGGAAGGGTAGTCTAGTAGTTTAGACTACCATAACAGGCTCTGGAGAGGACTGCCATGGAAACTGCTGTGGAAACTTCAGCTGGTCCAGCATGTTGCAGCCAGGCTGTTGGTACCAGGAAGCCTGGGAGTCCCTTGGTTAAAAGGCTTTACTGGCAACTAGTCTGTTTCTGGGCACAATTTGAATGGCTGGCTTTGGCTTAGACAGCCCAACATGGCTTGGGACCACACTATCTGAAAGGTTCCCTTATGACTGCCTGGCTATAAAGCTATTTGGAGTTGGACCTTCTTTCCAACATACCCCCATCCGAGGTGCGCTTGTGAGGACACGAGGGCTTCCTGGGGGCTACTGCAGGTTCTGGGACTCCCCACCAAGAAAGACTTGCTTGGTTCTCTCTCTGTTGTCCTTCTCCTGGCAGGCAAAGCTGTTTTTTTGGGGAGCCCATTGCTGTGTAAGCTGCTAAGTTCTTAAAGAGGGTTTGGGGTGCTGCTGACTTCCTTTTCTGTTTTTTAATTGCACTTTGGTGAGTCTCTTTCTATGCTGTGATTTAATCAAGGACATCTTCTTAACTCACTGTATATTAATTATTTCATTTCACAGGTGCCTTTAGCACCATTTTTGGAAAGGCAGGATATTAATGAGTTAAATCAACTGATTAGACAGATTCATTTCAGAGAAAAGGATGCTCATAGCCTGTTCTCTTTGAAATCTAGACATTTTTTCCAAAAGTGTCTGAGGCAGGGGTGCCACAGGTAGGAAAGGGTGAGGGTTTGGGCACTCCTGGATAGGAGCAAAGGGGTCTCGTCTGAGTAACCAGAAACCCTTATTCCACATCAGCCCCACTAGCTGATCGGCCTCACACATCAACCTAGAGGCACGAGAGTTGTGCATGTGCGGATCACTGTTTTCAAAGAATGGGCTCACATTATGGTATCTGTAGTAGGCTGTCTCTTTTTCCTTATCTTTTCCTGTCCCGAAGCGGCTCTCCCAGAGAACTGGTTGCTAACTAATGGATCAGTCCATGTCTTCATTAGGAAACTGGGAGGCCAGGTCCCACCCACTTGGGGCCCACTTACCAGCTAGAAAATGGCACAAGCAAGACAAGAGACCAGGGTGAGGGAACGGGAAGTGGCAGCAAACGGGAATAGCCGAGGTCTGGCTTTCATGTGTGAGATGACACTGCACATTCCAATAGGGAATGGGGCTTGGATGGGATGTCGGAGGCTTCATGGAATATTGCACTTTGCGATCTATTCGCTGGTTAGATCACAAGCTTGCCTTATGTTTTTTATTGCTGGGGAATGGGCTTGTGGGTAACACGAGCTGGAAAGCAAGAGAGAGTTTAGGCAAGTGATACGTCAAAAAAGGGAACAGAGCCAAGGAGCAGGGGACTCTTCCCCCAGAGCAAGCCCTGGAGTGGAACCTGGGATGCTTCAGGCTTGTTGTGCAACCAAAAAGGGTGCCCATCGCTGGTGCTCTGGGATGATGCTATCAGAAACTGCTTTTTTGGACAGCACTGTATGCTTGCCCAGGCCTTTAAGAGATAAGGTTGGAGCCAGGCCCTTTCAGGGCAACCAGCCTGTGGAATTTATTGCCTGATATGCTTCTAGGCATACTCATTCAGAGCTCTGAGGAAAGTAGCAAAAGGTTGCCTGTCCTAGAAGGATGACTGCGTCAGTGACTTGCCCCTCCATTCTGATATGGCTGCTGTTATGTTTTGATTCGTTAATTATTTTTATACTTTGGACAACGTGTTAACATTGGCTTTTGCATTCCCATGGTGCTTTGCTGATTTTATGCTGAAATGTCCATGGAAAGGGCTTTGTTTGGTTTTTAAAAATAGCTTTTGAAACTGTGTTTTTGGATATTTAGGACTATTGATGTGCTTTATAAAGCCAATAAATAAATACATACATACATACATACATACATACAATTGATGTGCTTTATAAAGCCAACAGATAGATAGAGTTTACTTTAAACTGCCTTGAAGTTTACAGTGAGGCCAAAACATTCACCGATATCAATGCAAAAACATTGATCCAAACTAAGACAGGAAAGTAACACTAAGCCAAGAGCCACTTCCCATCCCAGCCTACCTTCGACAAGAGCTATTTTCTGGAAGTCTGGGCCTGTGGCACTCTGGTTGTTCAGCAGCTCATACTGGAAACTGGCTGTCTTGCGACTGATGTCCCTCTGAGGACTGGCCTGTAAGAAGAGGGCCACCCGCTGCGGGGTGGGGGTGCTGAAGCAGGAGACGTGGTGCAGGCGGCGTTCCTCCGCCTCGCTCACCAGCAGGTGCAGCTGCCCATCACGTTCCACATAAATGCTGGCACCCTGAAAGTTGCTGGACGGCTTGATGCAGACGGTGGAGTGCCGCACGCTTGAGAGGTTGGGCTCCAAGACGACGCGGAGGGCTCGCGCCGGGTACATCCATTCCAGGAAGCCTTCGGTGCAGCGCAGGTGGACCTGCTCCACTGCACGGGGGTGGGGATCCCAGCTCAAGCCACTGTAAAACGAAGAAGTCAGGAACCACAGTGGTGCATTACAAGGTCACGGAGAAAGAGAGCTGAGGGCTTCAGTTCTATGCCCAGGCCCAGATCCTAAATGCATCTCTAACTGCACACTCCCCCCAAGGGTAGTCTCTTCCATCACTGTGCTTCAGGGGCAGGAAGCAGCAGTCACAGTATTCTCGAGGGCTGGTGGCCATTTTGGAGGATCCATGGGAAAACCTTATGCATATGAATTGCACCACTCATACTAACAGCCCTTCCCCTCCCAGTCTTGTGCGCCACACCACAAAATAGGTTTACACACACACACACACACACACACTCTCTACACTTCAAAAGTAGCATGCCATACGGTGGGGTCAGGGAAGCAGCTGCTGGGGAAACGGAAGCCCACACCCTACTGCACCCTTCTCTAGATTGTGGCTTCGCCCCCACTCAACTGCTGCTGCCTACACCCACGTTTCTTGTGCTTATTGGCACTTATACTGGGCAAAAAGCGACTGCAGAGTGAAGATCTAATATTATTCACTGTGGACCAGCTAAAGGGATCTGCGTAAGCTTCCACATGTGGATTTTCTTGCTGGAAGGGAAAGCACACGACTGAGCACACACTGTACAAGTGCTCCTTGTGGGCTGCGTATCTGCTGCTAGCTCTGGTTACGCAGTGCTGGTCACTGAGTTGGAACTCTTAGTGCAGCGCTGAATTCTAGCTCTTTAAGAGCAGGCACAGCCGTTCACCTGGACCCCCTAACCTGTGTGTAAATGTTCACTCAGGTAGATAACCTGTGTGTAAATGTTCACTCAGGCATCTCTGCTTTGAAGGTATCTCAGCATGGCATAGCAGGTGCTTCACAGACACTTAAACATTCAATCTTGGATCCAAAGTAGGCAAGAACCTACAGGTAAATCTAAAAGTCAAAGTAAACCTCAACTATCAGAATGCCTTTTTATGGGTGCAAGGTCAACTTGCTAGCGCCAAGTGAAAGGCAATGTGGCGAAGTGGTTAGAGTGCTGCACGGGACTCGGGAGATCCAGGTTCTAGGCCCCATTTGGCCACGAAGCTCACCTGGTGACTGTAGCCCAGTCACTGCCTCTCAGGATGGCCTACCTACCTCACAGGGTTTGGACAATGATAAAATGGGAAGGAGGATTATGTTGGCTGCCTTGGCTTCCTTGCAAGAAAAAGGAAGGATATATTGTAATTTATATTATAATTACTTTTAATTTATTGTTGTAAGCCGCCCCGAGGCTTCGGCGAATGGGGCGGCATAAAAATGTTTTAATAAATAAAATAAATAAATAAACAGAATGAATAAAGGTCTACTGGTGTCAGAAAGCCCTGAACACATTTTTATTTAGCAAGGGGTCAAGAAGCATTCAAAAATGAGCAAATATTTCCTTTTTTATATTATGCTTAGGATCCACATGTGTGCTTGATTATAGTTGCATCTTAGCTTGATATAAAGTCACTGTTTAAGGATTATTACTGCACCGAGTTAGGGTATGATCCAGCAGGAAAAAAGCAAGCCTTTTAAAGAATCGTTAATTTCAATGGGAAAGGCAGGTTTAATTAAGTTCGGCAGGATTGTGTCTTTAAATCTGCCAGATACTTAAAACATGCCTTTAAGGTATATTAAGCCATTTAGATTCCTTCAAATCAGTTGAAAATAAGTTGTAATTACCTACAAATAACAGTGGTAAAATTAACTGTGACACAATCCAGCCAAAGTTAGGCAGGCGACCGTTTGAACGGCAGAGCTAAGCACATGCTTAAGCCTTTTCCCAGAAAATTAAGGACAGTTAAAAATGCCTGTCCTTAGGCAGGTCTCGTCTGTAATTTTTAAAACTGCAGTCCTATAGCCACTTACCTGGAAATAAGCCTCACTGAACTCAACGGGTCTTACTTCTGAGTAGGCAGGTATAAGAAAGGACCGCAGCGGCGCCAATCCATGTCCCTCCTTTGAATGAATGCAGATTTGGATTTCGCGTCCTGCCCGCGAAGGCGGGGGATATTGGGAAAACTCGGAGGAATCCCTTCGCGCTCGCGCTCTTCCTGGGAGCAAACCGCCCTATTCGGGGTAGAACTGCCCCGAAGGGCAGCAGGGCTTCCCCTCGCGTCTCCCACCCGGCGAGTGCGCGCTCGGCTGCTCCTTCCCCGGCCCGGCTTACCTGCCCTTCCAGCTGCAGTAGTCGGCGGCGCATGGCTGCAGCAGCAGCAGCAGTAGCGAGAGGAGCAGCGGGGCCTCAGAGCGCCTGCTCCGGCCCTCCCGCCCTGGGAACATAAGGCGGCGTTTGCAGCTCCGCTAGAGCCAGCGTGGAGCGACTTGCTACGGTTCCTCCTGTGCAAAACGGGGCGCAGCGGCTGGGCTGGTGGAAAAGGGTTTTTTTTGGGGGGGGGGGTGAGCGGCCTCCTTGGGGAACAGTAGAAGTGGCGTGGTTTTCTGTGCAGCAGCAGGAGAGAATTAAATGGGCAACCCTCCCGCCCCGCCCCGGTGCATTGGAAGGAGTCTAATCTGCGGTTCAGTTAACAGATGTCGCTTATTTTCAAGAGCTTCCACTTTATTCCTGAGCATCACGACAGAGCTTTTCTTTGTTTGCACCGCGTACTTACGTAAATGCAGACAAGCCTGCATGCACATGGGAGCACGAAATATTCTTGCGAATATAGAATCTGGATGTTTGCATGCAGGTTTGCCTCGCTTTATTATTTTTGGATTATTATGTGTATCTCTTGCAGCCTGCGACTTGAATGCTCTCAGGACAGCTAAGGCCATAAGAAAAACACGGGCAATACAGAGCAATAAAATTAGCGGAAAACAAGGATATAAAACTAACCAGCAACAACCAAATGCCAGGAAGGCGCAACTCTCTGTAGTTTGCACTTGACGTTTTTGCTCGGAATAGAATGTAACTAGTGCAGTTATAAGGGGTTGTGATCGTTATTACACAAAGTACCTGGTTCCCTTGTAATATGTACAGGCTGCGAGTCCCAATTGTGTACTTAATACTAGATGCCACACCTGCTGTTTGCACCTCTTTGCCAACTGCAATCCGAGGTGGGTGTGCGGCTGCGTTGGTTTTCCCACGTCTGCAATAGGAGCATCGAACCTACACTGTCAACAGTTGCATTCGATGTTAAAAACTTTGTCGACAGTTTTTTGCGTCACGTGCATTATATTCTCACATGAGTGCAACTCTTGGGTATGTGTAAGCCTCAATGATTTTAAGGAGAGGTTCCAAGGCTAAACTAGACGTAACCCTGAAGGTCTGTGAACCGTCTCTCTCGAAAAGCAAACAAACTGAAATGCAGCCTTGCTTAGCCCTTTCTCCCAAGCCGTTTGTCCCTTTCCCCTCTCCCCGCAACCTTTATGGGTGGACTGTCTGAGGAGGATTATTTTGGCCAGAAAAATTGCCTGTGGGAATGAGGTTAAATGCTTTCACCCCTCTACTGCTCTGATCAAATTTGTAGCCCCCTATGGTTACGTTTTAGTCGTAAAGTGAGTCTCTTCCACTGAAATCAGTGTGGGACTGAAAAGGACACCATCTGCCAATATTAAGCTCCTTTATTCCTTTTATAAAATATATATGCCCTACCAACCAAAATCATGAAAGAGTAGGAAAACATTTGCTGCAAATGCCCCTTGTAGGAACATTTCAGTAACCAGGCTGAAATAGTTTTAAATCATAAGAGATGTTGTTGATAAACAAGAGACTTATGCCATTTTGATACTAGAACCGAGAGATGATTATGTGCATTCAACCCATGCGAAAGCACTTTTGACAAGATTTCACTGAAAATCGATGATGGGGTCAGATTACTTTGTACATTGTGTTGTCCCACTGCCAACAGCCAGTTGTGTAAGGTAGTACCCGGCTATTTATTTATTTTATCACATTTTGTACATGGAATGAAGGAGGTGCTGAGCTGTCAGGCAGTGAAGCATCTTAGGCCAGTCCTGGAGCAGGGAGACAACACAGTAAGTTATACTCGAGCATTGAGTAGGGCTGAGTGTGGGTTACTGCTATTGTATTGGTTGAAACAACTGCACTAACAAACCATGGTTTGCGAACCACAAATAATCTTTGAAGAAAGCCCATTGCTTGTCATTGGGTTGTGAACACTGAGTTGTTCAGACAACATGGAAACCCATACTCAACAACTGAGTGTGGGACTCTTGTTGAATTGAGAGCTGTTGTTGAAACATCATTATGTTGTCTGAACTCCCTGCTTCTGTTAGCTTCTGGCTAGACCCCCAGACTTAGTCTTTAAGAAAGAGCTGCCTGAATTTTAGGACTCTGCCACTGAGTGTGATCATGAGGATTTTCCATGTCGGGAGGCCTGCCCTTCAGAACTGACTGCTACCCCCTTCGGGACTGCACTCCTACACTGGATTTCTAGTGTTTGCTCAGTCAGACCATCTTCTAGTGCTGTTCGTGCAGAAGCACACAAGAACATGGTGCACTTTTGCACGGGGTCCGTTGAGATGAGCAAGGTGCTGTCCCTAAGCCTTTCGGAGCCAGTGGAGGAGTGACTTTGAATCATGGAACGGAGCGAATGGACATTCTCACGGCCAGGGAGAAAAATCTTTGCCCAGGACCAAGACTCGCAAATGGTGTGTGTGCGCACACTGAGGTGCAAGAGAAGCCAACTCGGATGGACAGACAGACTGAATGTGTGGGAGTGGAGAGGGGGCATGCCAGCAGTGGCTGCCCCCTTGTTAGTGTGTGGCCCCCACACATTCGGCTTGGGACCAGTTCAGCCAAAAGAGTTCCCTATTTTTGGTCTAAGTAGTAGCATGGAGTTTAGCCACTACTGAGTCCTGTTGCAGGAAGGAATCATGACAAATGTGGCACATTTGTCTTCTGGCTTTGATGTTCACATCTGGGAACAAAATTGGGATGATACCCAGCAAATCAGCCTCTGTTCTTGAAATTATTGTACGGTGTTGACATCTGCAGGACCACACTGGTGCACGGAGAAGCTGTTCCTGAGCGAACGCATCGTGCGCTGGAGCCCATCTCGCTCCACAAAGCTCTATTCTCAGCCCTTCTGTCTCTGACTGGCTAATGAGGAGACAACCTCCTTTTGTCTTAAAATAAAAAATATCTTAAAGTGATTAATAAGAGTTTCTCACTGCACTTTAAGAGGCAACAAAACAGGATCTTGTCAGCGCAATCAAAGCGAACATTGAATGATTGATGGAAATTCAATGGCTTTAACTTTTGCTTTCAGCATCACCTTTCAGGGGTCTGTGCACAAGAAAGCACCAGGGGCCATGTGATTATCATGCTAAAAGCTCGCTCTGTGCTTGCCAATAATTAGATTTCTATATGCATTGCCCTTCCCTGGTTTCAATGTGCAACATGGGGAGCTGCTCTTTTGCAGGTCCGGGGAAGCGAGGCTCCTTTTGGGCCGCCTTTAAGCGTGGAATTGGGATTTTGCACTTGGACAGCGACAATGGCTGCGTGCACCGTTGGGTGGCACATGCTCAGCTCTGTGCGCTATTGTTTGCCCCCCGCTCCATAAGACGAGGCTCATGGGCAGCGAGACTTTAAGGCCATCTGTTACCTCGTTGCCAACAGAATGTTCTCACATTGTCCACAGCTGCACGGAGGGATGGGAGTGGCTGCTCAAGCTTGCCTGTTGCTCTCGGCCCCAAGCGCGGCGTTTCAGGCAGCTGGACGTTACCTTTTGGCTCAGAAAGAGGCTCTTTTCCCCTTCGTGAGGTTGCATTTTGAAATAAAGTTGGGACCCAGAAAGGAGAACATGCATGATGATAGGACGAGGTTGTCACAGAAGCAATGAACTCCACGTATTCCGATTCTTAGTCTTGCACCAAGATGCTTGTTGGAACCCCAGGAGTGAAGCAGCCCACGACGAAGCTCACTGTTGAGTGAGAGAAGGGGCTCTATAGTGTATGCAATGAGTGCGAGTGCGCGTTATTTTGTACATGTCTGTGTATTAGAAAAAAATATAGGCAGCTGTGCTGGGTTGGAATTTGAGCAAACGTTTGAAGGGGTTCAGGACCAGGATTGATGGATACCATCATGGTAGAATATCTTCCTTAAAATTGGGATTCCTGTGTGCTGCACTTGCCAAGTCAGTTTATAGGCCGTCGTAGCCTCCCAGATGTGACCCACCTGCTGCACTTTTTAAGGCCATCTAATGTTAAACACAGAGCACAAATCAAGTAAGATGGCCATATTCAGTCAACGTGACTTGCTGGAATGCATCCCTACACAGCTATAAATCACAAAATAGGAGGGAAAGGGGCATCCCAGGGTTGTTGAGAAGGAAGGAAGCTGGGGAAATGGAACGCTCCTGGATCACATCATTCACCCCAACTGTCTTTAAAACAGAAGAATTCTCTGAGAAATCTTGCATGTGCTTTAATTTTGGAATTATACATCTGGAATAGCCCTCATCCAGAGCTTCCCAAACCATTAGCTTGGATCAGGTGCTTTAAAAGAAACAGAACTGGTGCTCCTAAGAATGTGAAGGTTGTTGTTGTTGTTGGATGTTGTTGTTGTTCTCCTAAAGGGCCATCCCATTATTAACAACTGGTTTTGTGCTACTACTGCAGCCCACTATTAATGCTGTGTTGGATTCTGGCATGTGTGGATTGCCCTTTTGAACATTTGAGCTACAGTAGATGGTCAATGTGGTTTATCATGTCATGTAAACTCAGAATGGATGTCTTATGCCTGAGTAAAACAGTTCATGGGTTATGCACGGGTTCTTTAACCCTCACATAAGCCTTCCTTGCCATGTTCACACAACATGGTAAGCCAGTGTGGTATAGGGGTTAAGAGCGCTGGACTGAGACTCAAGAAATCTTTCACATGATCAAGAAACTTATGCATTTGTGTGTGCATTGCTCAAGACACAGTTCTAATTAGAAATGTCTGAAATAGGAACACAAAGCATACCCCATAAGATGTTTTCACACCTCTGGGACAATGGCAACCTCATCAACAGAATACTTCAGAACTGCTGAGGACTGGCCTACAGGCTTGAATGGGAGGAAGAATTAGCAGCAACTAGTAAGAAAGGAGCCTTACAGCATCCTTCAGGCGATGCTACGTAAAATCAACAGATGGCACAGACAGTTGCTTCTTAGTAGAGACCAGCATGGGACAGTATGAACACAGACTAAGGTTTGGTTGTTGTCAACACATGCTGAAGCACAGTCTGTGCATTAAGACCATTGGGGAGAGTTCAGCCGTGCTTTGGCTAATCCATAATCTTTTAATCATCTCTGCGAGCCTTCCCTTTAAGGTTGGGTTTTCTTTTCTCCTTGGTCAAAAACAAGTGGCTTGTCATGACCAAAGGATTTCCCACTCAACAGAGAAGAATTGAGATAGCGTTTATTGAGGAGCACAATTCAGCTGATGGCAAAGAAGATGAACATAACTGGTAGACTGGAAGAGCTGCAGTTTCCTTGAATAATCAGTCTAATGATAACTTCCTTTCACCAGGTTCTAACCCTATGCTCTCATTTCTCAGAGGCAGTAAAAGTGTGTCGTCCAGGTAATCTATGAGACCTTTTGCTACAGCTTCCAGAATATATGAATTGTAGCAGATCTTACAATTTTCACGGGACAGTCTAAGTGTTTTCTTCCTGTGCAAAGGCTAAGTTCACACGCAATGGGAAAGCAGGATTCTCTACACATGATGAAGAAGCAACAGCAACTAGAAAAGCAGTCTACAAATGATAGGAAATAAATAACATTGTCTGAGTCAATAAAAGTATTGTAAGGCCAAGCAGCTGAAGAGGGGAAAACCTTGTGTTTCTCTTATGGCAAACTCTGAGATCAGTGTAATATGTTGCATGACAATAATTCTGCAGTTGCTGGCAAAGAAGGGGAAAACTCGTCCAAAATCCCATGCTAACAATGGCAGCGTAATGATCTCCACAGTTGGGTTGAGACAATTACGCTGTTGGCCTGAGCAAAATGCAGGCTGAATGTAACTGACCCGACCTCACTCTGTAATCAAAAGCTACATGCAAATAGTCTTTTAAAAGGTCTGATCACGGACACAATATCAGGCTCTGAAATGCTGATGCTCTTCTTTTGTGTAGAGTCAGTCAGGGAAGCAGAAAGGAAAGGATGTTGGAAGGATGTTGACACCATGATGAAGTGACCCCCTGGAAGGAGTCATTCAGCCCCCGGGTCCCCCGCACGCAGAACCAGCCCATCTGGTGCCATCAGAAGGTACTGAGGGACGATCTCTGAACTTCTATCCTACCACCAGCGATTCCACAACCCTGTTAAAGGATTTGTTCATGCCACATGGAAGTGTTGGTGGGACACTTTCCCAGCTCAAGACCTGTGCACATGAGAAGGGCAAACACACGATTCTGCTTTGAAAGGGTGGAAGGGTTATATTTGAAAATGCTTTTCAGAGGCCAGGCTGGTTCAGACACTCACCCTCCCATCCACCCCCCACCTGTGCAGCCACCTATAGCAACCTTTTCCAATGGGGCAATTAGCAGTTCCACGCATCCAGAGCACGCCAGGTTGGAGAAAGCTGCCCTCTGGGAAATACGGCTGGTGATGCTGGACTGGCAGCCGCAACAGGGGCTCACACAGAGGTGGTGCTGCCTGAATGGGTGGGGTAACAGCCCATGTGGCCACACGCTTTGTGCAATCACAGTTTGCCTTTCCATAGCTGTCATGATCGTACAAATTGCAGGCCCGTGATTTGGTGTGAACAGCACACTGCAGCATAGTCGAGCATCATGCTCATGAGCGTGTCCTACCTCTGATCCTCTGGCTCAGTCACAAGCAGACCAGAAGTATCCACTTTTTTGAACTACCCAGAGTTTGTTTTGATGTATCGACAAGAAACTAAGGCTAGTTCTTTAACCATGGTTTAGCTAAACAAGATGGGATGATAAACCTCTACTCTGAAGTTGCTTTGTTTGGACAAACCACCGTTGAGTTTGTCCCAGTTCAGTCTTAATGACAAGCTGAAGTTAGTTAAAAACAGAACTGAATGCTTATTAATTCCTCGTAACAGTGCTGGAGAGGCGAGGAAAGTGCACAAGCCCCAAATCTATTATTTGTTTGTTTGTTTGTTTAAAATGTTTGTAGACCGTCCCATTACTGAAGTCTCGGGACGGATTAATAATACAAAATGTAATTTTTTTAAAAAACACACCATCCTAAAATGAGCAGTGCATATTTTAGTGGTGCCACCCCTCCAAGTGCAGCCAAGTCCTTCCATGCACCCCAAGCAGGATGGGGTGTGTGCCAGACATGCCTCCATCTTTGTGTCGTGAGGTGCAGTGCTCTGGATATCACATGGCAGCAGGGCCTGACCTTTGCTTGTGTCATCTGGCCCACCTAATTGGTCTGGGGCAGCGGCTGGGGCTGGATGAAAGAATCATCAGATGCAAAAAAAGATTCTTCCAGCATCTGGGAAAAAGCACCCAGAGGTGACATTTAGTTCTACCTCTTGGTACCTTCAGTTGGTCTCAAGAAGGCTGTGAAAACTGTGTCTGGAGGCAGTTTTGGGATAGGTGAAGGCCAGTGAACTAAGCTGGAAGTTCCGCGGGTGGGGAAAACTTGATGATCCAGATAGCGGAGTAAGGCCAGCGTTGGATGTGGTTGCTGTCTTTCCCGAAGAATCAATTTGGCCTAGTTCTACTGGACTCAGTGCTATTTTTGGAAATGTAGGTGGCATAAATGAGGTAAAATAATCAGAATTAAAAATAACCTATGACCTTGTTATATAAAACAAAAAGGACAGAAACATCAGGTGCCAGTCTTATTTTATTACAGCTTATGGGAACAGACAAGCATTCAGATTACTGCCCCTGCATAAGAGCAGACCACATGGATTCAAATCCACACCTTTTCCTTCAGTTAAAATCTTACAGAGACAAAAGCAGACATTCCTTGCAAGGTATAATTTGTGTGAATTGGTACCTCTGTCTGGGAAAACATCTCTCCTCCCAACTCCACATTTCTATGCCTCCTCAGAAAAATGCACCCCAACATGGCAATCAGAGTTGCCACGGCTAAGGTTCCCACATGAGTCACAGAAACAGCATTTCCACAGCATCCTAAACTGCTGCTGGCCCCACATGCTCCTACAAGCAACGATCTAGGATTTCTGAATGAACGATGATTAATCTTTGGAATAATCATCTTAAACTCCAGACCCTGGCTGACACATATGGAAACATTAAAAGCATTTGCGCTGGTGAGATCTGGATCAAATTCAAACGCACTAGTATTTTGGGACAGGTCCTTATGGGAACTGTCATCGCAGAGTGCTTGTGACAAGATCAGACCAGAACTCTTACTTGAAGAAGCAAGATGTGCTAGAATGAAAATAAATCCAACCCTAGCCCTTTCTCGGATATGCAAGCGTTTCTTAAAATGTAGGAATGCTTTCAGACAAGGAATGGGCCACGTGCATTCCAAGATCAACACCACTCCGGTGTTGCTTCTCTGGACCTCTGGGCAGACTCCTGCAGAACAGCAAAGCAGAGAAGAAGAACAGCCCTTCACTCAGGCTGGCAGTCATCCTGGGCAGTAAAGCTGCCCTTAGTGTTCTGCCTTTAGGAGTCGTCCCCAAAGTGGATTCCTCTTTTCGGTTTCTGGGCAGTGGATGAGAATTTAAAGACAACTAACAAAAGCGTGTATCCGGAAATACATACATCCTAGAATACAGATACTTCAAGCAACGTGAATATTTACAAAAAGATACCTGAGAAAGATGCGGAGCTTGTCCTGAAGAAGAAACAGATCTCATTTGCAGTAGGGAACTACAAGGCAGAAGAGTTTTCACTCCAAACAATCACATCATTGTTGTCTCAGCTGACAGTGATGCACACCACAGAACAGTGTGAAGGGTGAAACTCACCATCACAGAACCCACAGGGCTGCCATGGAAAACAGCAGCTCTGTGCCATGGTCCCCTCACCTTGACTACTCTGGAATGCCCGCCTCCTCGTCTTTTGTACCATTATGCTGAGGGCTTTCCTGCTCGCAGCAGGCAGTGCCAGGCAATGCCCGATGCAATGCACATGGCCAACAGGGCTATATGTTACAGAGGGGGAGGAAGGAGGAAGTTCTCATGCAACACCAAACTCTACCTTTAATCGCACCATACAAGCTCACTATTATTCCCACAAGTTAAACGTATCATATTCTTCAGTGCAGGAAGATGAGTATCTTCCCAATCCAGAAAGTCTGTACTGGGGCAGAGGCTCCAAAGCGCACAGCCGGTCTCCTTAGAGGCAACAGTTTTCCCATTTGTTTCTGCAGAGGGGACCTCTCTGCAGGCACATTGTTGTGCTCGGAGACAGGCTCCTCCACAAAAACGAATGGGGACTGTATGTGTACAGCAGCTGTGAGTGTGCACTAGAGCGCCACCTCTGGATGAGAGAGCAGCTCTGCAAGTTCTCCCAAGTATAAACTCTGTTCTGTGGGTTTTGACTGCGGCAGATTTTTTTCATGCTTCAAGTCACAAATCCCCAGTGACAAACGAACTATCAGCCTGATATCCAGAAATTATGAGTGACTTCTGGGAGCTTAGCAGTGCCATGAAAATTTGCATCTGACAGGTCCACTTTTAACAGAATCCTCTGTTCTTGCCGTTTTCCCCATAGCTTTCCTACTTGACTGATGTGAATAGGGCAGACTGATGGAGCAAGCACAATTTTATACAAGATTAAACACTACTTGAAGGGATGTGGGAATGGGGGAGTGAACAAAGAGCAATGCTAAGCGTTCATATACAAGTATGAATCTAAGTTAAAACAAAAACTTAGGCAAAACATACACATATTGGCTTAAGTTCTCCTAACTACACTAAGAAGCATTCCATGTCATGCCAATTATTCTAAAAAGAAGAGACCTGAACAGCATCTGGATTTCAAACTTCAGTGCTTCAGAACTTTATTTTAATAACCAAGTGGTTCACACAAGAAAAGCCCTTTAAATAAATAAATAAAGCAAGCAATGGGATTCAGAGAAGACTGGATGCATGTCTCTGTGTTCTGACTCCTCTCCATGATTAAAAGCTTAGTTCATAAAGTCCCATTCACCTGAGAGCAGCGATTCTGAACTTACTGCACCCTTGGATTGGCTAAAGGCTAATGGGAAGTTGACATTAGTTAAAAGCATGGAAAAAGAGCCACCAAGAGACTTGATTTTTCTTTAGCTAAGTAGCTGGGGTAGGGAAGAGGTGGGAAAGGTTGAACTTTGCTTGTTTTTTCCCATGCCGGTTACTGAAGTAAAATAGCAAGCTCAGATCTGTCATCTGAGATCACAAAGAGGAGGGTGCCTGGCTGCAGCGTTGTTACGCACAAGTTGACGATTTTGCCACCTCCAGGACAGCTCTCTCCTGCCATATTATGAGTGCAGCAAGGGCGGCGATCTGCTTGCCCCAGTGCAGCTTGCGTGGAGTTGTGGTTCAAGCTTTCACTGACAGTCTGAGGTTAGCAGCCGAGAGCCAAACCTACCTATTATGCTCACCAAAAGCCACCAGAGTTTCCAAGTGGCACCTGCCCCGTTCAGCAACGGTGGTGGCCTAGAGCGCACGGGCACACAGATCCACTACTTCACTAACAGATGCTAGAAGGAATGGACAGGGTCTGGTACAACGCAATAACCTGTCAAGGGGAGTAGTCATGATGGGGGGGGCTCCTTCCAGCTGCTTCTATAAGTAACCAAACCTGCCCCAAGGAAAACGGGGGTATGAGAAATGGACACTGACCGGCCACAGAGACAATACAAATCGTTTAATCAAAACTTCAATAAGAACTTTTGCAAAGAAGCCGATATCTTTACAAACTGATCTGAAGCCTAGTTCCTTTCAGCTAAACATAAAGTCAGAAAAAAAGCATTCAGGAAACACTTACAAATTTGACCGTAATGTAAACTACAGAGTGGGATGAGGTTAATTAAAGAGCAAGTAGCTGGAAATCAGCAGCTGAGCACCCCCTGTTGGACAATTGTTTGACTGTAGTACTGGGGGAGCTTTCTAATCCTTAGCATTTCAACTACTGTTTAAACAGAGTTTTAATAATTAAGCAGCTATTTCCTGTTCAGAATTTTTTCTGCAGCACATTTACAGAAGTACACACCTATTGTGACAAGCAAAAGGGTGGCTTTATTGGATTCTATACACTATCCTAGCATTTCAAAATGAAGGACAGTGTTTAATATATTGAAATAAATATAGAAATAAATAAGAATACACACACAAGGACATGTTTTATATACTTATCAGCCTGAAGCTTTTCGCTGTGCACTGGAAGATGCAAGTGCTGCAAACAAAGCAGGGTTTGTTGCAAACCGCACGATCTAGTGCACACCCAAAAACTAGCCAGGGCTCTCTTGACATTGCAACTTAATGCTAGTAAAGTCCTTCTCCCACCCCTTAGGGAGTGGGCAGTTGTACACCAGCCTGAGACTGTGCGCAGGCTCCTTTCAGGGACCACAGTGTGGCATTATATGTAAACCAGCCTATTCCTCTTCCTTGAAACATGGTGGAAAAGAAGAAGACAGCAGAGATTGCATTTGGGAGATTCAGGCATAGGCGCATGCGCACGCACACCCACACACACACAGAGCATTACACAGGGGAGGTGGGTCTGCTTACCGCCTCCCACTATATAAAAGATCCCTGTACTGAAAAATGTATCACCCAGAACTAGAGGGTGCTACAATTAATTCTACAGAAAGTAATTGCTGCTTTACTTGTTCCCTTGACAGCTATATGAAAGCGACTAGGATTGCACAGAAAGCAACCCCAAGCAGGAATTTTTCTAGCAGATCTGCTGTAATGAAGCACTTGAGATAATGGAAGAACAAAAGTGAGCAGATAGCGCCACCTCCAAGGTAATGATCTGATATTAACACAAACTTGAGGGAACAACAAAGCACAATCAGCAAGTCCATGTCAGAATATGGTCCCACTGACTCTTCTGTCAATGTAAACACCAAGAACTTGAAATTATACCAACCCAGCTGATAACCTGTATCAGAACCAAGTTAGATATGCACACACACCAAAAGGGCTTTGCAAATGCTTCCTAAAGTGACAATAATAATTCAGTGTAATGACTAAGAGCTTAATCTGCCAGGGATGTGTCCTATATACATTTCACCTAAAAAAAGGAATGCTATCCTTGTTCATTTCAGTGCAACTTGTACGTGGAAATGCCTAAGAACATAAGAACCACCAGGCTGGATCAGACCCAAGGTCCAACCAGTCCAGCACTCCATTCACATGGTGGCAAACTAGCTGCCCACAGCATCCCCCCAAGTAGGATGGGTACAAGATCTCTTCCTGCCCAAGCTACTCAGCATTTGGTGTATGCAGGCATGCCACCTTTGACATCTATTTACTATCTAGTAGATTTATCTACTACCTACTCCTGATAGACAGTACCCCAAGACTGTACCCAAGGACTCCCACAAACACCAGACAGACAGACATATGTAATTAAAGCATGCTTATGTTACATAGGCTTAGATCAAGAGCTCCCAAGAACAGAGTTCTGGTCATAAACTGGCAGATACCAGTACCTTCTCCACCATCTAGTCCCCTGAAAAGCAGCTCTGAATAACTGGGGGACCCCTGGAATATGAGGGCGATGGATGTGTGGTGGAGTTGAAGGGAGAATTTGTAGAAATTGCTTCCTCCCCACACTTTCTTCTAGCAAGAACCTCTGCTAAACTGCAACCCCCTTCCACAAACAGAAGGAGCCCTTCCTTTCACAAAATGAAAACTCGCAATCCAATTCAGAGATAGCTCATGAAATTCTCATTTGCTGCTTCAACGTTGAACATGTGAGCAGAATCAGTGTATCATCTAAAGTTTGGAAGTTCTCTGATACTGGCATTCAACTCCATTTCTTTCCAATCCCAAGGATGGTCAAATCACTAGTAATACTTCGTTACTGTATTTTGCAAACTGCTATTTTTCAGGAATGTATGTAAGGTTACTCTGTAGGGGGCAGAGTTGGGACAACATATCACATCTACATCATGTATACGTAAAAGGTCTATGTTAGTCCGAACAATATTTTATCTAGAACAAGGGCAGGCAACCTTTTGGGCCAGTTTGGAAATTTAAGAAATTAAGAATAACCATAACACGGCTGCCATAGGTAAGCATGGAGAAGTCCCAAAGAAAAAGTAAACTGCCCAGAAGCATCCACAGGAAATTAAAATGGCAGAAGCTGGGATCTAGAAGCTCCCAATCAACTACAAGGCAATCCCAGCTGCCAGCAAGAATATATTAAAAACATTCTGTTATGTCAAGATTAGGATGATGAGGGTGTCTCAGTGAACACCCAAAAGGTGTTTGGGGGCACACAGTTGCCTGCCTTAATCTAGAGTGTTCATAGCTATTGTCTGCCATATCCCAGACCCGGGAATCAAAAATGCTATTTTAATCAAGGAGGAAGAAGATACATATACTGGAGAACCACAAACACTTTTCCATAAAAACCAGAACATAACAGAAATACTGGGCCTGGACTGGCCAGCTGAGAAACATACAACTCTAGACCTCTCTGTTGAGCACCTAGGGTGGTAAACATATACACTGCTGTGATATGCAGAATTTTGCATCCTCAATAAGATCTAGTAGCATTCAGTGCAATTCTGCTCAAAGTGAAGTTGCCCATGATCTGGTACAGATATTGGCTAGGTTTACATGACACAAGTGATCCTGCATAGTTACCATGGTTCACCTTTTTTTTTTTTTAACCCAATAGACAATTCAGTCATTTCTATGTTATTGCAGTTTCCATCCTCCCTGCTCAAGCCTTCTGCTACTGACACGTATCCCTTCAGCCACCACACCAGAAATTCAATCTTAAGGTGGATGATTTCCTATCTTCCTCATTGGTCTAAACATACAAGTCTGGATGGCTGGAGTGGATCCTGTAGTTGTTGCTCTTTCCAGGGGATTCTGTTGTACCTGCATGCCAGGACTGTGGAAACCATGGTTCTGGGTTCAGACAATGTAACAAGCCATAATGGTATGGAGAAACCATAGAACAAACAGTTGTTTCTCATCACAGTGTCTAAAGACCAATGCCGAAATACCATGACTAGATTCAGACAACACTACAGATCAATAATAGCAGAAAAGCACCATGGCTTGATATTTTGTCTGTGTCTGACCCAGTGGGGATCTCCTGTGGGTTTGTGTACCCTTCTCTTCTTCTATGTAAATTTCACACTCCCTTTCATTTTCATAGCTAGCCGTGGGTGGCAATAATACCGCAGATGACATAATGCTATACCAGAGTTAGCGCCAGAAACAAAATGGGCAAGAGGGAATTTGCGAGGAAAAGAGAGAGCAAAGGAGCCACTGCGGTGTTGCTGACCAGGTGACCCTAAAGGGCAGCATGTGGTTTTTGCTAGTCTTCAAAACTAGATCTACACTATTAAGACCATGAACACAATGGCAGCTATTTCACAGAACTATCCACAAACTCTGAGAGCCTGCTGAAGAAGGCATTTAGCCTACCGAGCTGTTGATCTAAAGTTATCATGAGAGGTTTCCATGCCCCTTCAGTTTTATGCTCTACACCAAAGCAAAAGTGCTTGCTGAATTTAAGCTTGGATTAACTTGCTTAAATCACTGAAAGCATGGCTTTATTACTCCTGTGCTGTTTGCAACTACAGAGATGGTCTGGCATTAAGAGGTTTGCTGGAGGCTTCATATTTAGTGCTAAGGGCTTTCAGCAAAAACCACGGCCGTTTTGCCTGACAAAACTTGCCCAAACCTATGTGTCCTCATCGGTCTGATCTCTTGCCAGCTCCTGCTCAGATACGCTGGACACATCGTCATCTGTCTGTTCTCCTGAGTGATAGAGCATCAGTGCATGAGTCTTGTGAGTTATGGTAACAGTGCAAGGCCCCTGGGCCCAGGGCTCTCCATCCACCTGCATCGGCATCTTTGAAGTCTTCAAGATCAACTGGAATGTTTAAAAAAGAAAAGTCATACAGTTGTTGAGCGGGTGAAGCCCAAAGCACAGGAAACTCATTACAAAGCAACTTTAGGCAACTCAGTTCCATGCAGGAAGGTGAGCAGACTGGCAGAGGATGGGTAGATCTCTCCATCCCTCCTCCACCTGCCTGCTTGGTTCCTGTGCTGGCTGCTGAGGAAAGGAAGCCCCTTCTTTTGCAGCCAACAGAAAAATGCAGCAGGGTGTGGAGGAGGAGTGGAGAAGATCACCTGTCCTCTGCCAGTCCGTTCACCTTCCTACATGAGGCTGCTGGTTGCCAGTAAACCTTCTCTGCCAGCCCTCTTGCAAGAAAGCTTAAAAAAAAAATCAGCCTCAGCCGGGGGGGGGGGGTGCTTCCTCTACCCTGAGGCCAGCATCTACCTGCACACAACTAGCCTTTAGCAGGTAAGAGACATTTTGTGGGCTTATTTCCAAGGATGCTTTAGCAGATCAGCACACATCATTTAATAAATAAGCTTAGGGACAAGCATAAGCTACTCTGGGATTTAAAACTAAATTTGGGAGGATCGGAACTATGCTTAGAGAAAACTGAGTGGAGGAAAAAGGTAAATTTGGGAGTGGACTGTCCAAGACAAGAAAGTTACAGCATGATATTGAGCCAATCTGTATCTGAAGAAAGTGTCCCTGGGTCAAAGCAGCGGGTTACATAAACTTAATGGAAGGAGATTTGGGTTTCCCTACTACTCCTTTCTTTTTCAATATGAGTTGAGCTCTTTCAAAACAAAAATTAAAACAAGTACCTACTTCATGAGATAGGGCAGGTCAGAAATCTATGGCTAGAAGATACATTACTGTAATTGTGCATTCTGTTTATTAATTCCTCAGGCTTGTCAGTGACGGAGAGAAAACCTTCATATACATGGTTTGGTGGTTCCTAGAATGCCACTCAAAAACGAATTGAAGCATCCCAGTGGGATGTAACCCTCCCAGTGTCCCATGAACGTTAGTGGACTAACCCAGGTGCAGCTGGCTGCTCACTCTAGAAGAAGCGGCCCTAGAAATGCTAGCCATTAGTTAAATGAACTGCAGCTCGAAAGCACACCTGCCCACACTTACTACAGGGATACAGTGTCCTCATACAAGATGTAGCTCATCTGTTCTGGCCCTCAGCAATTAAACCATCTGCTGGATCAGCCACAGGACTGTAGTCCTCATGATGGTCTCTGAGGATTTGGCTTGGGGATGAACTGTGAATTAAGGCGGCAGCCCTGTTCCAGGATGCTTCTTGTAGCTCCAGACTGAGGGCCGGTGGGCTCACCCAGGTGTGTGGAGAGCCAGGCAGCTGTGCCCAGGGTGGAATTACTTACCCTCACAGTATGGGCCTGTCCCAGGCGGACAGGATTTGACAGCTTCACTTGAATCTGCGCACAGTGAAAAGAGCCGTTGACTCCAACAACTTCCAGCAGCCCATCGCCATGCCTAAGACAGAAGAAGGGGAGCTCGTCACCAATAAACACACACATTTAGTAGGCTTCATATTAGAAGGAGGGCACTGCAGCCGTGACCAAGAAAGCAGCTTTAGAAGTCAACTCCTTCCACTGCTTCAGAAGTTGAGCCAGTGGTACCACAAGGCTGGGCTACAGAGCCCAGGCCCGGCTCCCCCGAACGACAGCATGGCAGTGGCAGAGGAGGAGGCACTTCAGCATATCTGGGGGCCAGTGAAGGTGGGGATGCACCTGGGCTTTGCTCTGCTCTGCAGTGTGCCCAGCGTCTGGATAGAAAGTTTATTTCTGAAAACAGACAGTCAAAAGGGCCTGTCACTGTTGTCACACAGTACAAGAGGGAGGGAGAAAAAGGACTTGCATTTTGTTCTCCAAGACACCTGATAAGGGGTGGGGGAAAGAAAGAGTCATCAGTGTGACTTGGAGAGAAATCCAGAGGAGTAAAGATGTGGCAAAAACTACAATGGATTCAGATGAATTCAGAGTTCTATGGATCCAACCCATGGATTTTGCAGCAAGTTGACTGTTTGCAAGCTGCATGGTTTCCATGCTGTTGCAGAATTTTCTGGGAACTGTATGCAACTTCTGATGTACAAAAATGTGAAGAAGAAAAAAAAACCAACCAAAAAATGTGTTTTCTCCCATAGGCTAAAACTGAATGATTTGTACTTTTTATTTTTGGGAAGATTTGTAAAAATGCACGCTAACTAATACTCATTAGCAACATTCTGCATTCGTTAGCTAATGTGGAATAATGCAGTTGCCCAAGTACGCAGTAAGGCTCAGGCAAATTCATGCAAGTAGAACAAGGATTTCCTACAAAAATCCAATTCCATCCATGAGCAGAAAATGAGACAAAAGATACCAGACAGTCCACAAGATATGGATGGATGAGATCTGACAAACTCCATCCATCCCACAGGAGAAGAGAAAGCCAGGACGGCAGAGCAATCCGGACAGCAGAAGGGCCGGTGGGGGCCTTTGGCCAGGGGGCCCTGTGACGCTGGCCGCGGCATCAGATGGATGATGTTGCAGTAGTGCAAATCAGTCCTGCTTCCTTATTAACCACCCCCCAGTTGACAAAACGCACAGAGGTTACATACAAGAGGCACCATCTTACCTTGCCAGAGGATAAGGTTCATCTCCCATTCCTTCCCACAGTCTACAGCCACCTCCCCAGTAGGCAATGTTCAGAACTATGATTCCTTCCAAGCTGGGCAGGTCGATTCTCTCTCCATCCAACTCTAGCTTTAAGGACATACAACAGACTGTTAGTAAGTTGCACTGGCAAGATGCGATTCAAAGCTAGCTCTTTGGGCATCTGAAGAGGGGTCCCTCAAGAAGTCAAGGAGCCATTTTGTATAGCACAGGGTAGATCCAAGTGCTTCAGGGCAACTGGATTTTGTGGCTTATTATGTCCTTGAAAATGGGGACAAAGAGGGAGCAAGGGCAAACCAAAACTTTCAATATTTTTTGGTCTCAGCCGCTGCACTAACCTCTCTGAAATGGTGCACCATACGCTTTTGACTCCCATCTGCTTAGGAAGCTGATATTTTGCCACCTGGCAAATACTGATTTAATAGCTTCTAGCTACATTCCATTTCAGACTCTGCTACCTTGCAAACAGCAAAATAAAGAAATGAAAAAGGAAACATAACCCTCTTACCTCAATCTTTTTGTTCAAATCTTTACATTCCTGCACTAAGCAATCTTTGGTTCCATAGAAAAAATACACTGCCTTAAAAAAAAAAAGAGTGAGAAAGAGGAGACTTGTGAAAGAAAAACCTTGGATACAGTGGATATGTTTTTCCTGTCACAGACCTACATCTCAATTTAATGTTAAGACTTTATCATTCTTAGACGTCTGTATTCTGAAAAAGCCAAGTACCTGACACAAACTTTTACAATTCCAATTTGTAAAATTCTAGCACCCAACATGAAAAATCCATTGAATTTCAAATCTTTCATATGGGATTACTGTTCATTGACATATATTAAGAGAATACCCTCGAAAAAGTTACCATATGCTAGACTTAGTCTAAAAGCACTTGGCCTACTGGTCTCCCCAGCTTCAGTCCCTAATGCCTGGAAGAAGTTACTGCAGCTTTCAACCTCATGGACGCATTTAAATTAATATTTATTTAATGCATTTGTATGCCACCCCATAGCCAGAGGCTGTCGGGGTGGCTCTTAGCAATCATAAATGGTGATGCAGAATAAAATAGAAAATGCAGATAAAAATAAATAATAGCTAAAATCATAAAACAGAGTTCTGAAAACAAAATTATTCTAAGGTCTGCACTCCTAGGAGCCCGAGCATGCATGCAAATTTTCAGAAAGACTTCTTCATTAATTATTATAGATTAAACATGAGCCTTTCTGCAACTGGCAAAATAGTTATATATTCTAGAAACTTTCAAGCTATAGTCATATTTTCTGGAAGCAAAGCCTTTGGACCAACTCTATACAATCGCTAGTTATTTTGCAGATATTTCTGGTCAGATTTTCCTAATTTGTGGCTCATCTATACTAAACAACATGCATCATTTGCTTACTGCTGGAACAATTCCAACAGTTGTATGCTAGATCTATCACTCCTATTCTGCTAGGAGCCGAGTTCCATTGGGAAGATAAAATAACCCTCTTAAACTGAGACAGACAGAAAAGGAATGAGCTGCATTACAGAGGATTCCTGTATGGTCTAGTGAGTAGAGTATTGGAGTGGGACTACGAAGACGCTTTTTCAAACGCCTTTTTAGCCAGGTAGCTGACTGGGTGGCTTTGGCCAATCGTCATCTCTCAGCCTAGCCACAGCAATGCTGTAAGGATGATGTGGCTGGTGAAAGTACCACATGCATCATGCCGAGCATCTTGAAGGAAGGGCTGGACAGAAACTCATAAATGTTAGTTTTTATAAGCTTGCCAGGGTACAAGTGCTTATGTGATGTCAGCTGCATTCCAGATCCCTAGGTACTGCTACAATCTGCCAATCCCGTCTGAAAATAAAGCCACAAAAGGGAGGGGTAAACTTTAGTTGGCTGACAATAGGAATTATTTTAATGAAAAGGGCAAATTTAGATTGTACAGATATCACCACAGCACTTTGTTTTGGCTGTTACTAGACTTTAGCTTTAGGCCAGACCTTTAAAGCCTTGATGTTTAGGAAAAGATTTTGCTCTCCCCAAACTATTGCCAGGGCACAGCTGTCACCTGTGTTGATGAATTGTGCCCAATGGATCTACATGATTACTACAAACCACAGTGCCTGAAATGTACCAAAGCACCACAGGGAAAGAGGTGAATGAGAAACCTGGAGTTCAGGAGTTCATTTGCAGTGTTTATTACCCCCCCTCCCCCCCACACACACTCTACCTAGAAATAAGCCTGTAATGATTGCCACAACACTGGTTTTGAACTATAGATCAGACACTTGCCAGGTTTCTGACTAGAAGTCAGTGTGCCATGAAGTAAAACAGCTTCAGATTTCACTATATTAAACACACACACGCGCGCGCGCGCGCGCGAAGACAACTGGCACACCACATAGCTCAAATTCTTATTTCCCTCCAGCCTGGCTTGACAGCTACTTTACTCCTAAACTGGCTGAAATTCAGTGCTGATTTTTATATGACATGAGCAAACTATTGATTAGGTATCTCCATAACTTAACTGAGCCAGCTTAACCATTTGCAATTAGCAGGTGCAACTTAAGGAAAAAAAGAAAAAATATTTCTCCAATAATGACCCAACCCAATGATAGGAAGCAAACTTTTGATCTGGCCAACATACCTTATTAATAATCCTACTGGAAAATAAAGATGGAGATTTCTCACGATGTGTGTGAAAGTTTAAAGCCATGAGAGCATCTGGGCCTATAGAAAAATAGTTGTTCATTGTGAAGACCTGCAAAAAGAGGGGACAAGAACCATGAAAATTCTCTGTTAATGCAACCAAGTTAAACAACAAAAGCATGTATAAACAACAAATATTTAAACATTGTTCTATCATACAAGGTTGGGGTTCTTTAATGAACCACCTTTGTGCAAATACTAGAAATGACAATGATGCTGTTGTTAAAATAATAACTTTAGAGAATGGGTACTTGAAATAGTTTCCATGGAACACAGCAGTACAGTAATACCTTGGTTCACGAATGCTTCTGTTTGTGAACAGAAAGTTCGGCAAAATGTTGCTTCTGTTCATGAACTCTGCATCGGGTGACAAACACGAACGCAGCCATCTTCCCTGCACAAACACGAACGCAGCCATCATCCCCACTCTGACATGGGGTCGCGGCTTTCTCTAGTTGAGATCGTGTTCACAGACTCTCCCTCCAAACAATAACCTCCTCCCCACTCACCTTCCTGTCCTCCATGCCAGAGGTTGCATCAAGCAAGGTTAGTGTTCTCTCTCTTCATATTGTACCGGACTGTACTTTGTTTGCTATTTTTGTGGTTAAAAAAAATACTATGGTTCAGAATGAATTAACCTTATTTTAGATTGAACCTTATGGGGAAATTTGATTCGGTTTGCAACCAATTCGGTTCGCAACCAGTATCGTGGAACGGATTAAGTTCATGAACTGAGATACCACTGTACTTACTGCAAAGAAAAGTAGACAGAATCCAGCTGCAGCTAACACTGTAGCTAACACTGTAGCTTATGTAGTACAGTGCAAGGACTACTTGGGCAATGCTGGGAGATCTCAGCAGAACTCTACCAGGACAGCATTATAACCTCCTTGTATGTCTCATGGTTTTATTCTCCCACAGAATGGAAAGTGAAATTAAAAGACTTGGGGAGCCATATGCAGGTGCAGCATATAAAATGGTAAACATGTCTCTGCACTGACCCATTTCAGGCTGCAGGTGAAGACATACATAGTAGAATGGACTTTCATGAAAATATTCCATTTCATTATCAAAATCACTGTACCCCACCTTTTGAACTAGGTAGGCTGAAGGTTTCAAACCTAACCTTCTCCCTGAATTCTAGTTCTCTGTGAGCACAGAACTTTACAAAAAAATGGAGGAGCACTCTACCGTGTGAATACCTACCTGTGGGGTGAAGTATTAATTCACAAACACAGACTTGCCACTTCATCTGCCTGCTGTTTAGGCCCCAGAGTGGCTGTTCAAGTTCTAAGCTCCTGAAATAATACATTCCTGCGACAAGAATTTCTGATTTATGAGACCCTGTGGTACACATCCTGTTTAAAAATTAGTTTCCAGAATAGAAAGAGAAGCTGTTGACTAAGATAGAATTATATCCTGCTTTATCCCCAGATAAAGTGGAGGCAGGTAGTTCCAATGTGAGCAGGATGGTGCATCCACACCATATCTGAATCTGAATGTTCAAGGAGTTATCCACAGTGCTAAACTCTAGTGCCAAAAAGGGCTCAGCACCATGGGTAGCTCCTTTAAAGTTCAGACAGAAATGTGGGGTTGGCTGCACCACCCCAATCACATTGGAGGCACCAGCCACTGCAGTTCAGATCTTGGTATGAGCTAATGTAAAGGTTCTGTGATATACTCTTGAAAATTAGATGCCACTCCCTGCTTTTAAGTCTTATGATCTACTTCTACAATTATATTTACAAAGGAAGTACACACAGCCATGTATAGCCAGTTAAGCCATAGCAAGCAGTGCCATCATAACCTCTAGTCCACTGGCTAGTGGGGTTAGAATGGGACAAAAGCGCCATTCTGCCAATGGGGCTGCATCTACCTCGGATGCCCATGTTTTATGGTTTGGTTAGAAATGGTCATTGTTCTTTGATTCAAGGCCACCTGCTTGTCCAGGAGGCTCCAGGACTGGGCTCCTTGCCTGTACCTGACTCAGGGTTCCCCTTCCTGTTGGTTTCAGTGGGAGGGGAAATAAAACAGGAAAAGTGAGCCCATGACCCTGCCTGGCTTTTGTAAGCCTGCAGCAGAGCTTTGGACATGGCAGACAATCCACCAACAACCTCACCTCCTTCCTTCCCTCCCTCCACAGCCCAATTACGACTGCTGTCTCTGGTTCGCTCAGGACTCTGAATAATGCATAGCTTGCTCAAAACATGCGTTGCTGGGTCCAGGGTCCATGTAACCAAGCGCACTTCACAGGGTACTCAGCAGCCAGCAGGATCCAGATGGATTGCCAGATGTTCTCAAGTGGGCCACGGTTGACTGCAGTGTATTGGTCTTTCTGTGACTGCTGGAGTAAGATTAATTTACTCACTGTATCTGTTCATACATTTCCAAGTCATACCTTTAGCTTTCTTAAATTGTAGTATCCTTTATTTGTTACTTGGACCTTCCACCTAAAGGAAAATGGCAAGACACAAAGCAGTTTATAAATAACAGTGGAAGGAACCTGTGCTTCATACATCGCCCTTTTGCTTTGATCTGCATATTGAAGCTGCCAATATAAAAAAAGTTAATTTTTAAACTTTGATATTTGAAAGCACAACAGCTGCTGAGGCAGTCCCTGAGCATAAGCTTCAAGACATCTTACATTAATTCTATTTACACATGAGTAGCTAGCCTTTCTTCTGGAAATAAGTTGGAACTTGCAGAAGTGGTCAGCAGTGTACTTCAACTCTTGGAAGACCTGACAGCATGGCTAACAGTCAGGTATTTAAGTCCAAGGCATCCGGACTGTTAGAAAGAAAGCTACCCACTCCTGACTCAATGCCCCAAGTTATCCACGTGTCTTTCCAACTTTTTCAGAAAGTTTTAGCCTTTGCCTCACAGGGCAGGAGGCCCCAGCTGCCCTCGTGGCAACTGAAAATATACAACTGTTGCCTAGGAACTTCCACGAGCACAGCATTTCTTCTCCTCAAACTCTGCTTAGTGAATCACTGCCACTTCAAGGAGCTCGTATATGCAATGGAGAATGCATTGTGGCCCAGCCCTTGACCTGCTCCAGTCCTGGCAATGCAACAGCCACAGGGCAGTTGGCATGCTGCCCCACTTTTATCTCAGACTGACAGACGGCACTCTGCAAATAGCATTTATGTACCCAAGCTGGATCTCAGCCTCATATTGCCTTCTTGTCCCTGATGCCCGGAAACTTACGGTGGAGCTTGAGGTTTTTTTGTCGTGGGGAGCACAGGGGAATCACCTGTTCCTCGTATCCATGATAGCAGGAAGTTGCTTTTTGCAGCTATAAGTAAGCATCCTTTAAGTCCAAGCAAGTGAACCAATCCTCTCTCCTGAGCAGCAGAAGGATGTTTTGAAGGGAACTTTTGAACTCGGAACTTTTTAGTTTTGATAAACCTGTTGATGCCACGTAAGTCCAATATTGGGTGAAGACCACCATTCCATTTCGGGACCGTAAAATATCTCGAGTAGCTCCTTGGAGCATGAGAGTTGTCAAATCGCTCCTTGACGAAGTTGTTGAACTTCGTCTTTGAGGATCGACAACCGAGACGTATATTGGATCAGTCCCGATGGGGTACGGTATCAAACTCGATTCTATATCCGTGCTCCACAATGTATAAAATCCACTGATCAGATGTGATGGACTCCCAAATGGGGAGTCGACTTTGCAGTTGATCCCCAAAAGGAAGAGGGGAGGGTGGGTTCAGGAGAGAAGAAAAGGTTCGCTCAACATGTCAATGCTGGCGCTTATTGGAATCAGGCCAGCAACGGCTCTGCTGATAGCACTGCCCTGGTTGTTTTCGGTGCTGTTGATGAGGCTGGAACTGCTGCTAGCCAGAAAACTAAGGGTATGGTTGGTATCAGTAAGAGGGACGAGACCAGGACCACTTATGTCTGGATTGATTAGGAACTTCCATATGATGAGCTGTAACGTGGGATTCGTGGATGGTCTTGAGCTTGTGGTCCGTCCTGGCACTGAACAGCCCCAAGCTGTCGAAGGGCATGTTCTTTATCTGGTGCTTGGTCTTGTCCAGGAAATTGCAGTTCCGGAGCCAGGCATGGCGATGGAGGGCTACAGCACCAATGAGGGCCCTCGAGTCGTAGTCGACATGATGTCTGCCATAGACAGCTGTTGAATCACCACCTGTATCGCCTCCTTAGTGAAGATGTGAGCCGGCTCCCTCTGCTGCTCTGGAAGCGATGCTGTAATGTTCTCCAGTTTTTGCATGAGGAAATACTGGTAGCGAGCCTGCGTCACCCCATAATTGGAGATCTGGATGCTGAGACCTGTGGTGGTGTAAATACGGTGAGCCATCATGTCAACCTTTTGCCCTTCCTTGTAGCAAGGAGTGGAGTGTTCTCTCGACTCTCAACCCTGGGACGAATCCACGACGATCAAGTTCGGCTTCGGGTGGTACAGGAGAAATGGAATGTCCTGTTCTCAAATTTGATACATAGATTCGTATCGCCATGAAGTCAGTTGCGGCTGGTTGGGGAACTTCCACGACTCCATCATCACCTGGCGGAGCATCATGATGAGTAGCAGAATGATGGCGGCGGATTGCTCTCTCTTCATGATGTTATAGAAATTGTCGGTACTGGGATTGAAGCGATGCTGTGTATTGATCTCCAGGGACCTAGCCGATCTCGCCATCAGTTCCTCAAACATTGAATATGACACCTTGGGTGAGCGGGGACCTTGCGTAGTAATCACCACATCCGGTGAGGACGACGCTGCATCCGAATCCTCTGACTCCGAATTATAATAGAGTGGAGGACTGGAGGAGGAGTCAGCCGGCGAGGAAGGGCACCTCGACTGAACTGCCACGGACATCAACGGAGCATCCCTCGGGACCGGAGACAGTGTATACTGGCGTACTGATGGATAATATCTATAGGGTGCATAGTCGTCCCATGGTTCATGGTGGGCAAACTCATAGGGCACTTGCACCCAGTCTCCGGAAGGACAAGGAGAAACACGCTGCTGCCGCCACATCTACTGAGGTGGGGCCCTTGGAGAAACCTCAGGTGAAGGCTGCGGAGTAGGTGAGCATGCCATCGGAGGGGTCATCTGTGGAGAGTCCCGGATCTCTCCATTGGAAATCGATCCTAGTATGATCCGGCCTCCGGATGATCCAGTGAGGACAGGGCTGAAAGGATTACCCATTGTGGGGGACACTGGTGGAGTCACTTGCATGGCCAGTTGAAGAGCTGGGCCAGCTGGTGTTGGTAACGACGCAGCCATTGGGACTAATGAGACAGATGATCCTGAATTACGATGACGTGGCTGCTCGACCTTCTTGGTCTTATGGGCCATCTTATCTGCCCTGTCCTTTTTAGGCTTCTTATGGCCTGAGGACTTGTCGGATCTGCTGTGCTTCCTCTTCTCCTTTTGTTTGTGAGGAGACTTAGAGGAGCGTTTGCCCTCTGGCAGAGTAGCTCCATCGGCCGATGGGCAGGGTGGAGGGGCAGCCAAAGAGGAAGGCTGCGCAGCAGACTGGGCCGCCAGTTGATCAGATGCGACCAAGGCCTTGTCCCGGAGAAGCTTCCGCAGGCGGTTCTCCTGGGTTTTTTGCGCCTGATTGGTGAAGGCCTGGCAATGGCCGCACTTATCCGTCCTGTGACCTTCTCCAAGGCAGAGAAGGCACAGATCGTGCGGATCACTGGGGGACATCTTGGCCCCACACTGGGAACACTTGCAGAAAGCAGCATGCTGAGCCATCGAGATCAAAGGAGAAGACAGTAAAGCCGAGAAATATAAGAAGAGAATAAACTTTATACACGCACACACACACCTTTGGGGGAAAAGGGAAAAAAGGGGGAATTAGAAGAAACTTCTAATGCGGAGGGATGAATAACTTGGAAATCTTACAAGAAAGCTAAGAGAATAGAAGAACAATGGTCAAAAAGGGATTGAGATACAACAATATAGCTACAGACTGAGAGATGAAAGGCTCGAGGCACAGTGAACAGTGGTCCCAAGAAGACTGGGGAAATGGCGGGCACTCTGCGTTCTTATACTATGGGAGGAAGGGGCACGGAGTTCCTGCCAAAACCATTAAGCTTTTGAATCTTCCCAGCTACAGGCACTATGCAGGCGCAGCACCCATATGTGTGATGCACAGAGGCCATGATGAAGAAATATATTTGTTTAATATAATTTTAGATTGGTTTGGAAGCCCTTTGAAGCAAAGGGCTGAAGTATAAACTGACAGACATAAGTTAGTGTGATGCTGCTATTACCTTTTTAATAGTTTCATGAATGTAACAGTGTCCATATAATTTGAGGTAGGTTTAAACTGTGTTGATTCTTTTATGTGAATAAGTGTCAGTCAGTCTGAGGGGCTTGTTGTATATGTTATTCTTTAAAAAAACAAATTATGTAAGCGCAGACTGCATGTAGTGTGGAAGGCATTAAGATCCTACTGCCGTTGCATAAACTGGCAATACTACACTTGTGCCATCATGGGTTTAAATTAAACCTGAACTGTTAGGTTTCTCCAAAGCTGCTTACTCAAGGGCTCCCTGATCCTTAATCATCATGAGCTTTGCTTCTATGTGCAGCTGCTTCTGATGTGACCTTTTACCCATTCTGCTGTTAAAATGGGAACTGTTAGTTTTTTCCCTTTTAATCTCTTTTCTCCTAAGCTAATAATAATTACCAATAGCATAATGTTTGTCACGCAAAACAGTTCATGTTAACAGTGACTCAGAGCCATGTTTTAAACAATGCACAGTCAAAGGCAAATTGCAGCACCCGACACACACAGGCATTCAGTTTCTTATTGTAGTATTTTACACAGAAGCGAGGGGAAACCTTTGGTGATCTTGGAGATCTTTTGCTTTGTGGCTCACCTGTCCAGCTTGATTCCATCAGAATCCATGACATTGCGCAGAATCTGCTCCACTGGGACCTCTCCAGCATAGCCGGCACCCCAGCCCAGGGTATTAGAGAGGTCATTACCTGTTCCCAAGGGTAAGATTGCAACCTGTGGGATGTATCGCTCTTGTCCCTGCCATACAGAAACAAACGTGCAATGTCAAGGCTCTTGATTTTATGTGACTGCCCGCTCCCTGCCTCTCCACATTTAATCCTGGAATGTAAAAGATGGCTTAAGTAACATTAATTGAAAATCTGATTCAAGGCCTATTGCTAAATGGCAGGAGCCTAATGAGAGCAGATGGCAAAGCCGCATGCTAACGAGAACATCAAGTCACCTCTCTTCTAACCCCAACCTGCTTTTTGCAGCATCTTGTCCAAGGAAGAAATCTGGAGAGCTCAAAAGCTGGTACATTTTTGGTGAGATTTCTGTTGCCTTAATAAAGATGTTAGACTAATATGGTTTTTGGAATACTGATGACAGAAACTGTGACAGGAGTGAACCATCTCCTCCTGATGTACAGTTACATAGATTTTCGTGACCAAACAAGGGAGACCTGAAAAAAATATTGTTAAGAATGATGGAAGTTTGAAGCAGCTGCTCAAGGGCAACCACTAGGACAGCACTTAGTATCTATCATGCATGGACTGGATGTGGTCAATTCCTATGTGAGAGATGGAGCACATGGTCTGTAAGAAAATCTGAGTCCCAGCATTTCTCTGTTGACAAAAATGTAGGAAAAAATGATCATGCCATTTTGTACCTTTGCATTTTGTTGGTTTTATTGGTTATAACTGTTCACCTCCCAGAAAGTCCCATTTAGGATTATTGACATGGTTTAGAAATTCCAAAAACAAATAAATGAAATACAGGCAAGACAGCCAGGTATTGTTTGGCCTCGTGTGCTTCAGAACACATATAGCAACTGCAGTGCAATGAAAGTGCCTGTGTGCATGGGCATGCCAAAGGCACAATTTCTTGATCTTAAAATAAATAAAGGAGTGGGAAGGGATTGATGATGTGTCGTTCCACAGAAGTGGCTAGCTGTACAGAAGTACAAAGAAATTGCAAAATTCCTATTAGGAAAAATCAAAAGGCAGCTACAACAAATGTTTTTCACTGGAATGGCCTTTTTTCAATTAAATGCTTTCTTATATCCAAGACTGGGCCTTTAATCCTTTGCTGAGAATATCAAACCCCCTCCCCAAATGTAAAATGGTACACCTGAAAAAAAGAAAGAAGTAGATGCGGAGATGATGAAAAAGCAGAACACTATACATTTAAACTGGAGGCCTGATAAAAGCACGGCTTGCTTGGCTTAGATGGGGAGCAAAGAAAACTACTGAGAAATGTGGATGGCATCAAAAAGAAGAATGTTACCAAGTCATTCTGGAACACTATACCTTTATCTTCATGTCATCTATTGCATCCAAGACCCAGCCCACAGTGCCATCTCCGCCACAGACGAGAACCCTGGCTGAATTACAGGGCAGCCAAGTGCAAAGCTGAAGTGCCTTTGCAGGAGTTGTTTTTGTCAGTTCAAACACCTAGAGAGATTTTTAGAAAGAAGAGCTTATTTGAAAAACGGGAGTCACCTGATTTCACAGGACAAAATGGCACACTGTAAGCACAAGAAAGCACACATGCTCTGATACAGGAACACTGCCATATAAATTAGCCTCAGCAGAATGTACATCAGGCATGGGCAAGCTGTGGCCCTGCAGATGCTTTCAACTGCAGCTGCCAGTGGCCCTGGCTGGCTTGGACTGATGGGAGTTGAGAGACCATCTGGAGAGTCACATATTCCTAGCCCTGATCTCACTTAGGCAGTGAGACCCCGCTGTCACTCTCTTGCAAAGACATGGCAGGCAGAGAGAAAATACCGAACACAGCGGATCTGTTATCCTCTGAACCTATTTAAGATGCAGTCTGTTCATGTGGAGAATTTCAAGAACGTGGCTCGCCCAGATTTAAGCATTATTTTGAAATTCAATGGAAGAGAATTGAAAAGCCAAACAGGAAGCGTAAGGAACAGCAGGCTCCTAACACAGCATCCTGTGCAATCTCCCAGTTCAGCTCATGTGACAAAACAGGGGGAGATGGCTGCAAGTATTTTCAAAAGCGAGTCGACTATTTTAGCAACAGAGTGTAAAGAAAGAAAATGCACAATGAAGTGGAGGAGGGAAATGAACAGCACCTAAAAAACAGGTGCTCCTTTTAAACTTATTTATTTATTTATTTATTTATTTATTTATTTATTTAAAAATTTCTATGCCGCCCCATTTGCCGAAGCCTCGGGGCGGCTTACAAAACAATTTTTATGTTTCCAACAAGGAATTCACATTGGTAGTTTATATCTAAAGGTGGGAAGTGTGGTTCTTCCTACATGTCCATATAAACATTTGCTCCATCTTGCCAGATTCACACAAGGGAGGTTTATCAACAATGGCACAGTCTCCAAGTCGCAAGTGCACTTCTTGCAGGGCACTGGATTAGCAGCCTTGCAGCACTTTGTTAAACCCTGCAAGAGAAGGGAAACCAAAGTCCCCTGGGCAGCTAGAAGCAGAAGATGACAAAATGACATAACCTAATAAATGACAGGTTATGATCACCCCTGACCCACAGACATTCACACATTCAAGCGAAGACCCAGTCTATACACATTCAGTTTTGTATGGAATAGTCAAGCCAGTACTCTTTAGAAGGAAGTCCCCCCACCCTCTGCAACCTCTTCCTTATCCTGAAGCAGAGGCATAAGGGAAAAAAAATCTGATAAGCTGTTTAAGTCACGGGCAGATTCTTAGCAAAGCAGTGGCCTTAAAAGAAAACAGAGCAGAATAGAAACAGTCTCGTATGAAGTTTAAGGCGTAGCCACACTTGCTTAGGGTTCCTTGGTGTGTGAAAAAGGCACTTCAGAGATTTTGTTGTTGTTGTTTCACATGCTCTTAGGCTGAGCCCCAACAATGAAACCAAACTGCTTCTAGCAAACTCTGGCATTAAGGAGATGTAAACATTTCCTTGTAGAGCCCTGTAATACTTCCTTATAAATAGCTGCCTGTTTATAAGGGAATCTTTGTTCTGTCTTGAGTCATTTACTATCTATGATGGAGAGAGCACTCCTGAAAGGTCTGGGGATACTTTGCTTTCTAAATAGTCTGTTATGCTATTTGCAAAAACATCAAGATGTTGATCTTAATTTTTAATTTAAACCCTAGTTCCCCCTCCTTTTTAAAAAAAGTACTGTTCTGGTACAGTTGGATTTTATTTTCTAGGGCCTGAGATGCGTACCCCCACACTCCCTTGATGATCTTCTAAATTCACATGCATACAGCAAGATGCCTGTTAAAAGTTTTGCAAATATATTTCCAAAGTATCAGTACAACTTCTGGAAAACACCGCAAACTTATTGATCAGGCTTAACACACCAACTCCGAGCTCAGCTCTTATTGTGAAACAGCACTGCTTTCTCATACAGCCGAGCCACAGTCATCACTGTTGAGACATTCCCATCTTGCCTGGTATGTCAGGCACTCAGGGTGGTATTTATGACCTCCCCCCTGTCAAATTCTCAACAACCCTGTGAACTGGATGAAGCTGAGATATAGTGCCCCAAGATCACCCAGTGGATTTTATGGCTGATCAAGGATTTGAACCAGAACTCCTGCATTCCAGTCTGACCATCTAACCACTAGGCCACATTGGCTCCCTTATTATGCAATTCCTATGTGAGTTTGCTCAGAACTAGTACCCACCATGATCAATGGGGATTATTCTTTAGTAAGTCTGCTTAAAATTCCTTGTCAGGGTGCCTTAAGTGATGTGAAAATGTATTCCATTTCTTACTCAGGCAATAAGATCATCTTGACTACAATTTCATTGAATCAACAGTTACCTGAATTGGGTTTAGCAAAGTCTTAAACTGTCCCAACAATGTTTCCCCCATATTGTTTCCACTCCGTGTATTAGCCAGAACTATTAGTGGAGTCCAATTTTTTCCACAGGAGGAAGCTAGCTGCAAACAAAACAGAAGAGAACAGAACAAAAGACCCTTTTACACCAGTATGTTAAGGTAGAGAAAAGGCATCCAAGTTCATTTCACTGTTGGGAAATGTATAAAGGAAGGATGTAACCTTGCAATCAGTATGGAAATAATACACAGTTTGCATAAAAGACTAATTTCCAAGTTCTACCCAAGTCATAAGGGCTGATTCGCATATGATCTAATTTTGTTTGTACTGGCCAATACTGGCTTCTCCCAAGTAATTTTGTTGTGTTGAAGTTACTAGTTATTACTTGCATCTTCAAAGGGCCAAGGTCTTCTAGAGTATGGTCCATAAGCATGCCAAATACATCAAAAGACACAATAGCTGGCTCTTTGTTGATACGAGTGTCACAGAAAGCCCATACCATTTCTGCTAAGTAATATAAATTGTGGAAGGAAAAACTTTAAATGTGAAGAAACTCCAATCCATCTAAGAGGAAGCTACAATCTAAGCAAACTTTTATTAATTCTACAATATTTAGGGAGAGGTCCCTGACCTGCTCATCAGCATCAGAGTGCCAACATAGTCAGCAAGGAGTAACTCCCCATTCTGTTATAAATATAGCTTCTTATAGGTTACTTTAGTTACATTTGATCTCTTCTTGGAACAGAAACAAAACAGAAAGAAGGAACTTGGTATCATTAGCAGTTATCACATAGTGAATTTAACTACATGTTGTATCTGAGGATTCAAACTACTACCTATAACAGCAAAATACTGTTTTTTCTCTAGACACTTAATCTTTAGAGTTTCTTTGAGAGATCCTTGGTTATACTCTGCTTTTTTGATAAACATGGGCTGCATAGCTGTGGCTAACCTTTAAGCTAATTTTCTTCCACAAAAAGATAAACTCTCATTCACTGCTAGATCTTGCCTCAAACAGGTACTGTCCCTAGTGGTTTATTTACCTACAGGGCCCCTTTGGTAAAGCCTTTTGCTTTCTTTGGGTCTCTCCTCATTGATAGCAAGCATCTCAAGGCCAAACAAGTTTCTGCTTTTCACTCCTTTGTCTGGATGACTTTGCTCAAGGCATGAAACAACACTGACAGCAACTGCTTCAGCTAGCCATGCTCACCCTGGCAAAGCTCAAGCAACCCTCAGGTGAGCCATTCCAAGTGGTTATTTAGTTCATGCCTACAAGAGCTGAGAGCCAGAGTCCTCTTGTGGTTCACAACAATTAAAACTATAAAATGCAACATAAGGTACACTTCAGAAGTTTCAAACTACAGTTTAAAATATAAGTAAAATCCAAAGTAAAACCTAGCAGCCATGCAAAATGTAAAATATAACAGACTAAAATGCCTGGGAAAATAGGAAGCTCTTCCCAGGTGCCAGAAAGAGTGCAATGTGAGCCTCTTCCCAGGTGAGCCTCTCTGGGAGGCTCATTCCACCATCAGGATGTGGCAACAAAACCTTTCCTTAGTAGCCACCACCTCATTTCCTAGGGCAGGGATTCCTGGAGGAAGACCACTGAGGACAAACTGGTCATCACTGGTCCAAAGCGGTTTAGGTCTTTGACTGTTAATACCAGCACTTTGAATCAAGCTTGGGCATGGACTGGCAAGCCAGATGGAAAATGGTTTAACAGGATCACATTGGCCAGTCCCTGTTAGCAATCCTGGACCAGCTGACACTTCCCAACTATTTTCAAAGGCAGCCCTGTGCATAGTGCATTGCATTAATCCAGGCAAGGGCTAACCAGAACATGGATAACTGTAGCTAGGCCATGTCTGTTCAGATAAGAAAATGGTTGGAATGTCACCCTAACGTGATAAAAACTGCTCCATGCTACCAAGGCCACCTGTGCTTCGAATGACAATAGCAGAGCCAAGAGCATTCTCCAACTACACACACTGATCCTTTATAGCAGGAGTGCAACTCCCCTGTCCTCAATTATGTTGAGCAGCACTCATATGGACAGGCAAACTATCTACTAAATTATCTCTGTCTTGCTTGAATTGAGTCTCAGTTCACTGGTACACAGACAGCCTGTGACCCGATTCAGTACCATACCCACCTGATCTGTATTGGATAAAAGTAGAGAAAAAGCTGGGTGTTACCCGTATTTTGATGTTACCTCAGACCACACCCCCAGATAACCTCCCCCAGCAATTTCAGAGGGGTGGGGGATGGAATAGAGCCCTCTGGGAGCCCATAGTGACAATGCACAAAACCATAATCCCCAGCATCACCTTCTAGAATCAAGTTTCTAAGTAGGAGGAAAACCACTGCAGTGCCTCAGACTCTCAGCATAGACAACCTAAAAAGATACCATGGTTGATGGTACTGAGAAGCCCAACAAAATCAATGGGATTGCACATTCCCTAACCCTTTCCTAGCAAAGGGAATCCAACATGGTGACCAAAGTAGTTTCCATTCCAAAAGCAGGCCTGAAGCATTATTGAGATAGATAAAGATAATTCATTTCATTCAAGAGTGCCTGGAGATGATGAATGGCAACAACCTGCTCAACCGCACTGCTGAGAAAAGAGATGTTGGCTACTGGCCTACACTTGCTATCATCCCCCATCCAGGTTCAGATGATGCTCTCAGAGGAGTGGCCTAATTACTGCCACCTTCAGAGAAGCTAACACCATTCCCTCTTTCAAGGAGAAGTTTACAACCCCCAAGACCCAGCTTAATATCCCCTCCTTATGAAATGTAACGAGCCATGGAGGGCAAGGGACAAGAGAACAGGGGGTCCATTGGACTTGGCAAAACAAGTTTCCTTATCTGTAGTGACTCAACAAACCAGGCAGGGCCTACCTTGCTGTAGTCCATTCGTTTATCCTTACGCATCTGACTCATGCTGAATAAGTAATATGGAGGGATAATGAGGTTGCGAAATTCTCCAAACTCACACTGCTCATGCTTCAGAGAGCTCTGCATACAATCATCATGCACAGTTTGCTGGCACCAAACACACCTGAAAAGAATGAAGACTGTCTGAACATCAATTGCTGTTTCAGTGCTGGACAACGGCTGCACGTTTTGACATTTTCAATAGGTTTGACAAGAAAAATTGATGAGGTTGGGGTGCCATTAAGAAAGAAGCTCTCAAAGGCTGCTACTTCCTTTTTTTAAAAAATAGTCACATCGATTTTGAAGGACTAAACAAATCTCCTTCCTACACGAGCCTACACTGTCTCTAAATCTTCTCTTAGTCATAATTCAAGGCACTGATTACAACAGAAGAGGAAAGTTCATACTATCTATTCTTCAAGAGATCACCAATTGCCAGAAAGAACTCAATGGGTGTAGCTTTCTGCCAACCTTCTAAGATTACTTACATGCATGTGTGCCTTGGCAGGAAAAGAGAAGTCCAAGCTAGATAGCTCGTATCAGCTCCTGAAGAAACCAGTGGCTTGAGACAAATTTTAAAAATTATTATATTTGTATCTAACCTTTTTGCCTCATGTAAGGAACCCAAGATAGCTTACACAAGTCTCCCGCTCTCTATTTTATCCTCAAAACATTCCTATGAGGGAGGTTAGGCTGAGAGTAAGTGTCTGTCCAAAAGTTGCCCACACTTCCTAGTACCATCGCTAGGGAAATTGCATTTAGAATGCCATCTGTATGTTCAGTTCAGGCAGCAAGAGAGGCGATCCTAGCAGTTACCATTCCAGTTTGGACCCCCTTCCACAGCATACAAACCAAAGCCACAGCACCTTTTACAGGCATTGCAAGATCAATGTCAGCATTCTCTGACACTGGTACTTGCCAGAGGTTTTGGACTCTGCTCCTATTAGCCCAGCCAGCACAGTGGGTTTTGTAGTTCAAAATGGCTGGAAGGTGCTACACTGGAGAAAGGCTGATTTGTGTCTTTGGGCCAAAAGGGGAAATTTCAGCTTAGGGCTAAAGTTTCATTGTTTTTACTGGATTTTTGAATGGCTTATTTTACATTCATATGCATATTGCTACAGGTGCCTTAAAAAAGAAACATGCTAATGTATCCTCCAATTCCACTTGGTTGGCATCCTTACTTGGACCCTGCTCCCTCTGAAATAAGCATGTTTATGTGTCTGACACCAGCGCTGCAGAGCCATGTTGTGTGTATAGACGAATCCCTAAACGACAAAGAAATGCAGTTATCAACTATAAACAGGGACAACTGAGGCTGTTTTCATCTTACATACAGTGCCTAGCAATAAATATGTTCCCCTATGAAGGGAAAAACATGTATGAATGTCTTGGGTGTTCTTGCTGGAGAAGTCACATTGCGTACTTCGCTACAAACTGATTAATATTAAAAGACTGCAAAATGCTGCATATTTGGGATTCACAGAGAAGAAGAGTGAATGAGATCCTTAATTCAGAAGGAACAGACTCAGCTATTAAGAAGAAACTGTTAACTCCAGCTTGACTAAAATCTGAACAAGCAGTTTGCCTGGTTGGGGGAACTTTTCAAAAATCCATGAGAAGCCATTCCTAAAAGCAACTGCTTCACCCTGCAAGCCACGGAAAGGCACGGCAAGGCCCACCAGGTGAACACAGTACCTTTCTAGGATCGCACAAAACCCAGAAAAAAGAGCCACGTTTTGATTCAAAAAGGAAAGTTTATAGTTCTTACTGTTGGGAAGAGGTTGTATGCAGTCTTGAGCGCCCTTAGTTGGAAAGGGAAGAAATGGAACACCCTCTCTTCTCTCTTAAGGCACCCTGTCAAGGAGTTTTAAACACACCTACTGAAGAATGAGCCCCACTGATCATGGTGGGTACTTCTGAGCGAACCTGAATAGGGACTGCATAACAAGGGAGCAACGGCACTGGGATAGACAGCGGTTAATCACAAGTTGCTCCTACCCCTCCCTCTGCTGTTTGTCCAGCTCAGCGATCAGACTTTCCTGGGCAAGAACGCTGCAGTACAGTGGTTTAGCAGCTGTGATAGCTTTCGCTGAGTTTCCCAACTGTTTGAACTCTACCAGGCCAGGAGAAAGAGAGAGGGGAGGTATATATCAAGAGGGCTACCCCTTGGTGCAGTCGAGAAGGGGAGTGAGCGGCTAGTCAAAAGACTTCATTCTCCTGTATGAGCCCACTAGGTTTAAAGTACCTCAGTGGCAGGCCCATCTCTGTCCCATCTCCCTTGGGTGCACATATGTCAGGTAACGGGAAGGACCTTCTCTGTGGTGGCTCCCAGGCTCTGGAGCTCTCTGCCAATGGAAGTCAAGCTAGTTCCATCTCTATTGTTCTCCTGTCTTCAGGTTTTTATTCAGACAAGCTTTTGGCATTTAAGCTGATTTGTTGCTGAAGTAGGTTTTAATCTGGTGAGTGCGGTTACTTCTTTCTTACTGATTTGTTTTTGATGAGTTTTAATATTTTAATTATGACTCAATTATTTTCTCTGTATTTTATTGTTAGCTGCCTTGGAAAGCTGTATTTGGAGAGGCAGGATAGCAAATTTGAAAAAATGAATTTCAAACAGAGTTTTGCCCAAGGACCTGCTTTTTGCAGCATCCATCTGGTTTCTTCAGCACTGAACTAGAGAGCAGCATATGCTCCTCAGCACAAGTGGATAACTTGATTTTTGTACATCTGGGCTTAGGGTCAAAGGTCCAAATGTGGCTTCTAGGCTTCTGCCCTAGCACCTTTATTTTTTACCTTTCACCTTTCTTAACTCATTCACCTAATCCAACAATGCACTATGCTTGCACTGCAAAAATCACACTTTCATTCTCTTCGGTTTTGCCCAAGGATCACTAGAGGTGAGAGAACAGAAGGGCCTTTCGCTTGCTTTTGGCTTTAGAAAAGATTCCAAAAGGAGAGGTCTGCCAGGCAAACCAGGGGAATGAGCTGTCGCAGTGCATTCATGCACCTGTCACAATGCCTGTAATTTAAGAGAACATCTCCATTTGTAGCACAGGACATGTGCAGTCTCCCCCAGGTACTGCTGACAACTTGCTAGACTGGCAGCAGAGGACCTGTGGTCTTGCTGTTATTGCTGGGATCCTACTCCCATCAGGCTCAGTCAGTATGGTGAATGGTCAGGAATGATGGGAGTCACAGTCCAGCAATATCTGAAGAACCACAGGATCCCCATCCACCTATGTAAGCAAGCTTTGAAAACAGTAGATGTTTTTCAAAGGTACTTACTCCTTTTGCTTTTCACAAGGGCAATTAATATGCTGCTACTGTTATGTTTTATAACCAGATGATATGTTTCAAATGGCATTTGTTATTAAACTTTCAATGAGGGTCTTTAAATAATGGCAGAATACTGGGATAGATGGATGAAATTAGCTCCAGACTGATATTAATGCTCAAGATTGAAAACTTCAATAGATATAGGATAATAGCAGGTGTACACAACTCAGATTTTTTTAAAATGTTGCCTGTTCTGCACTTGCTGCAATTAAAAAAAGCCCGCCAGAGTCTCAATCCTATTCTGCACTTATGAGAAAATCCACCAGGGCCCATTATATGCAGTTATGAAACTCTTATTAGTTTTGCTGGCATGTTTGGAATTTTGAGAGTATGTCATAGGTGCTCTTACAAAATGACTGCCACGTTGGATGTGGCCTGCCATACAGCACTGAAGCACAGGGATACAGGAACTTGGTCAAAAAACTGCGTATAGGCAGTTCAAGCCCCAAAAGCCAAATCGTGTACAGGGAGAATACCACCCTCGTTCCCACCCAACCCCTCTAGGACCCAAAGATGCTATGCGTGACCCCCTTTAGCTCCCCAAGTTACTCCTCAATGCCTCTCCACTTAACTGTTTTTCCAAGATGGCCTTGCATGCTTCAAAACATAGCTCATATGGGACCCAGAAGCATTACTGCAAAGAAAGATGGTGCTTTGTAGCATACTAGCCTCCCAGATAATTTTTTTTTAAATCTGATTTCAAAATCAGGAGGAGCAGCCTGTCAAGTACCAAGGGAAGTCTTTGCAAGCACTAGCAACACCCACAACACTGTGCTGTGGTCCCCAGTATGTGTTGCTCAACACAAAATTAAGCCATGAATCTTGACTTTTCTTTTTTTCTTTCCTTTTTCTTTTTAAAAGGTTTATGTTCCTTATGGCTGAAAGGTATATCTGAAAGTGTGTGGGCAATGCCTATGGAACCCTGAGAAGCCACAGGAGGCAATCAAAAGCATTTCCAGAGGCTGAGTGAAGCAGAGCTTTTTCACTCCTTCCCATGACTACCTAGCTAAAAAACGTGTGCAGAACAGATGTTCACCAAGGGGCCTATCAGTGAATGCATTTTAAAAGACAAAGAAACAAGCAGCAGGGATTATAGCCCAGCTTTTCTTCTGCCTACATGGCAAACTACCCACCTGCCCAAATTTCTTCTTCTGGGCAAGGATTAAAATGCTATTTTATTATTGAAAAGCAGCTCTTTCCTCCTTTGTATCTAGCCACCCTATGAAGAGAAGAGTGAACCTATTTATTTATTTGTATACTTTTCAATACCTGAAATTCAATTTGGGCAGTTAACAAAAGTTAATAACTCCCAAACAACAATATATGGCAAAACGAACAAATAAATGGGGCTTTCACAAGATTACAGGTGAAAATGCCACTGTACCAAGAATAACAATGGTAAGTCATACAAAGGAAGGAAAAGGCAGAGTTGCAGCATTAGAACTTGATGGTATCCAGGCCCCACACCTGTTATGGATCGAGCTACAGCAGACAAGAGGTACAGCATACAGAAACGCATGCAGAGCAAATATCTGTAGATGTTTCATGCAAGAAATGGGAGCTCAGAAACATGCTACATTAAACTTCATATGGTAAGAGCTAAACTAGATTTCATTCAGCCTGCGTGGGGATAGTCACTGAGTATGCCAGCTTTCTTGATAGGTCAGCAACAGAGCCTCCAAATAGAAAGTGATATACAGATATTAATGCCTTGTTTTCACCTCTTTGCTTTATGCTGCATTTTAAACTTTCACAACCTGAAGTGGTCAACATTCCATGCTTCGGTCATAAATAGTTTACAATTTGCTTCATTTACAGTCTGTGCTATAAATCTCACTTCCTACTTGTGTATAGGTTTTTAACTAAGATGATTTGCTAATGTCTACATTTAAATCATATTCTATTTGTCTCATATAAAAAATGTGAGTTTAAAAAAATCTTAACCTCTCCAGCTCCTCCCCAAATTCTAGCTGACTTGTCCTGGGAGGAATATGTTTTGCAATTCCAGCTGCACTTTGCTCTTGGTAATCCCAAGGAAATGTTATTGAGTGCAACTCAGCAACCTGTCTGTCTAGTTCTCTTAGTTTCACCTTGGAGTAGAAGATCACATTGGCTCCAAGCCTCTTCCCCATGAACCCTAAATTAAGCTAGAGAGCTGTCACCCTTGGGGCCTGTCAGAAAGATGCTTCTGTTTTGGTAGTTCATTCAAATACAGTAATATGGTCTAGAATATAATAAAAGTTCTAGACTATAGTACCCTATGGGTGGGGTAACCTCAAGCTGAGAAGCATGCATAAACAAAGTCAGATAAAGCATGCTAAATAAATCCTCATCCCTTAACCTGGCTCAACTCCAGCCACTAGATGTTTGAAATAAAGGGTTTTACAATCCTGTGGTAAACATGCCTCCTGTAATAGTACAAAATTCCATATCATATGCTTGGAAAGCCAGAAGGTATCAGTGCATAGTGAGAAAATGTGTAGTGTATTTCTGTGTAGTGGTCAGAGTGCTGGAATAGAATTCAGGTTCTAGTCTCCGCTGGGCCATAAAGCTCAGTGGGTAATTCTGGGACAGCTGCTGACTCTCCAGCTTGCCTACCTCACAAGGTTGTGAAAATAAAAAGAAAGGAGCAGGGGGATTATGTAAGCAGCCTTGGGTTCCTTGTAGTCTCGTAGGAAGAAAGTCAGGCTATAAATATAATAACTAAAAGACATGAGTTGTGAGGCAAGATGCAACAACTACAGCATAGAGCCTTGTATAGGGCACTAGTTGAGTCTGAGGCTTACACAGGGGACAAACGGTATTGCCAGCACTGTGTTATCTTATCATAACCATCACATTTGCACTGCCAGCTTTACCTGTAATCACACAGCTTGGGCTGGGTGCCACACTGCTGTTTGCATACAACGCAGTGGCTGCAGAGCGGGACATTGCCTCGGATCCAGTGGTGCACCATAGAGGACTGGATCCCACCACTGCCTCTCATTATGATCTCCTTGCAGAGGAAACGGCGGTCAGCCTTCTTCAGGCACTCCTCATCCACACACAGCCCACAGCAGTTGCAGAAGGCTCCTTGAAGGATGTGTTGAGAGCAGACACAGCAATAGGTGGGCTGGCTAAAGAGATCGGTGTCCTGCCAGTCGTGCTTGCTCTTTCGCAAGATGTCCTGCATCAGTCCTTGCCTCCGAGATCGACGGAAGCTGCACCACAAGGTAATCAGTACTGGGACCATGACAGAGCACAGAGTCCAGAAGGCCAGACCCCATTCTGCAAACAGTCCTGAAGATGCAATGGTTCTGCTGCTTTCAGCTGCTTCCATCCTTTGCTGATTTTGGATCTCCTCTTTAGATGTCAAACTAAACCATGTATGAGGTAGCAAACTGGAGCTCTACTGCTACTACTATTATTATATTCCTTCAATAGCTTGGCTCAAAAGCAAAATGAGTCAGAAGGATGCTTGTTTAGTAGTCTTCACCAGTTTATCACCATCTCATTCCACCTTGCTGGGCTGTTCTTCATCAGGTCTTGTAGCACAAACTTCACTTTTTCCTTTTATTTGTGGCACCCCTAAAAAAATGCTGAAACATCTGTTTCCTGAAATCAAGTATATCCCTTTTCTTAAAGGCTTCAAAAATGAAGTTAGCTACAAGTCCCTACAATCCCAATACTATGTACAGTCTTATTACCTGACCTATTAATCAATTCACCCCCTATTGTTTTTCCTATAGCTCATATGTGAGAATTTGAAAAAAAATCTTAACCTTCCCAACCTCTTCCCAAATTTTAAGCAACCTGTCTAGGGAGGAATTTATTTTGCAATTCCAATTGCATTTTGCTCTCAGTAATCCCAAGGAAATATTGTTGGGTGCGACTCAACAACCTGTCCAGTGCTTTTCGTTTCACATTGGAGTAGAAGATCACATTGGCTTCAAGCCTCTTTCCTGTGAACCCTAAATTAAGCTAGAGAGCTGTAACCCTTGGGACCTGTCAGAAAGATGCTTCTGTTTTGGTAGTTTATTCAAAGTTCTACAAAAGCAAATAGCCCAACCCTAAACCACAACATTTCCAAAAGCACAACTATAAAGTTAGAAATTCTCTCCTTGTTAGAAATGCTACCTACTTTCTGTCTTTTTTCTCCCCCTTGCTATATATTTAAAATGCTCCCTTGTTTCTTATTTCACACACAAGCTCAGAACCAGTTATGAGGTCAAATTAAGCTATCCCTTGACCCTCAACAAGGGTGGATCCCCCCACCATCTTGCTATTTAAGTTCATGAATCATGGATCAGGGTTTTGTAGCAGATTACTACAGATTAATCCACCTGAAATAAAAATAAATTATCTTAAGAAAAAAGCAGACACACTCTAAAACAATCACAGGCACCACTCGTCCAGCCTGACTCCATCAAGCTCTGTTCTTCATTCAGCTCAGAACTGTATATAGTTTCTAGGCACACCCCCAACTCTGCTTTTCCATTATATGAAACGCCCCTCAACACACTGCCCTCTTCTCCCCCAGACCCTGGATGGTTACTTGACCCTGTACTAATTGGCCATTCTTGGGCATTTCCTACGGGCGGCAATTGAGGCCTCTCTCCTCCTCCTCCTCCTCCTCTTCCTCCTCCTATTGGTGTCCTGCAGCCCCGGTTCCCACCCCAGCGTCCCTCCCAGGCCACACGAAGCCTCACACCCACAGCCCTACCTCCCCGGCTGGCTGCCGGGCAGCCTCACGCGACATCAGGCGCAACTCGAGCAGCGGAAGCGGAAGAGGGAGCCGCGGCTGAGCAGCCTGATCCAGAGAGGAAGGAGGAGGCGTGGCCGAAGGGAGGCTGCTGAGGAGGTTGCTAGGATACGGTCAGCCAATCAGCAGCCGGTAGTCACAAAGCGGCAGGATAAAGGATGCTGCGGTGGCGTTCGTGAAACCGCGAAGGGGACTTAAGGACTGGGAGGAAAGACCGAGAGAGTGGGGAGCACGGGAAAGGGATAAATCCGAGGTGCAGGCAGCTCGAGCCTCTGCAAACTTACTCAGAAGGGAGCCCCAGAAACTGAGTAGAACAGTTCCTTTGTGTTCAGAGAGCTTTGCTGTCAAATAAATATGTGTATGGCTTCACTCTTACTATTCAACCGCATTCCTCCTCCCACACTATCTTGTTTGATGAAGGGCCGTAGAGAAATCAAAATTTTGCACAATATATACACACCCATCTTTGATTTGGCCTAATAAATGCATTATGGTGATAGGGATTTTGGAAACTTTCTACTAAAATGTTTTACTATGGCACTGAAAACACTGAAAACATGTTACCTCCATTGTTCTGGCCATCTTTACAACTATCTGTAATACAGATCAGCTTTGTTATAACTGTACTTAGACTGGAGGATTGCCTTAGTAAGTTTGTGACTATAATGAGATTTTATGTGAGGACTTCTCTTATAGTGCAGCCATAAGCATGTCTGCTTAGGAAGAAGTCACAGTGAGTTCAGTGGACTGAACTGAGATTGATTCTGAGTTGATAGGCTTGCAGGTTAAACAATATGGTGTACCAACTCTGTAGATGAGTTCTACATACTGGTTATTCATGGTTATGCACCTAGGGGCTGCAAGTTGCAATCCTCAGTGATGAAAGTGAATGGCCTCAGTCACTTCCAGTGTGCAGAGTACTAGCATTAGTTTATTATGATACTTGTGGGTGGTCTGTAAAATCCACTGGTGAACAGCCAATTACTCTGGACCAAGACAAAGAATTAAGGACTAAGTTGTTACTGAGGACATGGCCCAAGAATTTTGTTTTGTTTCAGTGCCAGAACTGGAGTTCCCACATAATATTATTACAGATTTACATCTTTCCTCTAAAGTGTTCTTGATTTAAGCAAGCTGAGGACAATGGGTGTGCTTGTAGGAAGGCCTTTTGTTTTTCCTATTAGTAAATCACTGGGAATCAGGAAGTCTTGCTAATTTACTCCAAATCTGGGAGAGGAGAAATGAGCAATATTTGAATTATTAGAGGAAAGTTAAGGGGACTCTATGAAATGCAAGACTGAACCCTTCATCTTCCCCACACAAAGAATGTTGCTTTGTGCCCTTTTCAAAACAGTAGCTGGAGGAGCTGTCACAAAATGTAAGGGGAAGAGTCTTCTCTCCTGTAATGCAAACACTGTGAGTTACAAGACCCACAGTACAGACAAAAGATTTCTAAAATTACTTAGATCCCCATCTCAGTCCCATTTACTGCAGCATTAAAGCTTCTAGGGCATCCTTTCCCAGCTTAGCACTCCAGAGATATTGGTTTGACCCTCCCATCGGAAAATATGAAATGGTGGTAGGGAGGGGAGAAAAGATATGTAAATTGTATGCTTCCACATGAAGAAATACACAGGGCTGTCTAAAGTGGAGTGTCCCATCAGAACAGGGCCCAAAATTAGCTGGCTACCCCATTGGTAGTGAGCACATGGCCACCCTACTCACAGTGTGGCAGGGAATAGGCAACTGAGGTTTCATCAACTTTTTTCTTCCCCAGCCTCATTATCCACCCTGTCACCTTCTTGCTGTGAAGTAGTCCAATGCTTTAATCAATTTAAGCAGATTGGAGGTGGAATGATAGGGTTGGAAAGGGAATAGGCAGGGAAAGCCAAGGTTATTTGCCTTATCACTTACAGTAGCTCACTGGGAGAAGTAAAGGCATATGACTGTTCCCTTTCCCTGGCTTTGAATCTGGCAACCCAAGGGAGAAATAAATATTTTTGTGGAGCTTCTCACAGGCACATCCACAACCTTTCCCATGGCTGTAGGCCAAATGGAGAACAAGTGACTTCTTTAAACCTCTGCATTAGAAAACCTCTGGTGCTTAATGCAACTTGTTTTCAGTATAGGGAGATGGAAGTCAAAACAGTGCTGTGGAGCAGATGATCAGAATGAAAGAGACATGGATATTGCTATCCATCCTCTTTTTGGAGCGGAACTATTCTTCTTTGGGACCAATTGCTGCTAATAATTCCAGTGCACGTGTTGCTTGCACTAACTTCAGACCCAATAAATGTGCTCACACTTCAGACAGCACAACTTGTACTTTGCACTTGCTTGACATCTACCTCCTTGTTTACTTCTTTTTTTAAAAAAAGTTAAATAAATAAAATATAAGGCTATAGAGAAGGCCTTACTGTTTCCTTTCCTGAGGAACACATTAGCACTAAAAGAATTTGAACCCTACAATAGACATATTCAAACCCCAGGACCAGATGTCCTCTAAACCATACTTTTAAGTCGTAGTAGTCGAAGATAAACAAACATCTGTGACTGACGTAGCTGCCTCTCAAATAGGCTAATACCTCCATGGGCGTAATTCACTTTGGAGGAGCAGACCAAGAGACAGCAGAATCAAAATGAAGACAGTTTTTGTTCTTGTTTTGACCCTTCTAATAATTTCTGTAGGTAGGTATAAGCTATGCATATTCTTTTCTACCTGTTGGAACTCTCCGTAGACAACAAAATGGCTCATGTGGTTTTGTATTATTTTTTTTGTCCATGGTTCTGCCTGATCCTCTGAGCAAAGGAATCTGCTGTCAGGTTACATTGCAGCTTTTTCATGCAGGCATCTTAAGCAACTGTGAAGGAGTTAGTCCATGTGTTGTAAGCCTCCCCGAGGTTTCGGCAAGGGGCGGCATAGAAATGTTATAATAATAATAATAATAATAATAATAATGCAGAGCAAGATCAGACCTATCTTGGGCATGTTTATTTGGTAGTAAGCACTAGACGAATTCAATAGCTCTTAAGCATGTTTAGGATCACAGCCTTAAAAAGATTCAGCATCTGGATAGTAAGATTCATCGATCAATTAACAGACTACCGGCTGTTATCCAAAAAACATTTCCTGGGCTAGTACTTACTGTCTGTTGAATTCAATAGAAGCAGCCCCCTATGTTTAGGATCATGCTGCATGGCTTCAATCTTTTCTACTCTTCCCTGGGAGTAAGTCCCTGTCAATTTAGAGAACTTACTCCTGCATAAAGCTGTACAAGGTCCTTTTATGTTATCAGCTTGCCTTTTTTGCTGCCATCATTTTACTATGGCTTTGTTCGATATTTCAAACAGGGTTGTTGGCTTGACCCTATTGTCAAAGCAAAAGTATTTACAGCACCCTTTGAAGTGTTATACATGTGCTGGGATGTGATCTGGCATGAGCCCCATTAAATGTATGAGGGATGTACAAGCACATTGCAACTATTTATTTCAGCGGAGCTTGCACAGGACGAAAAAAATCCCTGTGGATTAAGCCCGATGGAAAAATCAATTTGATCACAAGTAGACGGTGCTGTTATGCTTTCCTCACTTTGTAAAGAGCTGTGTTCTGTATAGGTTTTGTTTACTTTAACCTATCCAACTTATAAACAAGCTCTAATTTATTATTAAAAATGGTTCATTCCACTCATGCCTCCTGGAATGTAATATCCTCTTGAGAAGGTGCTGTAATGAAAGAACACTTTGTATATTGTCTCTCTCTCTCTCTCTCTTCCAAACACTTTATCCCATATCCAAAAAGCTTAACTTGTAACTAGTCTTGTTCATTTCACTTTTTAAAAAGATGCTTCACTGATACTACCAGAAAAACAAGCCAAACAGCTTTTGAGAACCCGACGTGAAGATAGACCAAGAAAAGCTGGTTTCCCTGATGAACCAATGAGGGTGATTTTTTAAACATAATTTTGTTTTTTTTTAAATATTTTGAATAGATAATACATGTTTGTGGCATTTTGTTGTTTGATTTTGCTGACTGTTAATTTCCCAGTTAAATAAGTATAAAATGTCTATAATTAAGTTTGTAAATAATTTGTCCAAATAATCTTAATTTGATCGTTTCTGTCATAGCATGACTATACCTCTATTCTGCATGGCTCTTCTCAACCTTTGTGCAGATTTGGATATGAATAATTGTATGCACATTTCCCCATTTTAACAGGGGGATTCAGTTTTTAGCTAAGGTTGCAATACAGTTGCCTGGGCATATATATGTGCTATTGAATTCAATGAAGCTTGTTTCTGAGTTCTTACAGCACAGTATGTACAAGACTGCACTGTAAGAAAGACTATTTCATCTCTCAGCAGTTACATTTATTATGCAAGATTTTAGTGTGTGTGTAAATATACAAGAGAAAGATGATAAATCCTCAATTTATTTTATAACAACATCACAACACAATTAACAAAAGGAACTAAGAGTTTTTCACTTGGCTTGTTCCCTACCTTCACTTAGTTTCAGAATTTCCATTAGTTTATCATTTTCTAGATGGCGGATAAAAGAGATGGTAGTCTCATGCTATTTCTTCTTGTTGTTGTTCAGAGAAGATACACTAAATCATAATATGCCATTTCCTGTTATCTCTCTTAATAAGTGAGTAATAAGTACACTACTTGAAACCGAGCCTCAGGACTAGTGGTGTAAGCAGGAAAGAACTTCTTGCAGCTATCCTTGCTGTTTGTGTCGCTTCACCCTTTCTCTTTTGACCACTCCTCTCTAGTACTGTCACCTACTGTCTTTGGCCAGGCCCCCACTTTTTAAAGAAGAAATCATGGAAGATGTGATCATGGATACCTTCAGGAGGATCTCCTCACAACACAGAGCAAGGCCTTCTAGGTTTTCCATGATGGGTCCTATACACACACCGGGACCCCCATCCTCACCTCAGTTTCTAATAACTCTCACTCTCCCACTCCATTCTGCCACTCTTCCTCAGACCATGGAGCCATGAATGCTTATGGTAGCATTTCCATGCAGTAATTCCATGGGGTGGTTTTGTGCCTTAGCCACTTTTCACAACGGAATAAAACTAACTCCAACAATCCTGGAGCAATGGATACTGTTGTTGTTGTTGTTGTTGTTGTTGTTGTTGTTGTTGTTGTTGTTGTTAAAATATCTTAAAATGACATCTGAAAAATTACTCAAAGCATCTTACAACAACATTAAAATATGCAACATTTAAAACCAATAAAATAGCACCACTGTATAAAATGCCTCTAAGATTAGTAAGAACCAAAGTAATTCAACTGATATAGCTTCTTAGGTTCCACAGACTGCACCAAACCATGTGTGTGTGTGTGTATTTCATTCATTCATTCATTCATTCATTCATTCATTCCTGCTTCTGGGAGAGAGCACTTATTAAGACCTGGGATCTGTTAGTTCAGCATCCTTCCTCCAAACACTGCAGTTGGAGAGTTGTGGTAAAACTATTCACTGTGATCTGAAGCTACATCTGACAACTAGAAAACTACACGTGACGTGCAGCAGGTCGAGCACTAGAAGCTGGGACTTCAAGAGGGCCAACTTTGGTCAACTGAAGGCCAGACTGGGGAGAGTCTCCTGGGATGGGTTACTGGAAGGTAAGCGAGTTGAGGATGGGTGGATAGCACTCAAAAGGGATGATACCTCTAGTCAGTAAGGTGGGGAGGTGGAGGAGAGTGCCGCCATGGATGCGAAAGGAGGTGGTTAGAGGGATTAAATGAAAGAGGAACCTCTGTAGGAAATGGGTACTGGGGGAAATAGACAAAAGGGTATACCGGGAGGAGGAGGCCCGTTGCAGAAGGATTCTTCGCAAGGCTAAGGCTGATCACTAGCTGAGACTTGCCAAGAATATCAAGAGCAACAAAAAGGGCTTCTTTCAGCATGTAAATAGGAAGAGGAAGGGGAGACAAGTACTGGGACTACTAAATAAGGAGGAAGGAGATCCAGTGACTGATATGAGGGAACAGGCACAGGTGCTAAATGACTATTTTGCCTCTGTGTTCTCCCCAAAGCAGGATGGGGGATATCTGCATAGGAGATTAGATGAGGCTGGGGATTTAGGGGCACAGATTAGAGTCGAGGGGCTCCTCAGGGCATTGGACATTACAAAGGCACCAGGCCCTGATGGGTTACACCCGAGAGTACTTAAAGAGTTGGCAGGGGTTCTCTCACACCCGCTGGCCTCCATTTTTGGGACCTCATGGAGAACGGGTGAAGTTCCAGAGGACTGGAGGGTGGCATCAGTGGTCCCAATTTTCAAAAAAGGTAGTAGAAATGACATGGGGAATTATAGACCAGTTAGCCTTACATCCATTGTAGGAAAAACAATGGAAAGGCTCATAATAGAGAGAGATCTAGTGATGCTAGATAGGGAAGGGAGGCTGACAGCCACACAACACAGCTTCCGCAAAAACAGGTCCTGCCAGACAAACCTTGTGGAATTCTATGACAAGGTTTCAAGATGGCTAGATGGAGGGGATGCAGTGGATGTGGTATACCTGGATTTCAGCAAGACCTTTGACAAAGTGCCCCATGATATCCTGGTGGAGAAACTGAGGAGTTTTGGGATACACCAAAGCACTGTCCGGTAGATTAGGGCATGGTTGGCTGACCAAAAGCAGAAGGTAACCATTAGAGGGGAATCATCGGGATGGCGGCCAGTGACAAGCGGGGTCCCCCAGGGCTCTGTCCTGGGGCCGATCCTGTTTCATCTTTTCATTAATGACATGGAAGAAGGGGTGAACAGTCTGCTGATCAAATTCGCAGACAACACTAAAACTGGGGCAGTGGCCACAACTGAGGAGCAGGTACTCCAGATCCAAAAGGATCTGGACAGACTATGGAAGTGGGCAGGAGACAACAGGATGGTGTTCAATGTGGATAAGTGCAAGGTCTTGCACTTGGGGCATAGGAATAGCTGGCATAAGTACAGGTTAGGTGACAAGTGGCTGGAGAGCAGCACTTGTGAAAGGGACCTCGGGGTACTGGTTGACTGCAGGCTAAACATGAGTCAGCAGTGTGATGCAGTGGTGAAGAGGGTGAACGCCACCCTTGGTTGCATAGCCAGAAGTGTGGCTTCTAGATCAAGAGAGGTATTACTACCACTCTACACAACTCTGGTGCGCCCGCAATTGCAGTATTGTGTTCAGTTTTGGGAGCCTGATTACAGGAAGGATATAGCCAGGTTGGAGTCAGTGCAGCGTAGGGCCACAAGGTTGGTGGCCGGTTTGCAGGGGATGCTGTATGAGGCGAGACTGAGGGAACTGGGTCTCTTCAGCCTGGAGAAGAGGAGACTCAGAGGGGATCTGTTGGTGACATACAGGTATGTGAGGGGATGTCACACAGAGGTGGGTAGAGACCTGTTCTCCCCTGCAGAGGAAGGCAGGACGAGCTCCAACGGAGCAAAGCTCAGGGAGCCAAGGTTCCATTTGGATGCCAGGAAGCACTTCCTGACAGTCAGGACCCCGAGGGTGTGGAATGGGCTTCCAGGAGAGGTCGTTGAGGCCCCATCGGTGCGGGTGTTCAAGGATAGGCTGGACGTCCACATGGTGGGCATGTCGTGAGTGGAGCCAGCTGGTGCCGGAGGTCAGACTAGATGGCCCGGGAGGCCCCTTCTGACTCGCTCTGTTTCTGTGTTTCTATGTTACACTCCCTTTCCCTCACTTCCCTCACTGGTGTTGTCCTTATATTGAGTTTTTCTATAGGAGGCATTTATGTGCACTCATTATTCCCTACTGTTTTTTGCAGGTTCTTTAGTGTGCCATTGTGACCCATCAGTTTTGCTTTTCTTGTAAATGGTTATTTTAGGGAAAGGGGGATATTATTTCTTAAAAGCCAAAGAAAAACCTGTTTCACCTGCATATTTGTGCTATTCTTCTATACCACAGTGCCATCTAGAGGTTATATATCAGAAAAGCAATAATGGAAAATTCTCTTGTGGAGTCCTTAAATCTAATTCCTGCAACAAAACTGAAAGTACATACAGAAGTTTAATAGCCTCATGGGGAAAAGTTGATAGTTTGCTTGGGGAGAAATGCATGCATTTTCTGTATTTCTTCTTGTTGTTGTTGTTAGTCGTGAAGTCGTGGCCAACCCATCCCAACCCCATGGACAACATTCCTCCAGGCCTTCCTGTCCTCCACCACCCCCCAACATAGGAGTCCACCTAAGCTCACACCAACTGCCTCAGTGACTCCATCTAGCCACCTCATTCTCTGCCGCCCCTTCTTTTGCCATCTGTATTTCTATGTTCTTCCAAATTCAAATCCTTTCAGGAGCGTTCAGATTTTGATTTGGTCTGCTTCAGAAGAGCCCCACTTCATCTGGACCTCTTTTGACTCTTTCTGAACCAGCCCACCCCTCTTTTCCTCCCTCCCTCTTCTGATTTTTTAAACTTGCTTACCAGGAGAGTGCCAGAAGGGCAACATTCAACTCAGCACGGTGAAGAGAACCACTATCCTAATTTTACGAGTGGTAGCTAACTTGAATGCTGCCACCTACCACATGCTAAGCTTATCTTGAGTGGGAAAACCCAAAGTGACACTGGAGCAACACCTTGCTGGGAGCCTCACATACCTGAAGCCAAGGTTAGTACTGTGGGGGCAGTACTTCGGCTATTAAAGATGTGCACTCAGAGAATGGGTTTGCCAGTAGGAGACAATCAGTACAACAGGTATAGTAGATTACATCAGTACAAGGCCAGAGACACGGAAGTGTTACTATGGCAAACGACTGATACGTTTAATTAAAAGATAAATTGTTTTAAACAGGAATATTTGCTTTACCTCCAATAACTGGAACAAAGAGCTGAAGAACAATTTCTGGAGCATTGGTTGAATCCACACTGCTATCCACACTGCAACCGGGATTTAGTTTATCCTGTCTAAAGACTGACTTCCTTTCTCCTCTGACAGTAAGCATTTAAAATAAAAATCAGTATTTCTTTTAAAAAGGAAATATATTTTATGACTTCTGCAATGCAGTGAGCTTTGAAATTAATTGTGTATGAATAACATCTTCTTCCTATCTCAGGTCATCCTTCTATGTGCAGAAAAAGGGGAACAACCTACATGAAAAGAAACAAGAAAGATTTCCATGCAACTAAAGCATCAAAGGCTTCGGAAGAATGGATACTATCCTGCAATCTTAGCAATTTATCTGAGCTTTCTTTGTAAGGAGTACTGATAAGAGCTTCATGTTTATTAAATAGCTTGGAAGGCATTGCGAAATCTTCCTTCACTTAGGTACCTACTTCGATCTAACCCACAATGAAAACAATAGAGATGTATAGTAAATTGTTAGTAGACATGTATATTAAATTCTTGATCATTTGTTTTTCAAAGCCCTTTGAAGCATGGGTAATTTCAGTATAACAGTTAGAAAACAGTAATTCAGATAGGGCTTCTAGTAACTTTGGGCTGAATCCAGATTTGATCTAACTGAAAGACCATGGAGAACAATGGGACTTCAGTTGGTGCTAAGCTGAATCCCATTGAATCCAATTTATTCTACGTATGAATTAATTTGGATGGAAGCCCATGGATACAGACTTTCTGTCTCCAGCATAATTCCTTCAGTCTGCAATCCTATGCACACTTCCTTGGGACTGAGCTCTGCTCAACTGAGGGGGGACTTCCTGCACAGGATTGGGATCTATCCATCTTGTCATTCTTGCTTACACAAACTGTTCTGCGTGTATAATCCTACCTGATGCCTGATTTACTCAGTAGTGAATCCCACTCAGTTTAATAAAACCTACTCCAAGATCAGTGTGAATAGAATTGTGATCCTTCCCTCCCTGTTTTCTATCACTCAGGCCTTCAACGGAAAAACCTCAATGCTGCAGCACTTTCTTCTGATTCTAAAAGTAAGGGCACCATGCATGCTTCACAAGGGGCTGCCCCTGGAAATGGCAGCGTCATGTGAGCTGTTGCTCCACCATGCCATAACACGTAGGCAGGCCTTGTTCTATTTTTCTTCGTTTCCCTCCAGCCAGTTACGTGGAAGGGGACAGCATGAGTAAGTCTGGTTAACCATGGAGACTACTGTTTCTGGAAGCAGCAACCTGCCAGAGCATGGTGTCTACATTTCTCCCTAGGACATAATAAGCACATTTCAGGGGGTGGGGGGGGGGGAGTTAAATATCTGCTTAACTGGTTCATTCAAACCAATCCCACTTAAAGTGGAAGTAAGCCCCATTGAATACAATGGGATTTACATTTGAATAAACACATCAGATCACACTGTTAAAAGTATTTTAGGTTGGCCTCAGAGTTTTAGCTCAACTCACATCCTAACACCAAACATTTTCAGGTCCCTCCATCCACAGACACACCCCACCCCTCCATATTTCAGGGATGGATTCGAACAAAATTGCACCTGACATCAGAAATTTTTAATTTGGGTATATGAGGGAATGAGAAACTTTTACTGAAGAACTGGAAGATGAGGCAACAGTATCCCAGTTTTGCTAATTCATTGGTAATTAAAGGCAACCGTTTGCTCAATGCTAATTGCCTTACTTAATAGATACTTGAAAAAAAAGTACTTCCATTTTTGAGGGTGTGTTTTCTTTATGGATCAAATTGCAAATGTTCTCTCTCTCCCTCCCCGCTTCCTCACACACACCTTCCTGTGATGACACAATAATCTATAAAGTTTCAGAACGTTCTCCCTCAGCACCCCCAGCATAATTTCCTCACTTCTCTGACAGCTGAACTGTTGAGTTATTCCACCAGATCATCCTGAGCATAAAAACTGGCTTAAATTAATTAAATTAATATTCTGTCTTTCCCCTGTCTTGTGAGGAGCCCAAGACAGCTTGCAATAGCTTGCCACATGTCGTGTACAGAAACAGCTTGTCCTGAAACTCCTCTCCAGGGATGTAGTGAGGAGACTGTTCACAGGGACCCCTGACTTGTACTGTTATCAGCAGGGATGCTGATGTTAGCTGCCACCCACTCCTCCTGGGAAGCTCCTGTTGCCTCTGGGCTTAAGCTGGAGGGAAATGAATGTGCCCAGCTGCAATATCTTGCTCTCTGCATTGCAAAGCAGTTTTTTTGGGGTGGGGGTGGGGGTGTAGGTGGGATTCGTCTTGAAAGGGCAATTAAAACCATATTGACTTTACAGAGGGCCTGCTCCTGGTGGAGGTGAAAACTGCGAGAAGGGCACTGTTGATCTGGATCAACACAGCTACTTGAATTTGGGGATCTCCTTGGGAGTGTGGCTGTGGGGACTGCCATGGTGTAATTTGCCTGTAAAATATGGATAAGGGATCATAGCACAGGTCTTTCTTTCAAGTCCTGACACTTCCCATGAAAAGTTTCAGGTATGGAAAGTTTCAGGTGAGAAAGAAAAGAATCTGTGAGAAACCCTGGAAAATCACAGAGAAAGATGTCAGATGATGTTTTATGAACTAAATTCACAAAAGTAGCATTAAAAAGCAGGTGCATACCCAACAATGACAGAAGTGGTGGGGAGAGGAGTTGTCCATACCTTGTTTGGGATCCCCTGGTAGGGAAAAGCCGCTTGAAAAGGATGGTGCTTTTTTACCTGTTCAGGATCTTTTGCAACCTGATGCATGAGGATACGTGGAGGGACTCCTGGTAGGTCACTGTGGTGTTTCCAGATGAAGTTTTATTGTGCTTTATCCTGCCCTATTTATGGAATTTCATCAGCATCTCCAACTTCTAGTTCTCCCAAGTTTTCCCATTGCTGCTTCTGTGTTTTTTCTTAATACAGAAAATCTATGAGGGAAAGGAAGTGGCAATAGCTGCACTATGTCTTCTGATTGTAAGTGCTGGGATCCCGCTGGAAGCAACCCAGGATATATTTGCCATGTAAATGTGTCTGTGTGGTTGAAGCCTTCAAAAACATCTTTAGCAGGGGGATGGGGGGGGGGGGGACAAATATCCCAAACATAGCACATAGTCCCTGCAATCTGAAGCCAGGGGAGATGTTAAAGACAAAGATGACTTATGTCCACTGAAATCTGGATACATGGAGGTCATGTAGGTTTGTAGCAGGAGAAGCAAAAGAACCGTATTAAGAACTAACACATTTATTCTGTTGTTTGCTTTTGTGGACTCTATCCATTTCGTCAAGAGGACAGTGTCCATGAAAGAGTATGGCAGAATAGTTCTAAAACCAACTGCAGATAGGAACTATAAACTCTGCAACATTTAATGTCAGTGAGTACTGCATCTTTCTGGAGAGGCAAGCCCAAACTGGTACTATTTGCAAGTGTTCTGCTCAAAGATGGCCACGTTCAGATGGCCACGTTCAGATGGCTTCCACTTGACTCCTCAGCACCTATGCTACTTCCCCACTGTGATTAACATCTATTTGAAGCTGCCAGGTAAGGTCATCCAGGAACACACAGTATGGCATTATCACCATGTGGTGGATGAAAGACCCCCAATTTTACTCTTGTTCTCCATCATACCCAAGTGAGGCAGTGGAAGCGCTACATCGGTGCCTGACTTAGGCTCCAGGAGGGTCCACAAATGGAAGTTCAGGCCAGGTACAGGCACTGTGGTTTGCCTGCACAGGTGAATGTTGTTCAAGCAGTTCTGGAGCAGTTGCACTCCCTGTAAAGGACAAGGTTCATAGTTCGAGGGGGCTCATCAATCCATCTTTGCCACTGGAGAGATAAGTGGCCTGTCTAGCTTGACGTACCTTTGACCAGCTTAGGCAGGAATGCCAGCTACAAGCTTACCTGACAGTGATAACCAGGGTTTAGCAATCCATGCCCTGGAAGCCTCCCTGTTGGATTACATCATTGCATCAAATACCTTTGAAAATGGTCTGGAAACTTGAGTTGGTACAGAATATGACTGTAGGTGCACTGGCAGTTTTTGCTAAAATATTAGACAGCACATGCTCCACACTGTTGCCAGATATTCAAAACTAATCTAGACAATAATTATTCATTTATGAATTTGCTTAATTTATTTTTTATTTTTTATATGTCATTTTATCTTTTAAAATCCAAAAGTGGTTTACTTCAAATTATAAAACAAATGATTATAAAAGCGCAGGATTTGGACGTGGTTGAGAAAAACCAGGATAGATAAATGAGGTTTAACAATCATGGAAAGCACATGAGCATCAGTGACTGAAGCACCTTGGACCAAGAGAGGTCCTTCCAGAGGGAGGGTGCCAAAGTGGAGAAGGCCCAATACAGTCTTGCTACCCGGTGGGACTCAGCAGCATAATGGTATGGTCAGCAAGACCTTCCCTGAAGATAGTACAGGAATTGTATCGGATGTCAATGTCTGGGAAACCTTTCCAGGGCAGGCTGCCCAGAAACAACTGAACCTTCCTGGTATAACAAGTAAGGGCATGTTTGAATTTACTATTATGCTAAGGATTCTGTCACAGAGAAAGGCTCCACCTAAATGAGGTCCCCTGAAATGGTTTTAATTAATGGAAGAATTCCACTTGATAAAGCATTCAGGTTGCTTCTTTTAAAAGGTTTCTGCAGAATCCCCTCTAATTAAGAATGCATCGCTGTTCCTACCTCACAAAACAGGGTGTTCTTGGCTTTGAGGTAGACGTGGATGAGGCAGATTGCTGATATTTTGGATTCTATTTCCAGCATTTCTAACTATTCGTCATGTTGGCAGGAGTTTCTGGGAGCTGAAGTCCAAAACATCTGGAGATCAACCTTGGTTTAGAGCAATGGTAGCCCACCAGCATGGAGATAAAATATACTGAAGAATGCAATATATTCTAGAGATAGAACAGAAAGAAATGAAAAATCTGCAGGAGGAACTTTTATTCCAGTTCTGCTTTTTGGGCCCAAGCAACAGATATTCTAAGCAGACATATTGGCCATTTTGAATTTCAGCTAGCTCTAGCTGCACTTTAATTCCTTAATTGGCACTTTTGTGATTATTTCCTTTAATCCATGGTCTTGGCTGCATTCAAACTTAGGCTCATAGATACAACCTGCAATGGATTCTTGTGCATGCATATTTTGCTCTAGGTCATAGCGCACCATGGAACTGGTAGTCTTAAGTGTACGTAGGCACTTCATTTTTTTCACACTTGAGTACTTTACTCAAGGTTGCATTCAAGACAGTGTGCTGTGGTGAAACAGATTTTGCCACAAAAGGTTCAAAATATTGGAATGGAGATAGTGCAAAGAATACCTAAAACACAATGCTTGTTGGTGGATGCTGGGCCTTTCCCCCTACCTAAATGTGGATAGCATTGCACCTTTAATGAAATCAAAACCTAGTCTACTGTGAACATATGGAGGATCTGCTGAAAGTATGGCTAATTTTATTATGAACGTCAGAAATTTTGGGGCAGGACTTAGAATGGTCAAAACTGAGTGGTCAAAATCTGAATGCCAATTTCTCTTCCATTTTGTTG